AAAAAAAAGACGCCTAACTGTCAACACGACTGCATTAACCAACCACCCACCCAACGAACTACCTACCTACCTAACCAACCACCTGTCTACTGCAATCCTTCCCTCCAACACCCCAACAACCCACAACCCACCAAAAAAACAGACAGACAGCTTAAACTCCACCCCTACCGTACGTAACTAGCCAACTCCAAACCAGACCAAAGCAAAGCAAAGCACACACGGCGCAACGCATTACTCCCTCAAATCATCGGCACTCAGGCCTCAGGCCTCAGGACTAACGCCCCTACTCCTCGCCTTCCTCTCCTCTTCCCTCTCTCCCTCCCTATTCCCCCTCAACCCACCCCCAGCACCACCACCAACCCTCTCACTAACGAGCGGCACGCCCATCAACCGGCCCTTCGTCCGCGCCCTCGCCCTCATCCCAGCCCCCCTCGCACCAGCCACATACGACTCCGACGACGAAGCCACCAACGGCACCCGCAGCGCACGCAGCGCTCTCGGCAGCGGGAGCGCAGGCGGGCGCGGCGCCGTCATTTCGGGCATCGGCGTCCGCGGCTTGAGTGGCGAGGGCAGCGGTCCGCGGTCGCGGCGCGACCGGGAGGCCGTGAGAGCGTCGTCGTCGTAGTCGTCGTAGTCGTAGAGCACGGCAGCGCTGTGGTGGTGGTAGCGTGCCTGCCTCGCCGGCCGCGCTGGCGCATCCGACCACCGCCTCGCTGCGGCTGCCAGTAGCGGGGCGGCGCGCGGCGTGTCTGGCGACGACGAGGAGGCCTCCCAGAAGCGGGCGTGCAGGGTGGGGTCGCTTGCGAGCGGGGAGGAAGCGGCGGTGACGAAGAGCGAGGACTCGCTGTGGCTCTGGCTCTGGCTTGGGGAGAGGGAGAGGTCGTCGTCGTCATCAGAGTGGCTGGACGTCGACGAGATGGTCTCGGCATAGCTGACGATTTTGCTGCGCGTGCTGCGCGGGGTCGAGTGGCGCGGGGTGGCTGCCGCTGCTGCTGCTGCAGCGCTAGCCTGGAGAGCAGCGTCTGCCTGTTGGCGCGTCTGCGTGATGGTGAGGGAGGGGTCGGACAGGCCATCCTCTTCTTCTTCTTCTTCTTCTTCTTCTTCTTCCTCGGACATGGTGTAGTCATCGTCCTCGTCGTAGCTCTCTGTATCGGAGGCATGCTTGCCCCTGCTCTTGCTCTTGCGCACAGGTCTGGTTGGCGTTGGCTCCTCCTCCTCCCACTCCTCGTCGCTGTCGAGCTGCTGCCGCCTGTACAGCTCGTGCTCGTCTGCGTCCTCCCACGGCTCGTGCATGTGGTAGCCGTAGTCGTCGTCATCATAGCCGTACTCCTCATAGTAGTCCTGCTCTTCTTCATAGCCCTCCTGCTCCCAACTATTATCGCTCTCTTCGTCCCAGTTCTTCTCCTTCTCCTCTTCCCCATCTTCGTGCCCCACCTCCACCACCGCCTCTTCCGCCCCAGCCTGCAAATACGCCTTCACCGCCTCGGCAAAATCCTCTTCCAGCGACGTCGCTCTCCCATTCTGCTCCTTGAGCGCGACGACGCGCTTGAACAGTGCCGGGTACACGCGCGCGACATTCTCCATCTTCGTGCGCAGCGTCGTGCCCCGCCTGTACGGCCGCCGATCGAGCGGATCCACCTCCAGCGCATCACGCACATCATAGGTCTCTCCAAACGCGCCCGCATCAGCCGCCTTGAACGCGTCCGCCACGGTGCGCACACGGCCCGTCAGGGCCTTACATTTAGCTAGGGCGGAGCTGTCGGCGAGCTTGCCGCCCGCCGCGAGCGCGCCGATGTCGTGCTGGCGCAGCAGCTCGCGGAACGCCCAGATGTCGCTGCGCCAGCGGTCCCAGAAGATGTGGGTCGGGGAGGTGCGGCCGCGCTGCTGCTGCCACGCCCGGTTGACGGCTGTGAGGGTGCTGTTGCGGATGAACTCGAGCGCCTTCTGCGTCCAGCTGCCGAGGAGATCGTGGAACGGCGTTGTTGCGGCTGCGTCGCCGTACTCGGGTATCAGCTCGAGCGGGAGGTCGGGGATCTCGTCGCCGTCGGCGCTGAAGTGTTGAGCTCCCCGAGTCCGAGTCGCGGGATGCGATGTTTGCTTTGGTGAAGGCTCGCCTGCGTCAGTGGAAAAGGACCCCAGAGTCCCCGGACGGCCGAACACGATGCTGCGCCCCTTGTGCTTGAAGTCCCAGCCCTCGTGCTCCCCCACCGTCTTAACATCCTTCCTGATCCGCTTCTTCGCCCTCCGACTGCCTGTCTTATCTTCGCTGCTCGCACTCTCAAACCCGGCGTCAATCAAGTTTTCCCAGACGCGCTGGAGGCGCTGGGTCCCGTCCACATCTGGGAGGCGCCCAGCCGAGATCTTGAATCGTTGGTCACGGCGCGCGAGCCCAGACTCTGGCTGCTTGCTGAAAAGCGGTCCTTTCTGCGCGGCTTCCTGCTGACGGATCTGATCGAGCACGGACTGAGAGACGGGGCTCAGCTGGGTGCTTTGCGGCTTGACCTGATCACGCGTCAGACTCGCTATAATTGCCTTCTGGAGCGCCGGGTCCATCTTCGGGAGCCGGCCGTGGGGCGTGTCTTCCCATTCGAGACTTTCTGTCGAGCCTGATCGCTTGCGCTTGCGGCTGCTTGGCCTTTCCTGCCTCTGATGATTAGTAGACGTCCAAACGAAAAGAAGCGGTACGTACCTCCACAAGAGGATACAGATAAAGGTCCTGACTCTTCTCAACAGGCGTAGCAACAGCTTTCTCAAACGCCGTCTCCGACATAGACGTGAACAAGACCACCGGCTCAGCGCCCGAGATGACCTCCACGAAGTAATCAGGCGGCTGCAGCGCATCGCCCAGCAGGTCCCTTGCAATATTAAAGAACGACTCCTTGCTCGGCTTCCTCCCCCCGGGCCAAGTCCAAACCTTAAACGTCAAGTCGTTGCTCGCAGGGCCATTGTGGAGCCTCACCTCCCTCGCCGGCTCACTCGTCCCCCAGCTCTGCGGGCTGAACGTTCTCCACAAGGCATTTCCCACGTGGCGGCGCTCCTCGTAGCCTCCAGCCGCAACCGACGGTGCCGGCGATACGGCGTAGCCGTGCTCCTTGAGCGCGCTCTTGAAGACCTCGCGGTCCTTCAGGCCCTGCACGCTGTTTCGTGGAAACTTGTACAGCTCGTGTTGCATCCTGGGGGGAATCGGCTTGTAGGCAAAGTGGACGCGGTCTCGAGACACGCGGTGCGAGCCCATTGGGTACGGGCCCGTCAGTTGCGGCATGTTGCTGATTCTCCTCGCAATTAGGGGGTGCGCGTACGGCGACGGTGCGTCTCCCTTCAGGTTCGGCGCATTGCTGATTCTCCTCGGGATTCCGGCGTACGCGGGTGACGACACATCTCCCCCCAGGTTCGGCGCATTGCTGATTCTCCTCGGAATTCCAGCGTACCCGTAAGTGGGCGGCGTCGCGTCCCCCCTCAGTTGGGGCATATTGCTGATTCTCGGACCTCTAGGGGGACCATAGTCAAACGACGGCGCGTCTTCCATCAAGTTCGGCATATTGCTGATTCTCCTCGGACCTCTAGGGGGTCCATAGTCGAACGGCGTGGCGTCCTCCATCGTCGTATCACTATAATTATCACCCGCGGGCACACCATCCAAATCCAGCGCCACCCTCCTGTCGTCTCTCGTCCACGGCTCGTCACCCGCCAGCGGCCTAACGTTCGAGAGGTCTTGATCACTAGACAAGAGCGCCAGCTTCCACGCGACCGTTTCCGTCGGGGGGCTGAAAAACGACATCTTCTGCGGCGGATTGGCCGGCAAGGGCTTGTTCGTGCGGCGCAGCTCCGACACCAGGAACATGTAGCCCTCGAGGTTGAGCGCTTTGTAGTCTTCCAGCGTGGCCTGGAGCCCGGAAACGCGCAGGCTCCCTTCGAATTCGGCAATGCGTGGCTCGAGCTCTCCGGTGTTGAAGCCCGGCGGCGCGACGTAGAAGCGCTTACGGCGGTTGAATGGCACTTCGACGTACTCGTTTTGCTCTTCTGCTTCGGCATTCTCGTATTGCTCGTCTTGTGGTTCGACGTACTCTTCTTGTCCCTGCTGCTCGTCGTACTCTTCTTCCTCATCGTCTTGTTCGTTTTGATCGTCGTACACGTAGTGGTCCTGCTGCCCATCATACCCGAACATAACCACGTCGTTGACATCCTCCGAGTACTGCGATACGCTAGCCTGGTCATCCTGGCCATCATAGCCGCCACGGCCGCGACCTCGACCACGATCGTTGCCACGACCTCGACCGCGACCGCGGCCCCTACCACGGCCCTCGCCCTGGGCACCCCTGCCAGACTGGCCGTCCTGCTGGTCGCCTTGGAAATAAGCATTAAAGAACCCGCCAGAGGAGTTGTTGTCGTCCCGGCCGTTCTGGTGCCCGCCGTGATGGCCACCACGGGAGCCGCCGCTGTGCGCATCGCCCTGATTGCCGCCACTGTTGTGGCCACGCCCACCGCGCTGGTTGCCGCGTCCACGGCCGTCGTTTTGATTGCCGCCACCGTGATGACCGCCGCCGCCGTGGTGACCACGGCCACCACCGCGCCCACGGGTATCGCCCTGGTTACTACCACCGCCACGCTGCTCACCGCGCTGGGTACCGCCGCTCCAACCCCCACGGCCGCGATCTCCGCCCTGCTGCCCACGACCACCCTGGTGACCACCACGGTGACCACCGCGTCCGCGTCCCTCACTCCCACCACCACCACTGCCCCCGCCGCTACTAAACGGCCGCCGGTGCAGCGGCCTGCCGGGATCGCGGCGCTTAAGTGACGGAGGAGTACCAAAAGGCAACGGGGAAGTGGGTTCATATATCGAGGATGACGAATTCCTAGGAGACGAGTGCGAGTTTCCTGGCGATAAATCCGGAGAAGCGATGGGAGACGGGCCAAAGAGGTTAAGGCTGATGAACGCGTCGTTGGCCTCGATGCGGGCGTTTTCTTGGGCGGCGCGGCGCTCGGCGTCCTGCGTGGTGTCCTGAGGCTGAGGCTGAGGAGGAGCAGGGACGGTATTGTTCTGCGGGAGCAAGGGACGCGCGGCTCTGTCTGCGCCTCCCCATCCCTGTCCTTGTCCTTGGTTGTTGTCGGGCCTGTAATAGTTGTCGTCAGGGAGGTAGCCCTTTGGGGGATCAAAGTCATCCTCCTCGTCTTCGCCGTTGTCGTCGCTGTCCCAATCAAGCTCCTCCCACTCATCCAGGTTCACGCCCCTCCGTCTCGCACACGCGTCCAGATAGCTTGGCCAATCGACCCTGCGAAGCTCCTCGGGTTCCTCCTCCGGTTCCTCCAGCTCGGGAGTCAGCAGCCTGGCGTTCTGCCAGTAATAAAACCTTGGCAAATCCTCGTCGTCGGCAAACAGAAAAAACAGTCTCTTCTTCGTGTGCGTCTTCGGCTCCGGCACCCGCTCGTCCAGCGCGTCCGGCACATACAGAAATTCGTTCGGCGGCGGCTGCACGATTCTCCTACCGTCCTTGAAATCCTCGCGCAGCACGATGCCCACGGGCTTCATGCGCACCTGCAGCTGCCTATCCGCCTCGTTCGTCTCCTCCAGCTCCGTCGCCGGCACGACCGCGTACTCCCGAAAGATTCCCTGCAGCTTGCCCGCGCGCGCCGCGTCGATGTCGGCTTGCGAGGGGCGCGGGTTGTCCGTCCCTAGTGGGAGCCGGATGTTCTGGCTGCGGGCTATCGAGTGAAATCTGCGTTCTTGGTCCACGGGGTAGGCGATTCGCGTTTTCATCCACTGATCTTTCTTGTATTTACTGAGTTCGTAGAGGCGGAGGCGGCGCTTGCGGAGGAGCCGCCGAGGCTTCTTGATGGTGTTGCGCTTGGCTTTTTCATCTCCGTTGGGGCCCGCCATGCTGTCGCTGATCGGGGACGTCTCCTGTGGCGAGTGACAAGTTGTGGTCTACGCTCAAGATTGTGAAGTAAGCTTTGAGAAATGAAGTTAACAGATTCAGAAATGAAGGAACCTGGGGGGATTACGAAGATTGTCTGGAAAACCTGCCTATGAAGCGATTGTGGAAAACAAAGGCAAATCATTGCTGGATTCCTTTGATGTCCCATTTGTAGCAAATGCTCGCCACTTACAAAGGGTAGAAAACAGGCCATACCTGTCTCACGATGTTTGCGGCCATGACTGTCTAAAGCTATTGTCTGGCTACGGTGTCTTTCCGCCAAGCATCACAAGCTTGACCACGCATTCCAGACGACAATGAGCGATTGCGGCGATCTTGGCACTTCGTCACTCATGAACGCGACGAATAGGGAGGATTGGCCATTGTTTGCTTCTTATTTCATGCAACGTAGGGTTTGCTCATTAGGGTGGTTATACACTAGGCAAAAATTAATCCGGCTCAACAGCTTCGAAGAACAATGCTGGAGAGCAGGTGCTACTCACAGTTCAGACCTCTCTGTTTCCCTCTTCCGGTTCCCAGCGCCGCCGCCCTCTTGCTGCTTTGAGGCGGCGTTGGCGTCAAAGAACCCTTCTAGCTCCATCCACTCGCTTGCGAATGCGGTTACGAGCATGGCCCAGTCTTCCACCGTATTCAAGTCCAAGTTCTGTCCGTCGTCGTCTATCTGGTGCCAGACCCTGGGGAAGGGAGACGGAATCATGTGCAGGATCTCTACGCCTCTTTTCATGAAGGGGATGTGGTCGTCTTCAATCATGGACCTGAAATTGTCGTCCTGCTTGTTCGCGTCTATGAGGAACGGCGGCTCCGCCCGGGGCTTGACGCCCTCTCCCCTCTTAGAGTGGTGGTTGGGCGAGGACTTGAATTGGCCAAGGGTGCGGAGACGCGCCTCGATCCCAGCCATGGCTTTGTATGCCCAATGCGTGGTTTGGAAGTACGAAGGCACTTTCGGGTCCTTCGATCCAAGGAGGTCGAGCAGGAGGAACAACTCAAGCGACGCCAGTTCCGTCTTGAAAGTCGACGATGCCGAGTGGTACGTGTTCTCCCACGATTCCGCGAGAGCACTGCACACGTTAGCCACAACAGACCTCCTTTCCTTGGACCACCGTCTCTCGCCCACTTACCGCGCGCCGTATAAGCTATCCGTCTCTGTCCAGCTGTAGAATGCCTCTTCACCATCCAGCAGCACAATGCGGACGCCCTTCGTATCCTCGAGGTCGTCCGCCAATCCCTCCGCCTGCATCTTCTCCCACTTCTTCGTCAGCGCCGCATCGATGCTACGCGCAACATGCATCAACATCGCGCAAGGCGCCGCGCTATCCGTCGCGCCAATGAAGCCAGCGGGCGTGAGCTTAGAGTCGTAGTGGGCGACAAGAGCGAGGCGGCCGACCTCGCCGGGCCTGGCCCACGGGGGGTCGCGGGTCGCGACCAAGTTGACAAAGGGGATCTCCTGGCCGGCGCTAGTGGGCGTGGTGGACGTCGAGTTCTGGAACTCGAGATTCCATTTTGGCAGAGCCGTGCGGAAGAAGTCGACGAAATGGGCGAGCACCTTGGCGGAGCCGGGGGTGCCAGGCACGCGGGGAATCAGGATCGGCGCGAGCAGGGCGCCAGTGTTGATGTCGAAGTCGTTGCCTGGCGAGGGAAGCGTCTGCAGCGTGGCGTCAGACAGGCGCGTGTAGGCCGACGAGTGCTGCAGGGAGCACAGGAGCAGGGTCGAAGCCCCCAAAAGAGTGGTGAAGAGCTTCATTGTTGCCAAGGTGGAGGAGATGGGCTTGGGAGTCTATCCCGCGGCGGGCATGGCATGCACAAGCATTCGTGGGCGCGCCAGGACTGCGAACTGTCGTCTCGGCCGTCCGCCCTCGTATCGCGGATCGACAGGGTCCGTCCGCTTACTGTACTTAGGAAAAGGTCGATCACGTGTGGGGACCACCTACGCCTACTCCAACACCATCCCGAGCCATGTCCATCTTCGCTGCCGGCTTTCGTGCACCGCTGAGGTCGCCGGGCATTTTCCGCCTGGCACGCCAGCCTTCCCTCTGCAGAGCCTGCACCCGATCCTTCAATCTCAATCTCAATGTCGCCCGCCGGTCGGCCTCCACCGCGGCCAAGCCCGCGCTCAAGGAGTTTACGAGCAGCAAAATGGGTATATAAAATAACCCAACAATGACCCAATTGATAGACCTGAACTAACACATCCTCCAGTCTACCCCGAGCGCCTCCTGATCTATAATGCCGGAGCCGGCAGAACAGCATACATCGGCTTCTTCAAGCTCGTCACCATTTTCATCTTCGCAGGAGGCTGTCTCATTGTCGCACCAGCCGTCTACTACGACCCCAACTCAGCACCCTGGAAGATGCCCGCCGGTAAGCCATCATCACCAGATCACCCCACTCAGTCAACCCTTCTCCACCTCAGACCAACATCCCTCCCCGACACCCACCACACCCACTAACCCAACGCCAGTCCTCCTCGCCTCCACAATCCCCATGCTCGCCATCAGCACCACCACTGCCCCCTTCGTCAACAGCATCTTCCTGTACCTGCCACCCAAAGCGCGCACGTCGCAAGAGGCGCTCCTGCGGTACGCGCGCGCCCTGCCCCCCACCACGCGCCTGGACTTGGCAACGGTGTCGTTCCGCGGCTCGGCCAAGACGTCCGGCTGCCAGTTGCGCGAGCTGCGCTCCATGCCCGGCAAGCGCTGGGGCATTGCTAACATCGAACGAGTTGCCGTGGCGGCGCCAGCGGAGGCGAAGCCAGCGAAGCCGACGCCTGTGGATGGGATTCTGAAGGCCGCGCAGGGCGAGGGTGTCGCGAGGCCGCTGGAGAAGAAGCAGAAGGGCAGTAAAGCGCTTCGTCGCTTCGTGGAGCTGTTCAATGAGCCTAGGAATCGGTTCTATATCGATCCTGAGAGGGGCTCGGGGAGGAGCAGGGCCCCGGGCGTGGTGCAGTTGGTTGTGGAGCAGATTGAGCGGAATGGGGGTGGGAAGATTCACCTTTGAGATTTGTGGAGAGAGAGGAAAGGGTGGAATGACTGTGAATGTATACATATGTGTGGACAAAAGGATGTAGTGGTACGAAAGTATTTGTAAAGGTACGGGGGTTGGATATGCAGGGGTACAAAAGTATCCAGGAGTTTACAATAGCGAAAGTAAAGTCTTCAGGCCTTTACAGAGTGTTTCTCATTTGAAATAGGCACAGTGGCGTAAAAGCAAGAGCAAATTATCCAGAGCACTTACTTATAAAGGACCTCCGGTGGGGTGATGATCCGGGTAGACATAGCGGGGACGGCCCATCCGATCTCGGGCCTAGCGGAGCTTCCCCAGAAAATAATAATTCCGGGCCTCGTGCGACCCAGTCACCACCACGCACCCAACAACACTCCGACACAATGGCTGCCCGGACTCTGAGAATCGGTGAGGCGACGCGCGCCAGACTCGTTGCTTGGCGTTCTAGGGCTGATTGATCGCTTGGCTTGCAGGTCTGATACCCGGTGATGGCATTGGCCGCGAGGTATGATGCGCGTTCTCGATCTCGTTCTTTCGTAGCAGCAACGGCAGCTGCAGCAGCAGCAGTAGCAGCAGTAGCAGCAGTAGCAGCGACTGAACGAATCGAATGGCTTCTTTGGCTGGAAGAGGGGCTGATGGTATTAGGTCATCCCTGCCGGTCGCCGCATCCTCGAGTCTCTGCCCAACTCGCTGAACCTCAAGTTCTCGTTTGTCAACCTCAATGCAGGCTTCCAGACGTTCAAGGACACGGGCGCCGCTCTGCCGGACCAGACGGTTGAGACGCTGCAGAAGGAGTGCGAGGGCGCGCTTTTCGGCGCTGTCAGGTAGGACCTCTTCTGTCCCGGGGTGGTGGTGGTGGTGGTGGTGCATAGCGTAGGATGATGAAGAGAACGAAGCCAATGGCATCCATTGGAGTCAACAACAGCACAACCAGAGGCTGACAAGACGCGCGCAGCTCCCCCACCGTCAAAACGGCCGGCTACTCGTCGCCCATTGTCGCGCTGCGCAAGCGGCTGCAACTGTATGCGAACGTGCGGCCAGTCAAGTCAGCCGGCAAGGTCGCCAACCCGGTCGACATGGTGATTGTGCGGGAGAACACGGAGGACCTGTACGTGAAGGAGGAGAAGACGCGGGACACGCCCGAAGGCAAGGTCGCCGAGGCCATCAAACGCATCTCAGAGAAGGCGTCCTTCGACATCGCGTCCATGGCGGGCGACATAGCGCTGCGCCGGCAGCGGGTGCGCGACTCGGGCATCGCGAGCATCCACAAGTCGCCGCTCGTCACCATCACGCACAAGTCCAACGTGCTGTCGCAGACGGACGGCCTGTTCCGCGAGACGGCGCGCCGCGCGCTCGAGCAAGCCCAGTTCAAGGGCGTCGGCGTCGAGGAGCAAATCGTCGACAGCATGGTGTACAAGCTGTTCCGCCAGCCCGAGGCCTACGACGTCATCGTCGCACCCAACCTCTACGGCGACATTCTGTCGGACGGCGCGGCCGCCCTGGTCGGCTCCCTTGGCCTCGTCCCCTCCGCCAACGTCGGCAAGGGCTTCGTCATCGGCGAGCCCTGCCACGGCTCGGCCCCCGACATTGAGGGCCAGGGCATCGCCAACCCCATCGCTACTATCCGCTCTACGGCTCTCATGCTCGAGTTCCTCGGCGAGGAGAAGGCCGCTGCCATTATTTACAAGGCGGTGGATGCCAACCTTGGCGAGGGCCGCCTGCTGAGCCCCGATATGGGCGGTAAGGCCAAGACGGACGACGTCGTTGAGGACATCATCAAGAGGTTCTAAGCGCGTGGCCGTGTAAAAGTATGCCCCTGAGGGCTGTGTACAGAAATATAAAATCTATGTGTCTTCTAGCTCGTTTGAGATTGATGTATGAAGAGCTTTGCCGAGTGTTTGATGACTGCTTTCACCAAGGAAGTATCAACAAGCAAAGCAACCCTATATCAATAAGAAGCTATATATATATATCACCCAACCCATCCCAAGCGGCCGCGATATCAAACAAACAAAAAAGGCCGCCGTAACGTCCGTCACCATCGGCCAATACCACCACCATAACACGCCCCGAAACACCGTCCCCATCTGTACGTAGGTACGTACGCAGCCATCAAGGCTCCAAAATACGTACATATGTACGTATGTATGCATATATGTGTCCATTAATGCACTCAGCACTCACCACCCCTCCCTCACCCCACTAGCGCCCATTACCCAAGCGCGCTGATCCAGACACTGAGACAGAGACAGCGCCAAGAAGCACACATGCCCGCCCTACAAGCCCTACGAGCTCAACAGCGCGCCCAGATCCACGCGCTGGTAAAACGATATATGCCCGAACGGGGCCCAGTACTGTGCCAGCCGGTCGGGGGAGATCATGATGAGCTGCGAGGGGATGAACTCGTCTAGCGGATACAGCGTCAGCAAGGCGTGCCGCAAATCCAAACTTTTAAACTGTCTTGTTTGGTCGCTGGAAGTAACGTGTGGGGGTGGGAATGGTTTTGGAGGTACAGTAAAGGCAACGAGAACAAGCATACCTTCCCTAAACCCCCGCGCGGCAATATGCCCAACACTGCGCACGACGCGCGCGCCGCGGAACATTTCCTCGGTCGCGACGCGCACCAGCCCCCCGGGCCCAATGTCCGGCGCGATGAACGTGTGCTCGCCGCGCGGAATGTTCGGGTCGCCTGTCAGCTTGATGGCTTCGATTTGCCCGGCGTAGATGTCGCGCTCTTCCTTCTCTTGACTCTCTGCGTCTGCACCTGCATTCGTGCCTGCATTAGCACCCGCACTCACATACGCATTCGCGTCCGTATTTGCGTCCGCGCCAACCGTCCCCGTGCTGCTGCCGTCCACACCACCCCCATCCCCGCCCGCCAGCTCCATCGCCGCGTCCACGAGCTCCTCATCCGGCGCCAGCGCGACGTGGCTCTGCGCACTAAGCCAGCTATCCGCGCTCGAAACGCTACTACTACGGCGCGCGAGAGCGCGGACCGCGCCCTCGGGCAGCGCGCGCGGCGCGTCCGGCTGCAGCACGAGGAGGAACTCGCAGCCGTGGCCGGCGTAGTCGCCGCACCAGACGCCGCGCCAGGGCTTTGCGGGCGTGGGGGTGTAGAGGGCTTTGTCGAGCGACGCGAACGTGGTTACGTCTTCGCCCACGCGCATCGAGATGCCGGCCGGCTGCTGCGAGAACTCCATCCATTTGCGGAGGCGGAACGTCTCGTTGCTGACTTCGGGGAGCGCGGACGGCTTGTGCCCCGTCCCGCGGTAGCGGTTGATGCTTTCGTTGCGTGTGCGCTCTGCTGCTGGGATGGTGAGGGGTGGCCATACTCGTGTCCCTGGGCTTATGATCTGTGCGGGGCAGGGCCGCGCCAGCATGAACATCGAGTACAGGCCGTGGCTGGCGTGGTTGTTGTGCACGTCCATCATGATCTCCTGCTGGAGCCTGTTGCCGTCGCCGACAGCGCGTGCGTAGGCGGCGCGGTCGAGCTTCAGCACCGGCCCGGTGTGGTCGAGCTGCACTTTGGGCGCGAAGCGGTGGATGATGACTTCGAGGTTCCATTCCCAGAGCTCGAAGCCGTGGGGCCCGCGCTCGGCCGTGATCGAGTGCGCTTCGATCGCCTCCGTCTTGGGGTTGTACCGCGCCAGCAGCAGCTTGCCCGTGTGCACTGCGTCCGAGAACCAGAGCTTGCCGCGCGTGAGGAACCAGTGCGGGTGGTGCGTCGCGTACGTCTCTCGCCATGAGGATGGCGGATATCTTTCAAAGTCGGCCCCCGGCGTTTCTGCTTGCACCAGCGGCTTCCAGAGCCTCTCTTCTTTCCCGTGCTGATGGAGCAGGCGGCACGTCTGGGAGATCCGGGCGAGGTCGAGCGCTTCCAGGTAACCAAATGTTTGCTGAATCAGCTCTGCGGGGAGTGAAAGAAACGGCGGAAGGACAGGCTCCTCATGCGGTGGTTTCATGTTGCGGTCGTCCGGAGATATTGAGTCTTTCGGCGTTGATAAGGCGTCCTCAGGCTCGGGCTGCGTGTCATCGACCGGATTGCCATTGAGCGGGGAATGCTGCTGCCGGCTTTCCGCCTTCACCGACCCATTGGCAGAGCGCAGAAGATCCTGGCTGTTGGTCCGGGTGAACATCAAATACGGATTCGCCATTTTGGGACACCGGCAGGTCGGACTGGTGGAAGGAGAAGACTAGGAAGGTGGTACAGGCGTCGCCGGGGGAGAACAACGTAGACTTGAATGCAATATCAAGCCGCTCCCGAGAGATGCGGAGACGCTACAGGGTCATGGAGTTGAGTTGATTGAATGAGCACTAGCGGCACGTCCCAAATGTCACTCGCAATAGGTAGCCAATGACGACAGCGCCAAAAGTAGTGGTTCGGAGGATCGATTTGCCTATCCCGGCGTTGTCCAGCTGGCAGTTTCAGGTCTTGGGTCCAGATAGGCAGGTGGTAGATCGGATTAATGGAGGCGTGTTTGAAGTCCGGGGCGGGTCTCGGGGTCACTTGGTGGGATGTGTTGACACGGCTTGGAGGGGGTTGCGGTATCGGCGGGATGTTTGACGGAACTTCGAAAGTAGGGTCATTCGTGTAGAGGGTGCATTGGTAGGTGGAGAAGTAGACGCCCAAGCAGTCTAGATGGCTATAGCGCCTTCCCCACGGCACGTGAATGCGTCAACCTACTCCGTAAGCATTTAGGTTGGACGACAGGTGATGCTTCCATCCAATGATGGCATGATGAGACAGACGTTCGGGTCGACCGTTCGCGCCGTCTCACTCCACGGGCTGTCGGCACGCCATCCTCTCCTCTTCTCCAAAAGCTGTCAGCAGTACTCCTAGTCACGGGTTCCAGAGGCACAGAGGCTCGTTGCGACCGCAAATATGTGGAGCAATTCTGCTTGCAGTAAGTGTCAAGGGCGATGATGCATCGTTTTGGAAATCGTCGCGTGTCGGATCTGCCAAAGTTGGCTATCTTTATGTCCAGGAACATACTATATAGGACCCACAGATAGCTCTGCGGAGACGCCTATTCTAGGTAGCGGAGCACCGACTTGAAATTTGGACGCGCATGTTTGCGGAGATGCAATCGTTACTAAACTACAATAGTATGCACAGTGATGTTTAAACAAATGTGCAGATTGTTTTAGCATGTCAAGAATTCGTAGCAAATGGGACATGCAGGTGACCCTGAGAGACTGAGAGATGATGATGATGATGATGATGGAGGAGCAAGACAGAACAGGTTCCAAGGCCGCCACCAAAAGTGAAACGAGCTGCAACGATCGGTCTCGGCCAGGAAGTTGAACGCCCAGATGACGAAACAAAGTGCAACGCGCTGATACGCGTGCAAGCGTAGGCGCGGGTGCAGGGAACGCGCTGCGCGCACAGCTCAAGCTCTGCCCAGGCAACGGTTGTTGATGAAGTGAGCCAGGGTGTCAGGGTGCCAGGCACCGCCGTCTTTTGATACCTAGACAAACAAGACTTGCATACATAGTTACACTCGCAGGAGAAGAAGCGTAGGAGGATACCAATTCGAAGAGAATTCGCCTTGGTGACACGTGGACGACGTCACTTTTGCACCCGCAGCCGTTACCCAGGCACCCACGCGCGCCCAAAAGCCACGGGGAGCTTTGCCTGCGACCGGGCCATATGACGCCCATCGCGCGCCAGCCATCTTTAATTTGCCTGCCGCCGCGCCATGATCATCTCCCTTTGCTTGTGCTGAAGAAAGTCAACTCGTCGGTAACCCCGCAGTTTTTTTCTCTCTTTGCATCTCCCCTAGCTACTACTCTTCATCCTTGCTCTTTGCTCAACCTGCCCGGCCTGCCCGCTACCTTTGCTGCACCCTTGCTCCTCCTAATCACACCCCTCGCAGCAAAGTAAACAACATGGCTCGCCGCAAGCTCGCTGCCGACCAGCTTGACGGCGCGTCCGCTGCCGACCCTCCCCGCGGTCAACGCCGCAAGAGAAGAAGCAGTACCCCGCTTGCTGATGATGTCGACCGTACTGAGCCCGAGTCCACCCAGCAGTCCGACTTGGTAAGCGCTCGTGAGGGCTCCGTCACCGAACAACCGACACACAGCAGGAAACGCGTCAAAGTTGAATCAACAACCATCGACACAGTTCAACTGACCCATGAGGTCCAACAGGTTACCCGGCCCACCACTACCTCGGACAGCATCACCGTCGCCCCCGATGCACCCCAGCATCGCAACAAACGCGTCCGTTTCTCCGATCCTGGCCCGGCCCTCTTAAATGTCGCAGACTCTCCTTCGCAAGAGGCTTCAAGCAGCCAACCTGCCGAGTTTTCCACGCCTCAGGGACGCCGTGGCTCTGGTCAAGGCAAATCGCGCGTCAACCGTCGCACATCGCTTCCCGCTACTCTCCATGAGTCCAACTCCCCCGACAGAGGAGTTTTACAATTCACACCGCTACGTGCCGTATTGGAGGACCGCAAGCGGAGGAGGTTGCGTCGTAGCGGTCTCAGCGAGGAGATGAACCACATCGAGGAACACAAGCGTGAGGATGCTCGGGCGAAGCATGAGCTGCAGAGGTTACGCCAACAGATCAGGGAAAAGGATGAGCGCGTCAACGACCTCATGTACGAACTTGAAGTCCAACGTCAGATGTCTATCGACATTCAACAGGGTGATAATGAGCAGGAGGCCGAAAAGGTCAGGGAACTGGAGAATGAACTGAACACCCTGAGGAGGGAGATTGCCGAGCAAAAGGAGCGTCACGATCTGAGCACTTTGGACGATGACCAAATCGGCAACTACGATGCCGACACGGGAAGCCATGTCTCCGACGAGGACAACAGTCTCATGCTCATTGACCCCGAGGACATCAACCTTACCCAGGATGATATGCCCCAGTTCAACCACGATGACGAAGATGGGCTCAGCACGATCGACGAAGGCCAAGAGGAGGCCACGCAAGTCTCCCTTCCCGACCCGAGCGCGGAGATCCAGATTCACCAATTCGAGAACGCCATCGCTGAGCTGAACAAGGACGCGTCTGAGGCCCGTGCGGCACTTCAAATCCTCACTATTGAGCTTCAGACTCTTGGCTTCACTGAACCTGATGCTAATGCGTATGACGTTCTGACCTCGATTCGCTCCGCCTTCCGCCACGCCCGCAACGAAATCGAAGCCATCTTCCCCGGTGACCAGTCTGCCACTCTCGAAAATGGCGGGCTCGTGTACGCCTTCGTCGAGCGTCTTCGTGAGTTGAAGAGCGACATTGCGGAGAAGACCAAGACGGTCCGCGAACAGGCCGAAATCAACGCCATGCTGAACACCCAAAACAGGGGCATTGTCAGCAAGATGGAGGAATCCGAGCACAGGCGCCAGACCTTAGAGGGCCAGTGGCACGAACTGGACGTCGTGAGCGAGAAGAAGACCAAGGAGATTGTCTCGCTTGAGGAGGAGCTTGACTTGTACAAGCAGGCGCTGAACGAACGGGATGCCGATATCATCGAGCAAGACAAGAGGATGGACGAGATGGAAATCGAGCTGGAGGATCGTGAGGGCTCAACCAGCCGTCTGCAGGAGGCCATTGAGGGCTACCGTAACGATGTCGCGAACTTGGAGGCGTTGGTCGTCCGGATGGAGGACGATCACAGGACCGCTCTTGACAAGCTTAAAGAGGAACATGCCGCTGCCATTGCCGAGCTCGAGCAGAAGCTGGCCAACGAACAGTTGTTGCGCGAGGAGGCTGAAGCCGAGTCTATCCAGAAGACGGACGTCATCTTCGACCTCGAACAAAAGGTCAACGATGCTGAACAGAGCTACACGCAACTCCGTGGGGATCTCGAGGCACTTCAGGAGCTCAAGGACAACGAGCGGTCTCAGCGTGTGTCTGCTGAGCAGGAGCTTGACGACAAGACTGCAAGCATCGCTGAACTTGAGCAGAAGGTTGAGGTTGCCGAAAACGATCTCGAGGACCTTCGCTCTGAGCTTGACACTCTTCGCACCCTTGCCGATAACGAGCGCAAGCAGCGTGAAGCAGCGGAGACTGAGCTCGATGAGAAGGATGGCAGGATCGCCGAGTTGGAAGACAAAATCCATGACACCGGTATCCAGGCCAACGAACTGCGCCAGAAGATTTTCGAGGTGCAGCAGAAGAAGGATGCTGTCATCCAGGAACTCCAAGACACCGCTGCCCAACGGGAAGAGCAGTACAACACCGACATCGCTGCTGAGATTGCTCGCCGCGAGGATGCAGAGCAGCTTGCTTCGGAACGTAACGACGAGCTCAACGGCCTGCATAGCAAGCTTGAGGAAGTCGAACAGAACTTGGAGGGCCTTACGGTCGAGAAAGATGACCTTATTTCTGAGCTCGAGGAGCGTGTCGACAAGCTTGATGCAGACCTCACCCACCTGCGTGAGGAGTATGAGACCCTCGCCGAGCAGAAGGCTGCCGAGATCCAGACCCTTCACGACGACATTGCTATGTTGGGTAACGATGTCAACGAGCGCGCCGCCTTGATTGAACGGATGCAGCAAGAAGCCATCGAGGCCTCGGAAGCCCACAAGGACGCCATCGAGCAGCACGAAGCCCGCATTGCCAGTATCTCTGCGGACCTCGACCAAGCCCTTGCCCATGTTGATCGCCTCGACGATACGCGGGTGACCCTGGAGTCGCAGGTTGAACACGAGACCTATGCCAGGCTGGACATGCAACACGCACATGACGATGAGATGACCCACCTCAAGGGCACGCTCGCGGACCGCGACACGCAGATCGACGACCTGCGGCACATGGTTGAGGTGCGCGACGCCAAGTACACGTCCGACATTAACGCCAAGAACAAGGAGATCGAAGCCTTGCAGCTGATCTCGGACACGCGGGCGACGACGATCGTGGCTCTGACGGCGCAAGTCGATGACCTGAAGGCGCGCTTCCGCGCTCAGGTCGACCGCAGCCAGAAGGCCATCGCGGCTATTACGGACAACGTGCGTCGCGTGGCCGAGGACGTCGGCGGCTTCGAGGACGGCCACACCACGGATGCTCAGGACGCCCTGCGCGATGTCGACCAGATTGTTCCCGGCGAGGGATTGCATGGCGGCCCGGCCCGCATCCACGAGCGCGTGCAGGTCCTGAAGAAGGACGGACGCAGGGGCAGGCGGCAGTACGACTCTGGCTTCGGCGTCGCAGAGGACGAGGACGACGAGGCTGCTGAGCTGGCTTAGATGCGGCCTGCCTGGTTAGCTGGCTGCTTGGACAGCGAAGTGTGGAGCAAAAACGAAAGAACGAAAGATTGACAACATCATGGCCAGCGATTGATCGATTGGGCGATCAGTCCAGCCTTTTCTTTTTTTCAAGCCTCCTCTTATCTCTTTGTCTCCTGTTTCTTGTTTCCTTCTCCCATTTCCTCTTGGTATCTCTTTTTCTCTCTCGAGCAATTGGCTCGTTTTTCTTCTTTTTCTTTTCCCTTGTGTTTTTGAAACTGCAACGAACAAACATGGTTTGGTGGACGGATGCAAGAAAGGGCACACGAGATTGGTATAGGTCAGCAGACGTACTTGGACATGGCTATGGATGTGGATAGCGATATGGATACGGCAGGGACAGACATGGATGGGTATCGCAGCGCGCGTACCTCATCTGTCTCCATATCAGCAGCGGCTATTGCTGCTGCTGCTGCTGCTGCTGCCTATCCGCTTTCCGATCATCACCACTCTATACACCCATACACCACACTATACACCCCCCATACACACACCACATAAATTGGACCCGGGCGCGCCGCAGCCGCTTACGCTAGCTGTCTTCGTACACATACACAGCACGAAACGACACAGCACAACAAAACAAGCAAGCAAGCAAGCGGCGCGCCTTGACGACACGAGGCGACGTAATGCGACTGTTTTCAAGTTTTCTTCTTTTCTTTGTTTTCGTTTGTTGTTGTTGGTAGCGTCTCTACTTCTTTTTTACTTTCTTAACTTTGGTTTGGGTGGTGATACTGGTAGTGGGTGGGAAGAGATTGATTGAGTGACTATTCTTTGGAGGGCTTTGTGGTGCCTACAATGGGTTTGAGCGTGCGAGCGAATGGATAAGGGTAGATAAGCTGTACAGTAGGAATAGGATTAGGATAGGAATAGCGAAAACAAAAATATTGGGATTGGGAATTAGATTGGGAGTTTGCTGTTTCGTGGTACATATGGTGATGGGAGTTGGGCATTGTGCGTGAGGGGGTACGCCAATGGAGTTTGTATCTCATATACATAAAGCCAGCACTGCACTCTACGGTCTACCTACCTAACCTCAGCAACCTCCATCCCTCCTCTTCCTCTTCCTCTCCTCCACTACCACCACTAGGTAGGTAACACCACCAACCACCCCATCACCGCCGCCTCCCCGGTGCCACAAACGGCTTATTCATGAACCCACCACTGCTACCACTCCCACCAACCCCTCGAATACCACCACCACTACCACCACCACCCCACCCCCTCACGCTCCGCCGCATGCCCAGCGTTCGTCGCTGCTGGGGACCTTGCCCCTGCTGCTGCTGCTGCATAGTCACGCGCGCCATGGTCATGTTGTGCAACGAGTGAGCTGGCTGCTCTGGCTCCGCCCCCATCTCCGTCTCAGGCTCCGACCCTGGCGGCGGCGGCAACGGCGGCGGCGAGGACGCCAGCTCACGCGCTCCGTTATCATTGCCACCGTCGTCGTCGTCGTTGTTGTTGTTGTTGTTGTTGTTGTCCTCAGCCTCGGCCTCGCTCGGCAGCGGCGGCGGCGGCGAGCTCGACATGAACGAGTAGGGCTTCGTGACCGCGGCGGTGGCGGAGTGCGCGCCCGTGGCCGGGTAGGCGTAGGCGTAGGCGGGGCGCGAGGGGCGGGTGTGCAGGGGTTTGGTGAGGAGGCGGTGGTTGGTGGTGTTCGTGGATAGCGTTGAGGTTGGGGTTGGGATTATTGTGCGGAGGGAGGAGAGGGTTGCGGGGCGCTGGAAGCTGGGGAGGGGTGCTGAGTCTTGCTCTGTGTCTGGCTCTAAGTTTGCGTCTGGGGTTGACAGTGGCTCTGCTTGTGTTCCCGCTTCTGGAACTACGGCTGCGAGTGCCCTGGTGGGTTTGAGGGGTCGGAAACCGGGTACCCTGCGCACGCCGGCACCAGTGCCCGCGCTGCCTGTCTCCCTCAGCCGTTTCCGTCCCCGTGCATACGCAATCGCGTCCTCGACCTGGTCGGTCGGGCCAGGCAGCGCCTTCTTAACAGCCGGCCTGCCAAAGAAGCTCGTGATGCTGTTCTGGCCCGGCGGCCTCTTTGGCTCGCCGCTCGCGCTCTCCTTCTTCGAAGACTCCCGCTTCAGCTGCGCGATGCTGCTGCGGTGGCGCTCGTTCTGCTCGGCGCGCAGCGCGGCGTTATGTTCGGCCGTCTCTTGGATCTCACGCATGCGCGCGCCGGCGCTGACGAAGCCGGGGTTGGAGAAGTTGGACATGGTGAATTTTTCGGGTTGCTGCATGGTCACCGCTATGCCGGTGCCGGAGAGGTCGGCTGGGACTGCGTCGTTCAGGCGGCGCCGCTTGGTGTAGCCGTTGGACGGGAATTCGGCAGAGTATGATGTACTCGTTTCCTGCTCGGGATCCTCGCCGTCGAGTGGGTAGTGATTGTCTTCTGGCCGCTCGATAAGGGAGCGTGTCTCGTTACACACTTCTGGGGTTGGGCATGCTCGCCTGAGGATGCGCGCGAGGTCCTGTGTTGCGTTGTATCCGAAAATAGGACCCTGTGCCCCGAAGAACCTTTTCATCCGCTTGTGAGAAAGGAAGGATGACAGAACGGTCTCCTCCCTCTTCGTGTTCTTGATAGGACAGCTCAAATAAAGAAGCGATTGTGCTCTTGTCATGCCGACGTACAGCAATCTCCGTTCTTCATCTTGGTCCTCGGCTCTCGAGTGTGGTATTGAGCCGTTGTAGGCCGCGGGGATGAAGACTACAGGCCATTCTAAGCCTTTAGCTGCGTGAATGGTCGAAATTGTAACTTGGTCTGTCTCTGTTCCTTCTTCTTGTTGGACCTCTGTCGACAAAGAGACATTGGCGAGGAAAGCAGCTAGTGTATCTTCTGTCGATGAAAGCTCTCGCTGATCAATATCTTCGATCTGCGGCAAAGCTTCTTCTACCATGTCAAGGGCGTCTGCTTCAAGCAAGGCAGCATCCGTGGCCTGTGCAATCAGCTCTTGTACGTTCGCCCATCTACCTTCAAAATCTTCTGGGTGGGTCTTTTTCAAGTATTCTTCGAAGGATATCTTCTTCATGACATGGTCGATAAGATCAAGAAGTGAATACTGTTGTCCTTCTTTTGACGATAGTTTCTTTTGCGATGTGAGAATGACATTCACAAAAGACTGGATGCCCTTTTCGGCTGAGGATGACAGTTTCGTCCGGAGCCTTCTGCTTCCTTGAGCCGCACCAAGGACAAGGCTCCATAGAGTGGTTTTCCTCTCCTCTGCTTCCTCTAGCAGTGATCGCACTGTAACTTCTCCAACTTTTCGACTTGGAGTGTTGATGATCCTGGCCACTGCATCATTATGGTCTGGACGGTTGATGACACGGAGATAATCCAACAATAACTTAACCTCTACTCTATCGAAGAATCTCAGGCCACCGACCATGCGATACGGTATACCGGATTTAGCGAGGGCTGTCTCAATCTGTCTAGACAATGCCGCTGAACGGAGCAGGATTGCAAAGTCAGAGTAGGTCAGAAGCTTTCCAGTCAACGCATTTGCACGCTGAATTTCTTCAACGATCCACGTTGCCTCAATTGTGGCAGAAGGCAGCTTCCGCAAGACGGGTATCTCTCCAGCGCAATGCGTCGGCAGAAGCTTTTTTGCGGGACGATTCTCGTCCTGTTCTATGACTTCGAGCGCCGATTGCAAAATGGCGGCCGATGATCTATAGTTCTCCTCGAGAATGACAACAACAGTCTCCGGGTAATGTTTCTGCATTGTCCGGAGGTTTTTGATCTCGGCAGATCTAAACCCATAGATGCTCTGATCCGGATCGCCGACGATGGTAATGTTGCTTCTTTTCTGCGCCATCAGTCGCATAAGGTCATACTGAACGTGATTCGTGTCTTGAAACTCGTCGATGAGCACAGCTTCAATATTGGAAACGCATTCTGGACGACTCCGCAGAAGGTCAACGCAGCGTAGCAGAAGATCATCGTAGTCCAGAAGATTCGAGCTCTTCAGAGTTTCTTCGTAGTCTGAGTAGACGGTAGCAAACTCCTGCTGCTCCATCGCTTTTGTGGTAGTTCTATGTTGTTCGCAACTGATACTCTTGGCTTTGAGGCCCGATATTCTTGAGCGTGCAACGGATGGTTCGATACCATAATCGTGGCGTTTGATGATGCGCTTTAGGATAGCCAAGGTGTCAGAGGAATCCGCAATTCCAAAATTCTTCTCAATGCCGATATGATGGCCGTAGTAGACGAGAAAGCGTCTCGCCACAGAGTGAAAAGTGCCAAGAATGAGTTTGGCTTCAGTACCGTCTCCAACAAACCCTCGGATGCGCTCTTTCATTTCCCTTGCAGCCTTAATAGTGAATGTACAGACGATGATGTTCCACGGTTTAATCCCGACATGATTCATCAGGTACGCGACGCGTGCCGTCAGTGTTTTGGTCTTTCCGGATCCTGGCGGTGCCAGGACCTGAAGTACTGAAGCGGGGCTGGAGACAGCACATCTTTGTGCTTCATTCAGTCCCGCAAGGATGTCATCCATGGGAAGTTGTTCTCTCGGAATGGGGCAAAAAGTGTCGTGGAGCGGGAAAGGCCGCCTAAGTGCGACGCGAATCAACGCCTGATCACGTGCAGCTTCCGATATAGTCACTCACTATAAGCAAAAAGGTTTTACCATATGAAATTAAAGGCAAGTTGTTAGAGTATGTACCAATATTTCTGCCCTCGGTGATGATATCTATGTAAAATGTACAATTTACGCCCTGCCACCTGCCCCCGCGTCTGTCCCGCGTCACGGTCGCCTTCGGAACATCGCCTCACCGTCTGACCACATTTCATCACGTTCCTCCAAGCCAAAGCCGTATCGAACCAAACAATCGTCACCGAGGAACAAGTGCTGAGCTTCTAGCCAAGCGATTTCCTCCATTGGTCTTTTTGTTGATGTGAAAGTATGCGCGCGCAACCGGTCAGATGTGACATTCGAAGTCACTAATCTTCACCCTCTTTCTGGAGGAACAAGAGATGCGACTGACCCTTCAGGTGAGCCGAAAGCCCATTTGTCTGAGCAATTTCTTCGACTCTGTTCACGTCGCTGAAGCTGGTCCACTTATCTTTAAAGTGGATGTAAGCCACTCCGAGATCGATTACGCACTTCACTTTGTAGTCGGCTCCCGCATGGTTATCTTCATCAAAATAAGCATGAAGAGAGATGTCATCAACCGGGAGCTCCAAGGATTTTCCACCCTCTGGAATCCAGACCGATAAGACCAAGTTTTCTGGAGAGTTGCAAAATCCTTCGTTTGCGAAGCAGAGGTTAAGGCTTCGACATTTCAGGCAGTGCTCTTCGGTCGACTGTGTGCTCATCCAAATTCTGAAAAGGTGATGTATGGTCTGACCTCCAGAACCTAGTCCCGTTTTGAGAAGTAGCGCTGAACAACGATCTTCCGACGGCGACTTAAGTCTACAGGTCCAACAGGTGAAACCCCCTTTAGTCTCGATGGCGAAATTATCGACCACTAAGTTAGATCCGATTGCCAGGTCCAGCTCAGTGATACAAATGTCGAACATCTCTTCAGCATCCCCAGAATCTTGATCGACCCATGACTCGGAATATTCTTCTGGCCTTAGCTTCTTAGTGAGAAGGCAGATCCCGAGGAACATGTAAGCGGCGAGAAGCGGAACTATCGGCTTCTCATCTTGCATGTCAACCTCCTGGAGAACCTTCACTATGTATTCTCCGAGCTTTGTAAGGCGTTCTTGTTGGTGGATCTCCCTCTCGATACTGTCCATCACCTTTTTGGAGATCTGTTGGCATTCTTGAGGAGAATACTCCTGGTCGAAACTGATGCCATGGAAGCAATCAGGTGTCTGAGATGCTGACGGTTTTGAAAGGAGCCCGGCTAGCTCTACGGGATCGAAGAGCACCCGAATGACCACGAGAACCGCTTTCGCCGTTTTGAAATCTGAAGGCCACTGGATTTCCCGAGTGCAAGATGTCTCTTGCAATGCTGCCTGCTCTTCCTTGAAGCTGTTCTCGAATAGGCCGTCCATACTGCTGCTCGTCCTTTTCTTCTCCGCTTTCTTTGGCCGTATCCAATTGAACAAGGAATACTCTCTGGATCCGCTCATAATTCGCTGACTTGTCTCCGGCCGAAAAGGGGAAACAACTTTGGCCGGAGTGGTGCTTTGACATCCCTGATACGTGCTGGATACAGGTTCTGGAGATCTGCGGGCCTCGCCATTACTCTGTGTCAATTTCTTCCGTCGGCTGGCCATCAGCTTGGCGAGAGCCAATTCCTTCCTCGCGCGGCCATCATGTCTGTCGCGCTGGGAACGCTCTTCATCTTTATAGCGCCATTTATCCCAGTCACTCTGTATATCTCGCCTTTCCTGCTTCTTTTTCTCTTTGCGCGATTTCTGGGAAAGAATGTTATTAAGCCATGGGAGGCAAGAACTGCGCTAGCACATGGTGCTTACCTCATCTATCGGTGGCGATATGTTCTTTCTTTTCTCGGGCATCTTGACGCGATGGTCGTCGTGATGAGAGAGATAGGTATGAAAAGAAGGGTGTCAGAAATCTCATTACAAGTCGCATTTGCGTACGACACCTAGTCCTGTATGTTGCGGGTGTCGCTATAGAGAAAAGGTGAAGGCTACTTGCACGTATGCGTGGAGAGCAACAAAGTGGTTTGCATGCGCGTTAGCAAACCGCCAAGGTTTTATATGGTACCAAAGCGAGAAAAGGATCATGGGTTAAGAGATATCGATCCATGGTTGGCGCGACCAGCAACAAGCAACCCTCAAACTTGCCAGATTTGAGTTTCGACAAGGAAAGCGCGAGTACAAACTCAACGATGCGGATCCCGCTTTCGCGTCTAACTTACAGAACGACCTCTTTACTCTAGAGATGTGAGTTTGCAGTCAATTTCTCTTAAGCTAAGCATTATTTCTACCTGTTTCATCCCTGAAGATTGACTGAACTAGTAGTAATGAAATCGCAAAGCACCGTCTTTGAATAAAAGAAGACTAGGAAGCCAGAGACATTTGTTGAAATCCCCCCGCTCCTGATGTCCTGGCAAATATGAAAGAAATCAGCCACTATCCTTTTCAAGGAGAACAAGCTGAGTAGCACCCCGTAGACGTTTGCTGACTTCCGCACTCTCGCCCAGCTTTTCCACTTCTTCATCACGAAACCGGGTCCAAACACTGTTTGTGACAGTGTAAGCCGTATCAGAACCATCGATGATCACTTTGGCGTGATAGCTGATCGTACCTCTACTGACCAGTTGGATGCGTACAGGTGCGTCCACCAGAAGCTCCATGCTCTTTTTATCTTCTGTTCGTCGAATACAGAGCATGATATACTCCGGCGTAGTGGTAAACACATCCCACTTAAATTCCACCTCTTCAACGCCACATTTCTCGCACTTTTCCAGGAGAATGTGAGGGCTATAAAGCAAGTTTTCAAGCGTCTCACTGCTGGCAATACCGGTTCTTTCCTGCATCTCGATGGGCAAGACGAAACCACTCTCTTCGACGGGACCCATTCGGCCGCAGCCATGAACCTTGCAAATTCGGGTACCTTCCGCGGTGATGCCGAACTTATCTGAAAGGAATGTTTTTTTCTCCGATAATTCCAAGCCCTTGTCGAGCTCAGATAAAAATATATCAAAAAGTCCCTCGCTGGTAGTATGCGGAACATATTCGAGCGGCTTGAGCTTTTGGACCATGCGGCACAGACCGAGGAAGACATAAATTGCCAGATTTGATACCCTTGGTACCCCGTCCTTGAAGTCGACTTCGGGAAGGATTTGCGACATATATTCCGCGATAACCTTAGAACCACAGCTGTCTCCAATGTTCACCTTGATGTGCCGTAGTAACTTGCTATGGAAGTGGTCGAACAATTCAAGGGTTTTTGCGACCTCGCCAAAAGCATTCTCGCGACTCAAATTGAAGACGTTTGGCGTGGTGACACGCGGTAACGCGTTTCTCAGGGCTTCGGGGTCAATGGCAGTTCGTAAAGCGACCAAAGTGGCGCTCGCAGCAATGTACTCCGGATAGGTCGGTAAGCGTTCTAAGCTTGACCTCTGCATCTTGTCCGGGCTCTTCTCCGTTGTACAAATCCGAGCGGATTTTGTGGGTGGATAGATGTTTCCTTCTTTCTCAGTTGGACGTTTCGAAGCTTTGGGTGTACTGAGTCTAGTATTGTTGCTGTTGCTTCTGCTGATGTTATTTTGGAGGAGTAGTATGACGTTCCATGCGTCGACTATGAGTTGGGCTATTGGTAGTTCTCATTTATTCTATGTGACCTGAGAGACATTCAGGGCCTTCTGACCTTGTAAGTTGTAACACCCACTCCACTTCTGTATTGTCGCCTTTGAAGTCTTCTAGCTTCATCAGTAAGTTTCGGATTTTGTGAAAGCAAAAGATTGTCTCACTTGGGGGCTGACAGAAAAAGCAAACAGGACAAGTGCCGCACAAGAGCAAATAGTCACATTGTTAGAGACAACTGTCAAATATGAAGCAATTGCGGGCGTGACCACGACGCAGCGCAGCAAAAACTATAACACTTACAGTAACTTTTATTTGCTGATCGACAATTCGAGCGGCTGGTGGTGCACTCAGGTACGCCCGTGGCATCTGCTAATACCTGTCAAATGCCCAACTGAGTAACTGAGATTCGGATACCACGGTAGGTATAACAGGCGACTTCCATGGTACACTGAAGAGGTGGCGTTCAAAATGACACAGTGGACACTCAAAGGAAAGTCGGAATAGATATATTTGGAGGCTCGAAGTTTTACTGTCGACGAGGGTCAAGCGAAGACTAGTTCAGGTTTGTTGTCACGGAACCCGGTCCACACTCCATTACGACAGTGGCACATGACGGCGACCACCAGTCACGATTCACTTCGCTTCAGCACTTATTCACATATTTCGCACGGACATTTCAGTTCAGTCCGTAGCTCTTAAATACCCAAGCCTCTCCTGCCCTTGCCCAAAACCACCTCCTCCAGCGACTCTTTTCGCCAGCAACCTTTCCACCGCCGTTGGAAGCCGATTATCCTCTTTGTTTCCCTTATAACACCATTCAGAACACCTTTGTCCCTTCTGTCACCTACACCTATCCGGTCTCTTATAAACGCAACCGCAGCCCAGCCGCCATGCCGAAGAAATTGAGTGATCATGAGAAGAAGTTCCGCAAATGGAAGAAGAAGCATATACCACACCACAAGGAACGGAAGGAGGTAAATCACTCTTATGCTCATCTCCCTTGTCAAACAACCTTATGAGAATAACTTAACTAACATTCCTGGCTTCTAGGCTGAGGCCTACTTCAAGAGCAGCATTGGCGGTGCCGCGAAGTCCCAACGCGCCCATCCCGATGGCCATGATGCCGCTTCGCCCATTGAAACCGCTAATGTACGTTCTCCCTCCTCATAGACCACAAGTCTCATACCTGACTTCTTCACCCAGAGCACGGCACGCCTCCAAAACCTCGAAACTGAGCTATTCCCAAACACCGCATTCCATGCCGCTCCCGGCTCCGTTGCTGCCCGCAGGGCTTCCGCCGAAGTTCGCCACACCCTTGCCATGGCGAAAAATATCTCTAAGAAGCTTTCCGACCCTGACCCCAAGTTCCCGTCCCACGCGGACGAAGCCCTCCCTTCACCTATCTCGCCTCTCGCCTCTCCAATACCCGACAAAAAATCTCCCAGCAGCTCCACGCCGCGCCCCATCACACGCCCTCGCCCGCGTCGCGCCTCCATCAGAGATGACCCTCCTCCCTCCTCCCCTGCGTGGGCTGTCGTCTTCCCCGGCGCTCGCCCGGTCGGTGTTAGCGGCGAGAGCGCTGACGCTTCCTCGGCTATGTCTACTCCCAACTCCGCCACTTCCACAGACTCTTGCCCAGAGCGTCCCAGAGAGACGTTCTTCGAGACTAAGAAGACGGTCCCTAAACCGAAGCCTGTTACGGAGAAGGCTTTAAAGCCTGGAAACACTGCTGCCAGCCGTACCACCGCCGCCGGCAAGGCCTCCTCCACAGCCAAGGCCTCTTCCGCCGCCAAGGCCTCTTCCACCAGCAAGGCGTCCTCCGCCGCCTCCGCAAAGCGCCCCGCTGCTCACGCCACTCGCCCTGTTGACGCGGAACCCCCTATAGCCATCAAAACTCCGAGCCGCTTGGTGCGCCGCCCGGAGAAGCACACTCCCAAAGTCTTCGTCAACGCTCCTCGCCCAGCCAAGTCCGGCAGTGCCGGCAACACTCCTGTCTCCGCAAAGCCCGCTGCGACGGCCGCCACTTCTGCGCGCTCGCCTCGCCCTGATGAAGCATCCGCCGATGCGAAGAAAGCGGACAACAAGCGCAAGCGCGAGGATGACGGCGAGGCGGAGAACAAGGCCCCAAAGCCACAGGAAAAGCGGGTTTGTTTTGAGTGAAGGGGTTGGCTGCTTGCGGCTTTTTGTCTTTGCCTTGGAACTCTTTGGTTGTTCTGAGCAGGATGATTGGTTGGTTGGGCTCATGGCTTCTCTGGCTTTGAACGGCCTTTGTTGCCGCTTTGTCTTCCTCGCTTTTTCGTGACTTCTTGACTTTTTCTTAGTTTTTATTGGCCTTCTCTTTGTTTTTTTCTTTGTCTTTCATTTAGCTCCTTCATGGCCTCTCTGGTTTTCTTGGAGCCTCACGTGATTTTTTGGCTTTGAGATACCCGCTAATGATAGGTTTCTTCAATTCCCAGTGCACTGCATTTTGATTTTATTTAACACAGCAAACTGACAAAGACTGTTAGGTTCGGCCGAGAACAGTTCTGCGTGCAAGTGAATAAGATTACTTAGTTCTGTTGCGGAGTCTAGAAATTCTCATATTATCTATTTGACAATCTGATGCAGCAGAGAAATTTAATGAAAGATACTATGGAATTTTCCCCTTGTTTGTCTCATGGGTAGGGCCAGGCAAACCGAGTTGGTGTTCAATTCTCACCGCTATGAGTTACTTTTTGGCATCTCAGCTAACTGAGTCTCTTCAAACGTCTTTGGTGGTGCCTTTAGCCGCGGATGGTCTTTGTCTTCCAAGTCTAAAACAGCAAGCCTTTCCCCACTCTTCGTGAAAGGAACGTTGGAAGCGCAGCCATTCCATACTCCAGCCCCGAGCTCTTCATGTGCGAGACGTTGCAACTGCAACGTTTCGTTCGTGTTCCATTCAAGACGTGCATATACGTCTAGGTTACGACTTCGCTGGATCCAACTTATCATAGGTTCAAGCGTATAGGACAAGCAGATAACGATCGTACCAAGAACAAGAGTGAAACAAAGACCAAACACAGAAATGTTGAAGTAGTCGGAATTTTGGATTTTCTAAAGGGCGTGAATGGTCAGCAAATAGACGAGCAAGATTTAAATGTCTTACTTGATTATGACAGATGTTTCGCTCCTCTGTGTTATTTGCTTTCACCAACCAACGCTCTAGGTTCAGGTCCGACAACCCTTTCGCGGTATCAGCTATGGCTCCTTGCAGAGTGGCAAGTGAAGAAGCATGCCAGCTCTCCACCTCCATCTGCCATTGGTTGTCTGGAAGTTGACCTGAGTAACCGACGCGCAGCTTGTAGCGTGCTGCCAGTGAAGCCGCCTCGAGATAAGCCGGAACAGTAGCCATAGAACCGCTTCTCACGTTTATAGTCAAACTGATCCAGTCAAAAATATTCCGCTTCTTGGTGCTTTGCGCAAGATAGTGGGCCAGTATGTAGGATTCCGTTGAACCACCAAACCGCGTACATTGGCTGCCCGAAGGCAAGCTCGGATCACAGTACTGTTCTTTGATTGAGCAAGCAAGAGCGGATACCGGTTCATCTTTCTGATATGTCGTGGTATTACCAGAGTATTCCGAGTCAGCTTTCATGGTGTATGAGCTTCTATGAGCCGAAAACCACGGGTCGTCCACTATTTGTGCGTAAAGGATTCTGTTTGCTGACAGAAAGATGATGTGTATATCGGCGTCCGGCTGTTCAAGTTCAGGGATGGGAATTAGACTTAATCCCGGCGGAGACGAGTATGATCCGTTGAAAGTGTAAGTACTGGATACGCTGCAAACAGTCAGTGACCGCAAGTTAAACTGGAGGTATATGGAATACCCAATTGTATAGTCTTTACCACCACCCATCGCGTTGAAGCCTTGTTCTGGTATCGATCGCTGAGACAATTGCGGATATTCGTACGTGAAAGACTCATCCGAACCCTGCTCGTTCTGTGAACTCGTTGTATAGTAGTAGCGTGTGTAATTTTCTCTCGTTTCAGGGTCTTGGTATGGCTTTTGGTACCCGTCCGTTTTAATAGGGGCACAGCTTGATATACGACGGAAAAGGATACGCTCATTGGGTGGGGCGTTGATACCGAAGTCGAAATGGCTATCCAGATATCCGGTATCGAAAACAATGTTACCATAATCAAGCTTGCAAATGCCGTCCTGAAAGGGGCAACTCGCATTCCGGTCGATCTTGGTTGGCAGTTGTCGCTTGATGAATGCTTTGCAGGAAGCTAGGTCTGACACGTCGGTGATACAGTTCCGTGCATAATTTGTATACGTGTTCGTTAGTTCCGCCCCAAATGGGTACAGATATGTTGCTGCGGACTGCATGTCGGTAGTTTCGCTATTAATTTGGAGGAGGCCACAAGTCGGACTGCGAACAAGGACCTCGTTTCCCATTGCAGTGGAGATACTGGAAGAGAAAGTACCAGCAGTTCCAAAACCACCAATACAGATGGCTGCAAGGCCAATGATTGGCAAAATGCGCTGGTACGGCCTGGTTCGAGTAAACTTGATTTGAGCAGCACTTCGTCGCCATACCCAAAGAACATTGAGTAAGCTCCAGAGGCCACTTGTACTATTGGCCGAATTCCGAAGTATGGCTTGCCTCTGGTGATAAAGCGCGTCTTGAGCAGCCTCGGTGGAGTAAAGTGAATGAAAAGCGAGGCAAGAGATTCTCCAGAAGCTTGTCCCGACAACACTGACAAACATGGCCAAGAAAGCGATGAGGAGGGATCCATCTCGCCGATCAAGAGTGATAGTTGCTCCAAGAGTATGGCCTTTGCTCCAATTGATCCAGTATCCAGTGTATATATTGTAGGCAACAGTCTTGTTGTTTTGTGAAAAGGTATCCATATTTCGAGGACACTAAGTGCAGGAAGTAGCTCTTTCAATAAACGGTAAACTTCAGAGTGAGATATGAGGACGAAAAGCTTGAACTTGGTTCTTAGCAAACCTTACGCATTAAATATAAACGAAATTGCCTCTCAAACCACATGTCCAACAACCCAGAATTTTTACCTCTCGATCAGCTGAAGCTCTATCAGCTATGGATCGTCGCATGTATTTTTAGAGCAATAAATAGAAGATGCATGGAAGTCCACAAAGAGAACAAGATTTTGAGAGCTGAATATAGCCCCGCACATATGCAGTGGACTCGAATGAGAAACGCCTGGGAGTATATATAGGCCGAATAAACCCAATTCGCTGTTCAAATTCCAAGTGCATCCGAGCGTCCAGGGCGCGACGTTAATCAGCATGCAACAAGGAACTTTTATGCTTAAAATAGATATTGTAACTGCCTCAGCCTCGTTATGTACAAGTCTACAAGGCTGTACGTATATCAGCACCCATGAAAAGTGGGACGGTCCTGGGGTTTCACCTTCTTGATCCGTGATAGCGTGGCCAAGGGTTAGGTGGGGGTTGAAAATGGGTCGGTCCTCAGTTAATCCGTCTTACTTAAAAATAAATAGAAGACAATCTTCCTTATTTTTTAAGCGTACTCTATGGCGTTAGGTAGAAGTTCCATGTGCCAATGGTGTTGAGCACTAGTCACTTCAGCTAGTGGCTGTATTTTTCGGTATTAGATAAGATAACAGAATTGAGGGCTTACATAAGTTGTTGGAGATCACAATTCGTGCTTGTATGGGCATAAAGAGTACGGAAGATCTATGTATATCGTTGGTCCCTTCATTGTTACGAGAGAGACTACCGTTGGAAGTGAATGGTGGATGGGTTTTGTTTGACGCAGAGACTATAACTCACCCCAAAGGACTTATTTCACTAGAGTAGCGGTCCTTTCAGCAAAAAATTGTGATTGTTTGCAGTCTTCGATGAGTATTTGTGAATGAGAAGTTCGAGGTTGAGCCTCCTGACGGCGAAGAACACTCACAATTCCAACAGCAAGTAACAGCGGAGGAAATTGACTGAGACGGACGAGGAAACCGAAGTAAAGTCTGTCACCGTCAAACGAGATTCATCGCCTGACGAGATATTAATGCTTGTACGGAGTAGAAACGAATTTTAGTCAAGATATCTATAGTATACGTGCGTTCTATAACCTTATCTATATCTAGGGCTCAGGATTTTAGGTCTACAAGTAGTACTTTATAGGGACTGCTTATATTCTTCCCTACCTCGCTTGAATATGAATTTTGCTGGACGGTGACGGACGTTAAGGTCTAATAATGGTGGAGAAAGGTAGTGTTAAGGTGACGCGACAAACAGGGTCCAACACGAACGATCTGCAACCAGGACGATAGTCGTAGCCGCTCTCTCTCTCTCTCTTCATCCTACTCACATCTCGGCTTATACTGTACAAATGTCTCGGGACACCCGAGACTACCACTCTGTGGCGTCGAGAAGCGAGTAGGACCAGTTCGATTGAAGTCAAGTGCACTATGGATCCGGGCCGAGTTGTGTGCCCTGGCACTAGCAGCAGCAGCCCCACCCCGCATCCGGGCAAACCTAATATTAACATTTAATCATCACAGCATTCCAACAATCCAACACTCAACATCTTCTCAAGCTCCAATCCCAAACCAAAGACCAAGAAAAGCCCCGAACTCAAACTATCAAGAAAAACACTCCTCAAACCCATAACCGCCACCACCACTACCACCACTACAACAAACCATCACACCACCAAAAATGGCCGCCGACACCGCCCACCCCACCATCGCGTACAAAATCCTAACCGCGCTGCAATACGCCGACTGGGTCGACAAAGGCATCTTCATCGGCGCCAGCATCGATCTCCAAGACGGGTACATCCACCTCTCAACCGCCACGCAGAGTCTGGAGACGTACGCGCGCTACTTTGCCGCGCAGCCGGACCTCGTAGTTGCGGAGCTGGATCTTAGCCGTCTGGGCGAGGGCGCCGAGCTCAAGTGGGAGGAGTCTAGGGGCGGGGACTTGTTTCCTCATATTTATGGGAAAGGCATCCCCATTGCTGCTGTTAAGAGGCATTGGGATCGTGTGGATCGCGCGCTTATGGAGGGGTTGGCCGAGGGAACGGTTTGAGGCGTTGGTTGGTTGGCGGGGGGAAAGGGGGGGAAGGTGATTTTTGCGGAGGATGAAATTCTGGATTTTAAAGCCGGTCGCCAAAAAAGGCCTCTGGATATTTCGCTTAGTGGGCTCTTGGATTGAATGACAGGGTGGAAAGATTTGTATTTTCTTTTTATTTTGCCTACACCACATTTTGACTATTAAGGTGGAGTCCACTGAATCTTTTTAGGCACAATTTGAAATTGACAACCAGCTCAGCGTCACAATAAGTTTGGAATCCATGAGACAATGAGACAATAAAGAAAATCGTGAACAGTTCATACAGAATCACTCTTGTATTCAAAAAGCCTTGCCGAAATATCCAACACCTAGAGATACATAAAAGTTCTATACATACCGAGAAACCACATCCAAGTGTCAGTACACTACTCCTACAGGTACGCTACCCGGTATCCAGATCTAAACCAAATGCCTTTTCTTTCCACACTCCTCACGCCGCTCCGCTCTATTGTATCCGCGTATCTATTCGCGCAAGAAAGTCTTGTAAATGGGGTTGTCCGTCTCCTCAACAAATGGGTACTTGATACGCGCAAGGAACTCCCTGAGCTCATCTTCCTTGCCCGCCGGGCACTGGATACCCGCCAGGATCTTGGCCACGTCACCGCCGTGGTTGCGGTAATGGAAGAGCGAGATGTTCATGTCGGGCTGAAGCTCCGTCAAGAACTTGTACAGCGCGCCGCCCCTCTCGGGGAACTCGAAAGCAAACAACCGCTCGTCCGCAACGGCGCCTGAGCGTCCGCCGACAAGGTACCGGACGTGGCTCTTGGCCAGCTCGTCGCCGGACAGGTCGTTCGCCTGCATACCATCCTTCTCCAACCGCGCCAACAGATCTGCCAGGTCCCGCTCGCGGGACATCGGGCTGAGCGCAACCCCTATCAAGATGTTTGCGTGGGTAGGGCTGTGGTAGCGGTAGGCGAATTCCGTCACGGCCATTGGGTGGACGGCAGAGATGAGCTTCGCGAAAGCACCAGGTTGCTCGGGAATGACGACGGTGAGCAGAGCCTCCCTCCTCTCACCCAGCGCCGCGCGCTCTGCGACGAACCGGAGACGGTCGAAGTTCATGTTTGCGCCCGAGGCAACAGCGACAAGGCCGCGGTTGGTGTTGGGTGAGGGGTTGGACGCAACATACTTCTTGAGACCAGCAAGCGCAAGTGCGCCCGCAGGCTCGACGATGGAGCGAGTGTCCTCGAAAACGTCCTTGATGGCGGCACAAGTCTCGTCGGTGGTGACCTGGATGACATCGTCGATGACCTCCGTGCAGATACGGAAAGTCTCCTCACCAACAGTCTTGACGGCCGCACCGTCGGCGAAAAGACCGACATCCTTGAGCAGTACCCGCCTCTTCTCCTTCAGTGACTGCACCATCGCGTTCGCGTCGTAGGTCTCGACACCAATGACCTTGACATGCGGCGCAATGCGCTTGATGTAGACACCGACACCCGCAATGAGGCCACCACCACCGACGCAACAGAAGACAGCTTCCAGCTCCTGCAGGTTGGTCTGGCGCAGCAGCTCCATTCCAATGGTGCCCTGGCCGGCTATAACGTACGGATCGTCAAAGGGAGGAATGTTGGTCAAGCCATGCACCTTCTCCAGCCTGTGTGCCTCCTCCTTCGCGGAATCGAAGTCTGGACCATGCAACACGACATGACCACCCATCCGAGAAACGTTCTTATGCTTGATGTCGGGAGTGCCGGAAGGCATGACGATGGTTGCAGGTATTCTGAGTTTCCGGGCAGAGTAGGCGACGCCTTGCGCATGGTTTCCTGCTTTTCTTAGCATATATCCCACAGATCTCCAGATACATGTGCATACCGGCCGAACATGCGACAACGCCCTTGAAGCTCTCCTTCTGGTCGAGGTGTGCCATCTTGTTGTACGCTCCTCTCAACTTGAAGCTGAAGACTGGCTGGAGATCCTCGCGCTTCAGCAGCACCTTACATTCTAACCGGTTGCTAAGGTTAACAGCATGTGTGAGAGGCGTCTCCTTCACAACTTCGTAGACGCGCGAGGTCAGGATAAGTCGCAGGTACTGAGAGACTGTCAGGTTACTTCACGACTGACGGCATGATTCTGCGGGAATCTTTACATCTGGGTAGCCGCTAGGGAGCAAGAAGTGGTCTGGAATGTTGAATGACGGTACGGATTCAGCGTTCGAGTGCGGTGGTGAGGGATTCGCGGTGTACTCGGTCAGGGCCAGGCCGCTAACGCTGGGCGTCTGGGGGCGAGTGTTTGAGCCATTGGACTCAGTAGTGGGCGTCGCTGGAGTCGCCATGGTTGGAAACGTATATCCAAGTAGCAATGGAACGAGGAAGCGGTGTTGTAGAGTCGTGAGAGAATAATTAACTGACTCTTCCAGTATCAGGTCACCGTGCTGCGTCAGAGTCGCGGCCCACATATTTTCAAAGCTCCGACGCTCCGATCTCGGCACGACTCGTGAATCGATCCTCCGTGCAGCTTTCTGACTCGCTCGGAGCTGTTTGTTCCTCTCACGACTTTGACATGTTCAATTCACCTTCAACTGCGCAACGATCACAGTGAGCGCCACCTCGTCGCTTCCTCCACCATTCTCCAGACGATCTGACAAGCCGCGGTAGAGACATGTCTACCCACCATCACCATCATGCCCCTGGCCACAAAGCCCCGGCCGAAGAGGTTCGCAGTCTCGACATGCTGACCCAGCGCCTCCAAACTCTCAACTCGGCGCTAGAGGTGATGAAGAAGGCGCAAACGATGCATACCTACGACGTCGGGCCACCTCCTTGGCTCACCACCCTCAACCAAACCAACGTCATCACAGGCCGTCTAAACTCCCTCCTCGAAACGTTCAACAACTCGCGCACGTTGCTCAATCAAGCTCACTCATATCCGCTCCCGTCCTTCCCCGGCCGCACGCACGAGGCCATCGCAACACAGCTCACGCGCAAGAAGCTTGAGCCATGGGTGGAGGATTGGGTCGCAGATGGTGTGAAGCACGGCCAGAACGCTGGCCTTGATCCGGAGAACAAGGAGAGTGTGTCCGTCGCAAGCGGGGTTGCTGCGATTGATGGTGCGCCCGAGGGAGTACTGAGCGCAGCACAATTAGACGAGCTATGGGACTGGGCAGGACCGGCAGGCGGCAACGTAGGCCGAAGCGTCATGTCCGGAGAGATGGACGAAGACGAAGGGGAGGACGAAGATGAAGACGAAGAAGATGAAGGAGAAGACGAGGGCGCGATGGAAGGTGTCGAAGGAACGGACAAGAAGGGCGAAGGAGAGGCGCCAGCGGTGCCAATGATGCCGTTGGGAGATATCCTGCGTTTTGCTACCACAGGTGGTTTTGGCAAATAACCATATGGGCAAGAGCAGGAGCATCATTCGGCGCTTTGGGATCCTTCCTTGAGGTAGGGAACGCCAGACAAGCGATGCAGTTATTCTTCGAGACATTAAAGATGATACCCGAGCTGCTTCTAGGAAGTGGCTTTTCAAGACAGTTCTTTTAACAGCCGCCCTTCTTTACGGGAGAATGTGCCACTCAGGCAGACTCTGTCGAACCCTCGATGGATAGGATCATCTTTTATCACCATGTCAGCTTGCGTTTCCTGTGCGCGTCAACAGCTTACGTTTAGTGATAACGCAAGCTCTGCTCCATGCAGCAGTTGAGAAGTGTATGCGAGGGCTTTCTCAGTTCCCACGGATCAATCATCACTGAGCAGTTAGTGCAACAAATGAGGTTGCCTCTCCGAACCTCTCAAATACGTGTCGCCGCCTTTCCAACCAGGGTTTAGCTTTAAAACAACAAGACTCGCGACGTTGGAAAGCACATGCAAACCGGATGGTTTCCCAAAAACAGTCAATTCCGCGGACATCCTTCGGCTAACCTGCCAATGTGGAGCGCTGCAAAGCTCGAACAACATCCCCGGATGCGATACCCCACTTGAAAGCTTGAGCTCCGCATCAGATCGACAAGATTTGAGAGGGGAAAAATGCCCGGGCATGGATCTCTCCGCTTCTTATTCCGGGAAAGGGTCTCGGATAGCGTTAAAAGCCGCAAGGAGTGGAGCGGCAGGCTTCCTTAGTGCAGCTCCCGGCACTTTGCATCCGTCTTCGGGTTTAAAGTATGTGAGCGCTTATTACCGATAACCGCATATCGAAGCCCATGAGTCTGGCTCAACAATCTGACAAACACGTCCAATTGGTGCTTGTCCCTGGCTGTTATGCTTGCAAGATTAACACCAGGGGGCGGGCGTTATCTCATGCTTGATGTAAGAGACGCAGGTACCGAGGAAATATTAATCACCAGGGTTTCATTGATGAGCAAACGGGGATGACGTTGTGAGGGAAGCGGTCAGCGGCCCGAGGCCCAATCAACCTCGTCACACTCGATGTTGGACGGGCTTGCATGAACAGTGGCAATCATATACCAGGGTATCAAGACTGCTCTGTGCAGACACAAGATCATATTCTTCTTGTTCTGAACGCTGAGTGTCGTCCCCACGGGCACCCCCGGCCCGGCTTGGCGATAAGGCTTGGCAGAGCTTCTCTTGACGATAAAAATGCTTGGGAAGAAGACCAACAACCATAAACATTTTCCAAGAAACCTCATGAGAAATTATGAAAAGATCAGCGTCTCAGGCCAAACCTCGAACAGGCTAGTTTCGGGACTTTGCTCAATCACCGTCAAGCCGTCAAAACATTTTTCTGTCTCCGCGTGCACCACGTGCCGGGAGTGAGCCCCGACTGATCGACGTCATATGGACAAGGATATTACTTGACTGGGTTGAACATCCGCCCCAATCGCCCTCCACCTTGGGTGGTCTTGGTGTGGAGTGGCCGTGCACGAAAGTGAGTGACTACCTCTTTACCATTTTTGTACGGCTAGCACATGAGCCGCCAGGCCGCGTGGACGTCATGGAGACGATATCTGGAGATGATGGGATGCGCCACACAAGAGACTGTCAGTGTCTAGGGGAAAAGCAACCCAGATCCACCTTCAAAAGAAACTTGGGAAGGCCAGCCAGAGGCAAAAGATATTTCCGTTCTCTCCTTCATAATTTGTCCTCTCAATAGTCCTTCAGTCTCCAAAACTTCTCAGCCAGTGTATGAAAGCATTCCGTTGCTCCGGCTTCGATGGAGACTCGCGTTCACCACAGCCCAGGTCGTGCAGACCCCGCGACGCTGGAGAAGGACATTGATTCGAAATCCGAAATCAACCTTCCAGACTATGACTCTCCTGGAGCGGGCATTCATGGAGCTGGATCCGAAGGCCGGATAATGCTTCCAGAGGAGAAGATCCTCGACTACGCAAAGACTCATCCAAACGACCCGGAGCCCTTCTATGTCACATACGCAATAAACGATAAGGACAACCCGCGAAACTGGCCAAATTGGAAAAGATGGTACATTACTTGCTTTGTGAGCTTGCTCAACGTTCTCACGTATGCACTGTCCTGTTTCTTTTCTATGTCAGTGGACAGACTAACAATGCGATCCAGATGCCTTTGCGCAGGCGGTTACAGCTCCGGACAGGATGACCTCATTGAGGAGTTTCACGTATCCGCCGAGGTCGGCACCGTGGGCTTGTCGATGTACATTCTCGGTTTCGCAATCGGGCCTCTAATGCTCGCACCGCTTTCCGAATACTTCGGCCGCAACCCGATATACGTCGTGTCGTGGGGACTTCTCGTTATATTTCAGATCCCTCTGGCGCTGGCTCCAAACATCGGGACTGTCATCGTGTGCCGTCTGATCCAAGGTTTCTTTGGTAGTGCGCCTTTGACCAACACCGGGGGGACAGTCAGTGACCTATGGGGACGGAACGAGTGTGGCAACGCCATGGCAATCTATGGGCTAAGCAGCACTTTCGGCCCACCAATGGCGCTCGTTATCAGCGGGTATATTGCGCTTGAGAAAGGCTGGCGGTGGCTCTTCTGGTGCTACCTGGCTATCTTTGGCGGTATCTGGATAATCCTTGTCGTAAGTATTTATTGCTGTTGTGCTGCTTACACAGCTAACCTCACGCCAGCTCACCATACCCGAAACGCGCCACACTACCATCCTTGAGAGGAAGACGAAGCGCCTGCGCAAGCGGCTGCAGCAAGAAAGCCTTGCCGCAGCAAGCAACCTGCACGACGCCAACGCCAGCGAAAAGAAAAACCTACACACGCTCTTTGCGATCACGTTGACACGGCCTTTCCGTTTCCTCTTGACGGAACCCATAACGTTTTTCGCGGCCGCTTATAACGGGTTTATTTATGGCATTGTATACCTTCTCAATGAAGCCTTCCCGTTGGTGTTTGGGCCCACTGGCCACGGCTTCAATACCGGCGAGTGGGGTCTTTCGTTCCTCGGCCTTGCGATAGGATCTTTGGTCGCTGCGTGCTTCCATCCCCTCCAGGAGCGATACTACCTCAAGCGCGTGGCAGCCAACGACGGGCACGGCGTGCCGGAGGCACGCATGTGGGTGAGTTATAGCCGTTCTTCTTCACGTCCCTTTCCCTCACCCCCTCCAACCGCTACAAACGAACCTAGAGCTCAAACTAACACCCCCCAGCTCGCACGCATCGGGACATTCCTGCTCCCAATCTCGCTCTTCTGGTTCGCATGGACGTCCTACCCCAGCGTACACTGGATCGTGCCAATAATCGCGTCGAGCTTCTTCGGCGCGGGCATCTACATCATCATCCTGGCCATCCTCAACTACGTCGTCGACGCATACCAGACGTACTCGGCGTCGGCGCTGGCGGGCGTGATCCTCGTACGCAACCTCGTCGGCGCAGGCTTCCCGCTCTTCGCCAAGCAGATGTACCTGTATCTGGGCTTGGAGTGGGCCAGCTCGTTGCTCGCGTTTCTGAGCCTCCTCATGCTGCCCATCCCGTTTGTGTTCTTTTATTGGGGCGAGAAGATTCGGCTTAAGAGTCCGTGGGCGAGAGAACATTTTGCTCAGGATGAGGATAAGCCGCATTAGTGTGTGGAGGGGGGAGGGGGTGCTGCTGTGCAGGTTCATGTGTTTTGTAGGGAAGGGATTGGATTGATGGAGGATGGTTTGTGTGTTTTATATTCGTGTTGAGTTTTGAAGTTGGGTTTTGGGCTGGGGTTTGTAGCGGATTTGTTGGGTTTATGGATGGTTGTTGCAAGAGGTCGACTCATGGTTATGTTTTTTTCTATTGCGCTGAGGCGTGATTATAGTGCCAATGAGTATTCCATATCAGACGAACTTCATCAATCCTTTCCCTTGGAATAACAAAGCGTGACTACGGTATGACAAAAGACAGGACCATGGGCTTCCTGCATATCCACAGATCATGGTCCTACATCCACGCAGCGAACAAGATGTTCAGGAGAGGAAATGACTTTTAAGTATACCTACAATACCACATCCCTAACTCGGCGCAGAAGCAGCGACCAGGTCAAACATCACGTCCACATTGTTCCCTACGCCAAACAGTGCCCCCAAACTCCATGAATGCGCTCCCAAGACGTCGAGCAAGCCCTAGACTTTCCTCCATTTCTCCCACCCGCCTGCCCACTCGCCTACCTACTCACTCCCACCGCGCCCCAGGAACACTCACCACCCCCACCACCTCTTAAGCGTATCCCCAACCGTCTCCTTGCCCTCGCCCTGCCTCACCAACCGCCTCTTCCTCTCCTCCTCATAGAAGCCCTCAACCTGCTTCGTCAGGGCCTGCGCGCTAGCCCACTCGCCCACAATAGCGCGCAGCTCGAGCTCGCGCTCCTCAGTAGACATCTTTTTAAGGCGGTCCTCGAACTCCTGTCTAGCCTTAGGCGCCAAACCCTTCAAATCATCCAGACTAGCAACGTGTTCGCCCTGCTCGAACGCGCGCAACTTGGCCTCGACATCGGGTCTCACCGGCGCCGCGTCAGGCACATCGCCACGCATCGCGGCCGCGACATTGGCCTTGGACAGAATACTGCCGAAGACGGGCGGAGTCTCGCCCTTCTCCTTCGCCTCCGCAACCGCGCGCTCCTGCGCCAGCATGCGCTGATAAAGCCGATCCGCGTGCATCTGGACGCGCTCCTCGGCGCGCTCGTCCCGGCCCGCCTCGCTGAGGTAGCCCAGCGCCTTCAGGAACCGCGCTTGCATCGTGTAGCAGCGGTCGAGCTCGCGCGTCTCGGCGCGACACATGGTCAGCCGCGCGGCCCAGCTGCCCGTGCGGAAACAGTCGCTCAGCGCAATCTGCTCGACGGCGCAGTTCTCGAGCGCCGCGCGCCCGATGTTCTCCCGTCGCTCGTTGTACGCGCTTATGATGTCCGAGAGCTTTTCTTGGTCGGATTTCGCGCGCGATTCGATGGCTGTGAGCGGCTCGTAGGTCTTCCAGAGGTGGGCGTAGCGGCCGTCTTGGTAGAGCGATTCGGCGGGGACGTTGTTCTTGTTGTTGGTGTCGTGCTTGGGTTGCTGCGAGGAGGCTGGTGCGTCGGTGGGTGTTGGCTGCACGATTGGCAGCGCGGGCTTGGGCGCCTCTTTGTGCAGCGCTGGTGCTGTGGACGCGTCGGCGGATTCCTTGTCTAGGAATTTCTTCAGACTCGGGTCCAGCTGCGTCGTCGGGTCCGAGGCATTGCTCGAGGAGCCCCAGAGCCAGCCCATGGTCGGTGTTTGGTGCGGGGTTGGGGGGGGATTGGGGTCGTCTTGTGCGTGTGTGGTTGGTTTGGGCGAAGGGCGAAGCTTGAGAGAGATGCGGGCGAAGGATCGGCGCGCGGAGGTTTGCCGTTCCCCGCGCTTGGGGTTTGGCTTCCATGTCAACTCTTACGACTCTCACATTTATATGACATCTAAATCGACTTCAATGGATTCGACAGGTTCAAGTGCCGCCCACAGATAATGTCTCACCAGCTCCAGTCCCCCAACACATCTACACGCGCACCGAGCCCGGCGTCCTCTCATAGTAATGAATAGCACCCGGCGCCTTCGCGCAATTCGTGTTACTCCCCGTCGCATTCACCGGCACCGCGTCCCCATCCTGCGGCCTGCCACGCACATGGCTATAATACCAAACCTCGCTCAGGGCGGTGAAGCCCGCGTCCAGGGTGCCGTTCCCGAGCGCCGTCTCATTAAAGCGCGGGCCCGAGCAAGCCAAGTACGGAACGGCGCCCCAGCGGGCCGTCAGCGCCGTCTGCACGTCGGCGAGAGAGTAGGTCGTGTGGTTCGAAGGCGTGATGGCCGCGTCCACGAGCCAGGCCCACGTCGGCGCCTTCTGGTACCAGCGGATGGCGGTCTCGAGGAAGTCGACCACTTCTTCGTGCGCCACGTACTGCGGCCCGTAGCATGGGACGTCGAAGGTCGAGTAACAGGTCGCGTGCTTGGAGAACTCGTGCGCCCAGAAGGCGGTGTTGGGCTGGTTTTGCGCGATCCAGTACTTGGTCATCCAGGCGAGGAGGTCATGCTTGCCGAAGGCTTTGATGAAAGTGTCGATGGTTGGGCCTGTGTATGGGGGCACGGGATTGCCTGTATCACTCTTTAAGTTTGAGTAGAATACTTTGTGTGGGCGTGGCTTACCGTCGGGCTTGCTGTTGGTGGTGTTGGGCGATGGCTCCGGGTCATACTGGCGGCTGAGATCGCAGTATTGAGTGTAAGACCCGTTGCAGAAGTCAGGCCAGAGACCGTGAAGCCCCCAACTGTCTTTTGGCAGCAATTGGCCCTCGTCTTCGAGCCCGGTGTACGTATTCCAGAGTTGGGTCGTGAGAAGAAGCCCTCCGTACGTCTCGACGCAGCACGAGTCGACCTTTAAAGGATTGGCATTCGCCGAGCATGAAGTAAACGGTGGAGCTGTTGACTATGAGGAAGATTCTTGAAGTCTCATCAATCGTCTGACATACTAAAGAGACAAGTGTGGTTTGCGCTGCTTTGGTTGTACAGCGACGCCGACGCGATGCCGACGAACAGTACGCTGGCAGTGGCAGGAAAGAGAAACTGCATCTTGAACTGAACGTTGACAGGTAGCACAAGATAAAAAAAAAAGAATGCAGTGTAAATCAGCCAGCAAAGCGCAGCCTTACCAGGTCATTGGGAGAGGCCGCCCGGTCTATATCTCAAAGGTCCATCTGTACGTTGACGCCATGCTCCGGTACCTGCAGGAGCGCGTGCTGAATCGATTGGATTGACAGGCTTATCATCAGCAGCTGTGCCGCGCGCCCGGATTCGGGGACGGGATGCCATGTTGACGATAGCGAGGCCGCTGCTTTTCCGGTTGTGGAAGGTGGCATTGCAGTCGGGCGCGCTCTGATCGGTCTGAGGCACGGCCTGCATCTCGGTCGGCGGGGCGGCACTGGATTTTGTCAGGATGTTGAAGCGGCTGTCTGTCTTGCCCAGAGTTTGGTTTGCGAGATGCCGGCGAAGGCAATCTGTCGCACCTCGACGGCCTTTATGAGTACCTACCTGTTAGGTAATAACGTGCAAACATCCAGATAATTTCTTAGGTCATCAAAATCAAGCAATAGGAGCTTGCAATGATGGTTTTTGTAACAAAGATATGGTGCGGCTAATTATTTTTGTTATATCAAAAGCCAAAACCTATCTTGCGAGCTTAGTGTAGTGGTTATCACGTCAGTCTTACAAAAGTATCACTGAAGGTCGGTGGTTCGATCCCGCCAGCTCGTAGGCTTTTGCTTTTGCAATAAACATATAAATTTTTGGACTCGAAAAATGCTGGAAGGATGGTAGGGTTTACGCGGTAAAATTTTGTGGGCTGAAAATTGTGGTGGAACGATTTCAAATTAAGGTTAACAGTCTATTACAGATGCAAAATGGGAAGGTTCCGCTTCCGCTTGTAAGTTGGGAAGTGATCTGGCAAAAAGCCAGGTCGATACAAAGTGTTTTGTTAGACACCGTGTAGCTGGTATACAGGTCTGGCACGAATACTTATGAAGTGAGAGATTGAGAGTGTCATCAGCCTGTCAAGATAGCTGGTCAACTTAGTCGTGTCTGCTTACAGTATGCCACTTTGAAAACATTTAGATCTACAGCGGATGCTAAAACTTAACCGGAAGAACATTTTCTCAACATTAATATAGGACTAATTAACTATCAGCATGACGAATTATTGAGCGCTTGCAAAATGATTATATTCAAGCAGGCGTGAAGGTATTTATGTGGTTGCAAACCGGACACAAATAATTCGACAAGGACTAGTTATGGTGATACAGCCCGTAGTATAGTTCTGCACGCGTAGACACGACATCCGTAGGGAAGTTTACATGATAAACCTTTTGAGGGATTAGTCTTTCTACAGGCATTAACAGAGTTTCGTATGTATAAGTTCTTCCTATGTCTTGCTAATAATTCGGGATTGTAGACAGACAGTATTATTAAATCCGCAGTACCGATCCAGTGTATGTCTAGGGAAGATACATCGAGTCAAAGTGTTCCGGTGAACGACGCACTATATAATTTTCTCCACGCGAATAATTGAAATATTTTCAATTAACTACATCTCGCTTTTTAATTATAGTCGCACAGGATGGCCCTTGCTCTCTACCCGGAGCGCACTATGGTTAGGGCTGAAGCTCTGACTGACGACAGCCTCTCGCGGACCCTGAATTTCTCTAAAAACCAATTGCGGACAACTTTCCTCTCCCTCTCCCTCTCCCTCTCTCCACCCCCTTTCAAACACCCAACAAACAAACCGCCATCATGGACGCCCTCCGCTCCGCCATCCAGCCCATCACGCACAACCTGCCGACGCCCATCTTCGAGGCGGGCACATCGCTGCTTGGCGCCAAATGCTACAAGACGCTGATCCTGGACGTGGACTTCCTCAGCTCGCCAGAGTGCCTCAAACTCGCCATCAGCAAAGGGCTCGGGATCGGGATCATCGGGGCGTCGTCGATTGTCAAAGTGCCGCAGCTGATCAAGCTGGTGAACTCGCGGTCGGCGGCGGGCATCAGCTTCCTGTCGTATGTGCTGGAGACGTCGTCGTACCTGATCTCGCTGGCCTACAACGTGCGCCAGGGCTTCCCGTTCAGCACGTTTGGCGAGACGGCCCTCATCGCCGTGCAGAACGTCGCCATCGCTGCCCTCGTCCTGCATTTCTCGGGCAAGAGCGCCGGCGCCGCCGTCTGGGTTGCCGGCCTGGCCGCCGCCGGCTACGCCCTCTTTAACCACGACCTCGTCGACGCGAAGACGCTGTCGCTGCTGCAGGCGGGCGCGGGCCTGCTGGGCGTCGGCGCGAAATTGCCCCAGATCATCGCTGTGTGGCAGCAGGGCGGGACGGGCCAGCTGAGCGCTTTCGCCGTACGTTTTCTTCCTTACTCACCCTTTCCCTCTCCCTCTCTCTCCCCACCTCCAAACTGACACCACGCCTAAAAAACCCAGGTCTTCAACTACCTCCTCGGCTCGCTCTCGCGCATCTTCACCACGCTGCAAGAAGTCCCCGACGCGCTGATCCTCTACGGCTTCGTGGCGGGTTTCGCGCTCAACCTCGTCCTCGCCATCCAAATGCTCTACTACTGGAACAGCCCGGCCAGCAAGTCCGCCGCGCCCGGCAAGAAGAACAAGAAGGCCAATAAGGTCGCGGCGGCCTTTTCGGGAAACAACGGCAAGGCTGACGCGGGCAAGGCGTCCGCCCGCTCCTCGGCTACGCCGGCGAAGGGCAAGAGCCCCAGCACTCGCCGCCGTGGTTAGGCGCTGTTTCTGTGTGTGTGGGTGTGGCGCGCTTGACGAGTTATGACTGCTCTGCTTGGCTGGTGCTGGGTACGGCGTGGATTGGGCGGCTGGGTGGGTTGGCTGGTGCAATGGGCGGGCAGGTGGACTGGTTGGTGCAATAAACAGGCTACTGCATATTGGAAAGCTACGTGGGCGAATAGAAGCGTGGCACTTATTATGGCATTGCTAGCCAGCTAGCTAGCTAGTTAGATCTTGCCGTACCGCCCTTTTCTGTCGTTTTTCTTCGTCTTCTCCTTCTTTTCTATTCTGTTCTGCATACCTGGCTGGGGATTTGGATTCTGTAGAGGAAATCGCTTGTAATTCATGGCGCCTGCTTGCTTGTCTGTCTGTCTGCATTTCCTGTCTACATTTCCTGTCTGGGCTCTGGTGGTTCTAGTATGAAGCTGTCGTTGTGGTTGCTTTTCATGTCATTTTATTACATACTCGTTGGCAGCCATAACTATACACCACTCCTCCTCGTCCCTTATCCACAATAACCCGGCCCAACGCCCTAGTCCAAACATCCCAACGCCCTAAAGAAACCCATCCATCATAAAGTCATACAAACCCTCACCCTCACAGACAGCTTCTAACCAATCCCCTCACTCAGAACTCAAACCGGCTCCTTCCCCTCCCAAGCATCCTTCAGGAATTTCTTGGCCGTCGTAAACGTCTCCTGGCGCGTGCGCTTCTCCTCGTCATTCAGCCAGCCCACGGGCATCTGCGTCCAGCCATGCTTGCGGTCCAGCACGCGCTCGACCTTCAAGTGGTGGCCGCGGCCCTCGGCCTCGACCTTCTTGACCCACTCCTCGCTCTGCTCGGCCAGCGTGTCCACCTCAGGCAGCACCAGGTACATGCGGGCCATGGGGTGCAAGCCGTCGTCCTTGATGGGCGCGAGGCCGGGCGACGCGCGCGGATGCCCCCCGTGCTCGCGCGGCAGGTACGTCGGCGCCAGCACGTCGAAGCTGTCGCCCCAGAAGGAGCGGCCGACGGGGAGCTTGGGCGGGCGCGTGCGCTGCGACGGCAGCATGCGCAGGTCCAGCGACGGGTAGTACAGCAGCAGCGGGAGCGGGCTTGTGTAGGCATGTGGCAGGCGCGAGGGCCACGCCTCGGGCACGTCGGGCGGCGTGAGCGACAGCGCCAATTCCAGCGCCAGATTGCCGCCGCTGCTGAACCCCGCGATGCCCAGACGCGCCGCGTCGAGCGTGACTGTCCGCGGCGGGCCGTCTTTCTGCAACGGCTTGACCTCCGCCGCTATCCCTGTGCGCAGCGCTTCGTACGCGTTGGACGCGGGGTCCACGATGGCGCTGAGCACGTCTTCAGCGTCCTCGAGCGCGGCAGGGAACTTGTCGATGGGCCCCATGCGGTAGTCGACGGAGATGACGACGGCGCCGAGGTCGCGCGCCATTTCGGCGCAGAAGGGCGCCTGCTCAAGACAGCTGCCGAGCACGAAGCCGCCGCCATGGAAGTCCAGCAGCACCGGGTATGCGGTTTGGCCGTCGGGCGGCGGCGTCGGCGGCACGAAGACGTAGACCGGGATTGTGTAGGTGCCGCGCGAGGGCAGCTTCAGCACGAACGGGTGCGGGCCCTCGGACGACGTGATGCGCAGGAACTGGTCGGGCACGGCGCGCGGCAGGCGCACGACGGCGGTGCGCCATTGGACGTCGAAGGGCTGGGAGAAGAAGCGCTGGAAGCCCGAGGATGACATGGTGGTGGCGTGGCGCTGTGGTAATTTAGTGGTGAGATGCGGAGGTTGTGGCGAGAGCGAGGGAGGAGGTGTGGATGTGTTGGCATGCTTCCCCCCCAGTTCGGGCCCGGCTGGGACGCGAAAGATTCGAAGGAAAGAGCAGTTGCGAGTGTCGATGCTGTTTCAAATGACCTCATCGAAGCTCCGACCAGGCACCAGGTTATCCTTGCATGTTTGTATGTACGTGCGAAATCAAAATCTACGACTCAAACATCCTTCGTCGGTATAATGCTAAGCACACTAATGCTCTCATTACCTGCGTTCGTCATCTCATACACTCATTGCGCACCTCCTACGCGCCCTGCAGGGGCTGCCCGTTTCCACCCAGCGTAATCGTCTTCGTGATAACATACTCCTCAATCCCCAGCAAGCTGCCTTCACGGCCAAATCCGCTCTCCTTGACACCACCAAACGGCGCCGCCGGGTCCGAGATCAAGCCCGTGTTCACGCCAACCATACCGACCTCAAGCGCCTCAGCAATGCGGTAGCAGCGTTGAATGTCCTGCGAGAAGAAGTAGCCCGCAAGGCCGACCTCAGCCGCATTAGCCAACTTCACGACGTCCTCCTCCGTCTCGAAGGGGAACAGGCCCGCGACGGGGCCGAACGTCTCCTCGTGCGATAGCTTCATGTCCGCCGTCATGTCGCGCAGGACCGTGGGGGCGTAGAAGTTGGAGCCGAGGTCAGGCAGCTTCTGCCCACCGATAAGCAGCTTCGCGCCCTGCTTGACGGCGTCCTGTACGTGCGAGTCGACCTTGGAGACGGCGCGGTCGTGGATCAGCGGGCCGTGGGTCACGCCCTCGTCGTAGCCGGCGCCGACCTTGAAGTCCTTGACTTTGGCAGCGAAGGCTTTGCAGAACTCGTCGTAGACACCCTTTTGCACGTAGATTCGGTTCGCGCACACGCAGGTCTGTCCTGATGACCGGAACTTAGAGGTAATCGCACCCGCAACCGCCTTTTCGAGGTCCGCGTCGTCGAAAACGATGAACGGGGCGTTGCCGCCCAGCTCAAACGACAGCTTCTTTAGTGTTTGGGACGATTGCTTCATGAGCAGCTTGCCAACGTTGGTGCTGCCCGTAAATGAAACCTTCTTCACGATCGGGGAGGTCGTAATAGCTTCGCCGAGTTCAGGCGTGTTCTCGGAGGCGGTTATGATGTTGACGACGCCCTTGGGGATACCGGCGCGGTGTGCAAGCTCCGCAAGAGCAGCTGCAGTCAGAGGAGTCTCACCAGGAGACTTGGCCACGACTGTACAACCGGCTGCCAGAGCGGGTCCGATCTTGCGAGTAAGCATGGCGGCAGGGAAATTCCATCTTGAGAGAAGTTAGTGTCAATCTGATCAGCAAACAAGCATCATCTACACTCACGGCGTAATCAGCCCGCAGACACCAACCGGCTCCTTGATAGTAAAGACCCTGTTTCCTGCCACGCTTGCGGGAATGGTGTTGCCATAGACGCGCGGTGCCTCCTCGCTGAACCACTCAAAGAAGTTCGCAGCGTATGTGACCTCTCCCTTGGCGTCCGCCAACGGCTTTCCGTTCTCCCACGTTATAAGCTTTGCTAGGTCGTCGGCGTTCTCTATCATCAAGTCGTACCACTTGCGTAACATGCGCGAGCGCTCGCGTCCTGTCAACTTCCGAAAGGCCGGGAGCGCGGCGTAGGCTGCGTCAATGGCTTTTTGTGCGTCTGAAGCATCCATTTCCGGTTGGGTCGTGATCACTTTATGCGTGTTGGGGTCGGTGACCTCGTAGGTCTTCCCCGAGGCCGCGCCCACCCATTCGCCATTGACGTAGGCCTGCGTCTTCAGCAGCGACTTGTCCTTGAGCTGGGAGGCTGTCAGCTGGCATGGCCAATTATGCGTAGGAGCTTTGTCCGTAACTCAAGGTTAGTTCTGAGGCGGGACTGGCTCTACATACGGAAGGTACGTGGCCCATTGCGTATGATCTGGCAGCGAATCGAGGTCTGAAGGCAGTCGTGAAGCGTGAGCGGACGGCGGTCTTTTGAGCTAAGTTAAGGACAGGCCGCATGGTGAATTGACGTGATCAGTCGAGGAGGAGAAAGTCGATCTTGGGGCACAGAGGTGGATGAGCTGATCCGAGAGCTTAAGCCTTGGGGATTGCGGGGATACGCGATGACGTTTGAGCTGTGTCAGGCGCGACGCGAATTGCGAGCCGAGGAGCCCCGGCAGCGCGCGATATTATACCATGTAGATGGTCTTGTCGGTCAATGCACTGCCGTATCTTCGCCTCCAACCAGCGCCAACGGCGGAGATCAAGTCGCGTCAGCGTCAATGGCGGCGAGACGCGTGGAGCTCTTGGAAGCCTGGGCCACATCGTGAGCGCATGGGCCAGCCCGCTCACGACCTACTCAACACCACCAGAGTAACTACTTCGTAAAACTACTTGTTAAGACTACCTAATGCTGAATCATAATCTCTCTTCTCTCATTCTCATCCTCCTTCATTGAATCTTCCTCCCACTCCACTGTGTCCATGCCTTTCTCGCCTCCTCTTCTGCATCGTATCCATAACACCAAGCTTGTGTCACTGGATCGCTCCACTGGTTCGGGCTCTGCAAGAAATGTCGTCCCTCCACCTCCGGCCTCATGGCTTCGTCTCTAGCCTTCTGCTCTGGCCCGTCCGCAAAATGCCATAGCTTGCTATTCACAGCGCTCGCCTCCTGCATCTGGTTCGCGCGTGGAATGCGTATTTTCTCAAATACCTCAAGAGCTGCCGGGAGCTCCGCCGTGGACCGAATAAGCGAGAGAAGAGTAGCTAGGCAGCCCGCATCCTCGACAGCAATGGCCGCGCCCTGCGACATGTAGGGGAGCATTGCGTGTGCAGCGTCGCCAAGGATTACCATCCGGCCCGACGCTGAGGTCCATCGATCCAATGCTTGTCCGCTCATAAGCGGCCATTTCAACGTCGTCTCAATCATTCCGATGACCTTGGTCAGGCAAGGGTCCCAGTCCGCAAATCGTCTGTTAGCATCCTCAATGGCCGTTTCCTGCTCCCACGAGCTGGGATCTGACTCTTCAGAATGAGAAAGTACAACATTAAATGTGCTCCCGCCAGCGATAACGTAGGTCATGGCGTGCTGTCTTTCTCCGATCCAGCAATTCTGTCCTGGGTTCTCTAGAAGCCATCGAGTGTCCGGATCTGCCAGCATCTTGGACGTGTTGACAGTTGCACGATAAGCTGCGAAGCCTGTGAGGACAGGAGGTTTGTCCTTAATGCCGAGCACGGCCTTGCGTGCATTGGAGTTAATCCCATCAGCCCCAATGATAACATCAGCCACATGCTCTTTTCCATCCTCCAGTGTCAGGCTCGGCCTCGCGGCGTCGTATGTATTGATCCTGCTATTCATCCGAAAGTTCACACCAAGCTCCAAAGCTCGGTCATACAGGGCTTGCTGGTAATGTGCACGATGCACAACATAGTAAGGCGCTCCGAAAGCTGTCCGGCAATCTGGAATGAGCTGCGTATGGCCGATAACTGCTCCATTCTCCCAACGTCGAAAGTTGATGGCCTTCGGCTCCACAAAGTCTTTGACGTGAGGTTCCACCCCCCATCGGCGGAGCAGCTTGGTCGAGTTCGGAGGCACCTGTATCCCTGCTCCAACTTCAACGAGCACCGGGGCCTGTTCGAAGACAGTGACGTCGTGTCCGCGCTGGGCCAGCGCAACGGCAGTCGCTAAGCCACCAATTCCAGCGCCAACAATGATGATGTTGAGTGGACATTCTGCTAGTTGGGCAATCTCATCAACGTCTCTCGGCAGGGTGGACTGATAGAGCTTTTTAAGGAATTCTAGGCTGCGGGTCGGGTAAGATGCGGTCTGCCACTTCCGTTAAATGTTTGCGTGGGTGAGCAGTGAAAAACCTACAAGCTTTTTGGGGCCCAATGCCCCCTCGAAAACCACACCTTCCGACTCTTCTGAGGTATATGTCATGGGTCGCAGATTTGATAACTAAGGGTTTCTTGTGACCAGAGAGGGGAAGCCGTGCAGTTTATGGGCGAGTGCCAAGGTATGCCATCACTCCGGTTACTTCACTTGACGACAAATGGAAAAAGGAAGCGACAAGCCACCACCCATCGGAAATAGATGAGTTTGCTTCTTCTTAACCTCGTTGCAGACACGCATGCATGCATGCATGCATGTCGCATCCGAACTCGTACTACCGATCCCATCCCCGGTTTAGGACACACTGATGCAGATCGTGACGACACATGAATAAACTCAACCTTAATAGCCGACGCCTAAACGAATCTCCCACATAACCTACAGTCCTTATGAAAACACATAGTAGCTGCTAACACAAACTAAGCACAAACACAAACGCCAACAAGACTGGAAACCTTCCAGAGCCCCAGAAGGTGCTAACCTCTAAACGGACAAAGCTGGACTCAAGAGGTATTGTCATGGAACCTGCAAGGGCACCTTGACAACACCCCAATCATCTGTCCGCTTTCCGCAGGTACTCAACCTGGCCAGGTGCAAATTATTGACCTTTAAACTGACGGACATTCATTATAGTATACCTCGGTTCCAGGACATCCTCGTCAAGAGGAGGAGGAGCACGGGTGTTATCCTCCGCAAGGCGCTTGGCCACGTTGGCTGCGTTTTTCAGCCCCTCGACGGACCATGCGGGGTCAACCCAGCATATCTTAACATTCACACCCAGGCTCTTTATCTTGTCTATTAACCCACGAATCTTGCAGATATGGTTGCCATGCCTAGAATGTTGAATGTTACCCCAGCTGAATTCTTTCATGCCGAGCACAGTCTCCTTGCAATCAGTGTAGATGACGCAAGTCTTAGGGCGCCAGGCCGTGCCGTAGCCAAGGTCAGGGATCGGGGCCATATCAGGTCTGAGGATGGTTCCCTCAGCAAACCGCGCAAGACACTGCACCCGGACGAGTCTTGCCGCAATCTCCACGGCCTTGAGCATGACAAGAGAAGATTCCTCCACTTTTTGCTGGACGTGGGTAGTGGTGGAATGCCATGTAAGGGCCGGGCCATTGTTCACGTTCCTGTTGTCTGCCGGGCAGGCGTCCTTCCAGGCTACACCCACGGTGGATTTGCAGCGGCTTATCCAGAACGGCATGCGCGACCAGGCCGCGGGTGTGTACTCGGCCATTGCAGCCGCGTAGGCCTGGTCCGCTGGCAGGATTTCTACTATCCCGCAGAAGTTGTGATAAGTATGAGAGTAGAGTATTTCTGACTGTGGGGTTTCTGAGGTGTCCTCCTCAACCTCTACCTCCTGCTCACTGTTTTCCTGCGACAAAGGCCCCTGCGTATCTTCTTCCTGCTTATCATCTTCCTGCTTATCATCTTCCTGCTTCTCCTCCTTCTCAGCCTCAACCTCACTTTTAAGTGGTTGCGGAATACTGGAGCCGGAGTCACTTTCCGGGTTGGATTCGGATGCGGCCCCTTCCAAGGACGATTCCGAGTTGGAAACATCCGAAGACTCCGCTGTGGGTACAGGTCCTTGGAGATCGGGACCACTGCCCGTGGAGGATTGGATTGGGGATACGCCGATTATTCTCCTCAAAGACTCCCAGAAGTAGCCCAAGTGGGAAGCATCGCCGGAATCACTCATCGTGGAGGACAAAACTGAGGATCCGGCATGTCTCTCCAGGTACTCCCTTAAGTGGGAAGCGTCACCGAGATCGCTTATGGAGGATGGGACCTCCCCCACATCCACGGGGTAGGAGTAGCCGTAATACATGTTTGTCTTTAAAACATGAGCAGAGACTAGCTGGCTCGGAGCGGATCTTACCATACAGTTCAAAGGAGTGAGGGTTCAAAGGAGTGAGAGCTCAAAAGAGCGAGAGTTCTCGAGGGCACTTTCGCAAGTGACCCTGTCACGGACCGGCTTGAAAAGCAAAGATTCTGGACGCAGTTGTCAAGATAGTGGAGGATCGGTCGGGAAGATTTGACGAGCAGAGCTGCCTCTCTTCAGTCTTCAGTGGCCTTTTATACCTAGCGCCGTCGCCTTTTCCTTGTGGACGGCAGAGCGGCCTCGCTACCATAGATGACGGTGGGCAAAACTCGAACGCAACCCTATTACCCGGACTTCAAGAACGAGGAGTTTCTGGCTTGCGGTGGAACAAATGCGCATTTTGAGGCTCAGAAGCTCTGAATGATGACATATGCCTTGGAGTCAGAAAGATGTCCTTGTCGGTGTCCCACGGCTGACCCTAACTTCCGTACACAGTTACAGCGAATCGTACGACGGCAGCCAAAAAACACGACCACTTACCGGCTCTGAAAGTTCGAAAGCCGTGAGCGACAGATGGGAGGGTGGGTGACCACCAATCAGCCGATGGGCTTGGCTCGCGGGTGAGTTTCCAGAGCGTCTCTGCCTGACCAACCCCACCAGACTACCATGGAGTTTGCCAAGAGCTTTGTTATTCCCGCTTGTAACGCATCGGAAATGACGTCGCGCTGCAGTGTGCGTGCATTTTCCGTGACCTTTTCTGAGGTCACGTTGGGCTGGGCACTCACCACCGTACTCGTTTCTCTAGCCCTGTGGTTTGGACTTCGCTTAATGACGAGATAAATGCCTCATGTCAGCTGTGGTAGCTGCAGCTGCAGCTGCTTCCACTGTTGCTGGCTGAGCTTGGCGAGGGTGTGGGCGGGGGGGTGTGAAAGAGTGAGTTCGAAAGATCGCTTTTGCCCAAGGCGAGGGAAGAAGAGGATGGAACGAGTAGGAAACGCCAGTTGAGGCTGCTCATTTCTTTTGGTTCTGTTGCTGCGCTGCTGCTGTAGTTGCTGATTGGCTTCGGACAGTTTCCCCGGATTCTCCTCACTTTGAAGCTAGATCTTGCCAGATTTCATTTCTTGAAGTCTACTTGTGAGTGATGATGTTGAGCTACGGACACTGGTGTATCTCTGTGCAGTCTGTAAGCCTGTTTTCATATCGATTTGCGTGTATCTAGCTGATTTCTTGTATATCTGTAGGTGTTTTGTGCGGACGATATTAATATTGTTGTGTTATTACGAAAAGCTGCCTCATTCCCAACTCCATACATTTTTTGTAAGGTAGCATGACTACAGTGGTGCATAATTCCGAATGCCTCTTCGTGTATACATGATAAATGGCTTTTGTGTCTAGGTTAGTATTTCCCGCTCTAGACTTAAAAAAGTCGTAACTTTCCTTATCCGACTTTTCCTGTAAGCACGTTCACATTTTACGCTAAGGACACATATACTTTTCTGTCCACGTATTTGATATTCGATGGGAAATTGACGGTTTTTTATCACCGGCTTAGATGTGTGCTCTCAAGTTGCCATAAACGCGTTAGCGTGCATCAGCCATAGCTACCTTGCACCCTAAATCTACCCCCGACGCGTATGCCCCGACCTTCAAGGTAACATGTTAGCTCTAACGACATCCCCCATCTAGACACGTTTCACTTTCACTTCACCATTTCTCACCCAACCTTCCTCACTTCTCACATTCTCTTCACACCACGCACGACATGGCTGCTCAGGGTGTCAATACACAGTAAGTTCGACTGCGTCGCCTATTCCGCAGCCTAACAAAGTTGCAACACTATCCAAGTGAACCGGAAGTTGCTTGTTCGGGCACAGCCACCAAATACAATAACAGATTGATGCTACTATGTTTGTCACAGCGATAGCGAACAGCGTTTCTGCGGCCAGCTCGTCTGGAAATCCGCCGCAGAGGCCCTCGAATTCGCAGGAAACATCTACAACTCGCCATTCCCGGCCGGCAACCTCATACTCTGGGCAGACGGCTCACACACTGAAGACGAGAACGTGACAATAACTGCCGCAAGCGGCGCGGTGGCCTACATGCCATGCTGGAACATGTCAACGCGGAAGGAGGACGCGTTCTGGACGGACGCCAAGGGCGAGACGGACGCGAAACGGGCTTGGTGGCAAGAAGACGCCTTTATGCTCTCAGGTGACGGATGTTCGCTTGATGCCGAGCTCTCTGCCATCGCGCGTGCGCTTGGAATCGCTGTCCATGAGGCCGGGAACCGGCTCGCGCGCTCGCGGGTCCTGCAGCAGACGTACGCCGAGGCCGGCCAGACGATGCCGCATGAAGACCCCAAGGTCACCAGGATCATCGTCTTCACTGACTCTGCATATGGCATCTCCTATATCAGAGATCAGAGGGCCTGGTCCAATTTGCGGAATCGCGCGAGTAAGCGCCGTGCTAGCGATGCCCAGGCACTTCAAGCCCGGAGGGAATTAGTGCGGTTGATTGTCGAGAGGTCGCATCTCCTGGCAGCACTTGGAGTCGAGAGGTTAGGGCTTCACTGGTGTCCAAGCCACAGCGGCGTCTTGGGGAACATACTCGCCGACAGAGCTGCTCGAGATCTCACGAAGCACCATTTCAACCTCGTCAAGCTCCAGGCGGCTCGCGCCTTGACGGAAGCTCATCATCGCCCTCGTCCGCCTCCCGCTGGCTCTACCCCTCTGTCTCTCCTTCCGAATATTCGCCCGCAGCTCTCATATGGTGTCAGTCATAGCGAATGGATGGCCATCGTGGTCAATGCGCTGCAGATTAAAAACAACGGACTAAGAGGTCTGCTGCGGAATAAGAAGAGAATTCGCGCAACTGAGAGGCGGAGGAGGAGGAGCATTCTCGCTGACGAGGGCTTGGAGCGCCGTGCAAGACAGTGGAAGGAGTTTAGTACCCGCCGCTATGCCAGAGCGAAGGGAATTCCCAGGTGGACAGACTGAGCGGAACTAGTGCCGCAATTGGGTGCGCAGGAGAATTTGGAAGGTGGATCCAGAGGAAATAGCGTCGCTGCTCACGTCTGACTCTCTTTGGTTTGGTTTACCTAGTACCACTCCCCTAATAATGGTCACTGTCTTATCTCGCTACTCTCGTGTGCGAAGAAGTACCTTTGTGTAAACCAAGTATATCGCACCTTGTCCAATTCTCAAATCTCTACTCCCACTGACATCCAGTTGTGTTCTGAATGTGCAAAGTTGTCGATCTACACAAAGATATAACCATGACCGCAATGTCTCTGTACATGAGCGCAGAGACGCGTTCTGGGGACGCGTTCCGGAGCGTCGGGAAGGAGTGGGCTGTTATCGATTAGGGCTAAAAATTTAGTCGGGGACGAAGCACCGAGACAGCGATCCTCGAGCGCGACCCGCGACTGCGACATAGCAATCCACAAACACACACACACACAGACCCAACAATGGTTAAGAGGAAAGAGAGAAGAGACCCCGAGGAGCTGGGCGACGCGCCCCCAGCCAAGGAGCACCAGGACGGAGACGAGTCCAGCGATGATGTCAGTCGCAATGCGCCGCATCCCCACCATGAGATACAACAATGATGCTAACACGATGAGACGGGGTTAGGACATGGACATGCTGGACGTCGAGTTCGAGTGGTTCGACCCGTCGCCCGAAGTCGACTTCCACGGGCTCAAGACGCTGTGCCGGCAGCTGTTCGACGTCGACAACCAGCTCTTCGACCTATCCGCACTAGCAGACCTCGTGCTATCGCAGCCGACACTGGGCTCGACCGTGAAGGTCGACGGGCTAGAATCGGATCCGTACGCCTTCCTGACGGTGCTGAACCTGCACGAGCACCGGGTACGCGCGCCCCATGGCAGCAGCAGCACGCCGCCGCACCACGCGCACAGTGGCTAACTAACCGCCGCCGCAGGAAAAACAAGTCATCAAAGACCTGACCAGCTACGTGCTGAGGAAGTCGGCCACGGACGCATCCACCGCCCAGCTCGCGCAGCTGCTCGACCCCGCCTCGCCCGCCCAGGTCGGCCTCATCCTCACCGAGCGCTTCATCAACATGCCCTCGGAAATCGTGCCGCCCATGTACAACATGCTGCTCGAGGAGATGCAATGGGCGCTCGAGGACAAGGAGCCCTACCACTTCTCGCACTACCTGCTCATCTCCAAAACCTACCTCGAGGTCGAGTCGAAGCTGGACCAGCAGGAGACCCGCCCTAAGAAGAAGGGCAAGAAGGAGGCTAGCAGCGAGACGTTCTACTTCCACCCCGAGGACGAGGTCCTCCATAAGCATGCCCTCGCGCACTGTAACTACGAGTACGACAAGCAGGGCGATGAGGGCGCTAGCGATGCGAAGCGCGCCTTCCAGGAGGCTGGCGTCAAGCCTGTCGGGCACATGATTCTTATTGATGGCAGCAAGTTCGAGGGCGCCATCAAGGCGGTTGGTGAATATCTCGGCGGTCCTGCTGCCCAGTAGGCTGCGAATCTTACATATTTGGCTATGAAGCGGGAAGATGATGATCCCGCAAAAAAAAAAAAAAAAAGTTATACCAGCGAGCTGATAGCGAATGTAGAATGTCTTTCCATCTTGTGGTGTGCTTTGTAGGTTGCTACCGATTGGCACCTCCATGACGATCGCGTGTGCTTTACAAAGGTATGAGGTTGTTGGCCGAGGATACAAACACAACCAACAGCACATTTCAGTTATGGCGCGATGTGACATGAGACCGGAGGATATAAACCCATCGTCATACATATATACGTACCAAACCAAAGACTTTTCAAGTAGAAGCACTGAACAGACCGATGCGAAAAAACTGCGGAATGGCTGTGGCATTGCACAAGGGGTATCTCAATTGTGGGGTGCACTTGGCACGCTGCCAGTCCGTCAAGCAAGCTATCTAGTTCTTCTTTCTCTTCTTCGCCGCCGACAACGCTTCCGATATCCTGGCGAGATCGGCCTCGACGGCCTCGTCATCCTCATCCTCGTCACCATCAACCTCCTCGCCGACCAGAGTAGCGGCATCGGCACCCTCTTCGTCATCCTCATCCTCTTCACTGTCCTCGTCTCCGTCGTCTTCAAAACTCTCAAAGTCGTCATCTTCCTCATCGTCATCATCATCGTCTTCGGCCTCCTGGTTCTCAGCACCATTCGCCGCCGCCGCCGCCGCCTCCTCATCCCGCTTCCTCTTGCGGGGCATTTCACCAAGACGGCCCTCGCGGCCGGCCATGTCACTGGCGTCCTCTCCCTCCTGAGCCGGCAGCGGAGTGTACCAAGGAATCTTGCCGCGCATGAAATCGTTCAGCACCATCTTGGCAACACCATCCAGATCTGCCTCACCACCCTTCAACAGCCTTCCACCCTTCCGAGCCAGCTGCTCAAGGAAGTCGGTTGGCGTCTGGTAGTCCTGAAGCTCGTACGTCCGGAGGACATGCTGCTTCTTGCATTTTCCTAACGCCGCCGCAACGTACTGCTCGGGGTGCTCGGTCTTTTCGATACGAACGACACCGCGCAGCAGCAGATCCGCATCGGTGTCGTTGCCATTGGGTGGGACAATACCAGGACAGTCGATGAGATAGATCCGCTTCATGAGCGTCACGTACTGCCAGACCTTGGTCTCACCGGGAATGGGCGCCGTCGTGCAGACCTTCTTCTTGCGCAGCGTGTTGATAATGGACGACTTGCCCGTGTTTGGGTAGCCAATCAGACCGACAGAGACTTGCTTCCGGTCGGAGTGAAGAATGGAGAATTGGCGGAGGAGCGAGATCAACGAGCCTTTTCCAAAGCTGTGGTTGATCGACGCATGGAAAGCAAGAGTAGGGTAATCTTTCGACAGGAAGCGCACCCAAGCGGCCTGGTCATAATGTCAGCATTGGAACAGAAGACCAATGAAAATAAGTTTTCGCAGTGATGATATGTATGAAACGTTACTAAGAAAGCCGCCATTGGAGGCCCACACGAGGTGGTGACGGTATTCTACTCAAAAACGAATCGTTCTCAGGCCCTTTGTGGCCAAACCCCAAGACGGGGTTCGACCGACTCCACAGCCATAACGGCCGGAAGACGCGGGTCGAGATCAATCTCCCAAAGCTGTAACAGACATCTATCCATTGAGATATTGCACCAGGTGCAGGAAGGAGCCTTGACTTAGCAATGGGGAGCGCGCGTGACGCGCAGAGAGGATTAAAGAAAGAAATGTTGTGACTTACAGCAATCTTAGTCGGCACCAAATCGCACTTGTTCAGTACGAAGATTAAGTGCTTGTGGGGAGCTTCCTCCCTGATGTACTTCTCAACTGATCGACAGCGCGTGCCAAGAGGGTCTCTCGCATCCAGAACGTGTATTATGACGTCCGAGGAGTCGATGACCTTGTACAATTCGTTCCAAATTCTCTTACTCTGGCCCTTGGAGAAGATCGCCTCGCGAGCGGTGGAGGTGCTGCCCATCTCAAAGCCGTCACCACCCTCCTCTGCTCCGGCGCCCGAGTTACCGCTCAAGAGCAGCTGCTGCTCCAAGCGGTCGAGGTAGTCGTCGTGAGACTTGACAGTCTCACCTGCCAGGTCATCAATGCTGGACACGCCGAGCTTCACCCTCTTCCTTTGCGCCTTGGGCCCAAAGGTGTCGCTGAAAGGCGAAGTCTCGACCGTCATCTTAGCCTGGTGCTGCTTGATACCATGCTTGGTGTCCTTGTCCTGACCGTCTCTGATCAAGGACATGGGCAGCTTGTTGGACTTGAGAAGGACCGAGTACGGGTCGGACGCATGCTCGTTGATGGCGGTGCGGAAGGCCGCAAGTGACTCTTGGCTGATGACACGGGTGTTCGTGAACCACTTCCTGTTAGGCTCGATGCGAGCCTGGGGCTTGTCTCTCGACTGGTAGGACGCAGCCTTTGTGATGTCACCACGAGCATTCCTCTGCGCCTTGCCATCCTTGAACATGTTGAGGGTCTTGACCTTCTTCGCAGAGCTGCGTCGCAAAATCAATACAATGTCTCCACAGCAGCATACTAGGACAGGGGAGCGCACCGATAGAAGTTCTCGCCCTTGGTCTTGACATTGTTCATGCCATCGCCCGTCTTCCCCTGGCGGTCCTTCCTGTTCGCTTCCTTCTTGAAGTTGCCCATCTTTGCGCTATGGCGGCGACACGCACGCGCGAAGGAAAAACGGGAATTAAGATGGTCGCAAGGCGGTTCCGGTGGTTTGGGTGTGAACCACGGAGCACTTGCAAAAGCAAGAGGCTCAAAAAATGAAGAAAAGGGAAAAGTGGAAAAAGAGGACGGAGGGGAAAGGCACAGTGGTGGAGGTCGCGATCTTTTTTTCGGCCGGAGGTGCCAAGAAATTTGTAGAGCCCGGTGTTCAGCCGACAACATCTGCGAAAGTCTGGCGACGAGAGCGCAAGCGTCCGTCACGGCCTACTCGAGCATCAGTCCAAGATGCCTCCCTCATCTGCCAGGACGGTGCTTTCGTCGTCCATCCGCAGCCAGTCATGCGTAACTGGCGCCCGCCGCACCTTCACTTCCACCCCAGCAGCGCTTCAAGCTGGTGTCGGCCCCGAATCGCCCAAATACATCGACGTGCCTCAAGCGCCGCAGCGTACTGCTGATTGGTCGCCGGTGGTTAAGGGTGCTCTGCCCGTCCCTCGCAACATCTTCATCAACCGGAGCGAATTGCCCAAAGACTCGCCTGAATTCCTCGAGGCCGCTACCCCAGAACCGACCAAGACAACCGCTGCAAGAGGAGTCGACGCGCCGCGCATTGCTTACAGACAGCGCTTGGCATCGCTGCGCAGGCACCACTACCGCGAAAGTGTGTTACGTCTCCGCGAGCGAAAGACAAAGGCGGATACATACCTTGCCAGGCGTGGTGCTGCGCGACAAGCGGAACAGAGGGAGCTTGTCAGTCTGCCGGAGCGCGAGGATGAGCGTCTTACCAACCCCAGCATCACGCAAAGTGTGCGCGATATCCTCAGCGGCAAGCAGGCCTCTTTGACCGAGGCCGACATCCAAGCTAAGAAAGAGAACATTCGAGTACGGGAGGCCGTAAAGGCGCTTCACAGAAAGGACCAGCTCCACACGCTCTACATGCATGCGAGATCTTTTATCGTTACGGAAGAGCAATTCGACAAGACCCTTGAGGAAGTCTTCGGCACTGAAGAGAAGCCTGCCAGCTTCAGCCGCTACGCCGAACACCAGGGACGCAGCATCTGGGCCAGGGATAGACCTATGAACACCGCAGAAATGCTCGACGAAAGCCAGGGGAGGGGTCGTGCTGCACTCTCGCGAACAGAAGGCTTTGTTCACACGACACGTGATCGCATCCAGAAGATTGCGGAGGAACTTACCGGCGGTAAGATATGAGATTTGGTGGATGGACATTTATGTACAAATAAGATCATTATAAGGTTGTATGATTCTTTGTTCTTGTTTCTATGAGGTTTCACTGATTTATGTCAAGAAGGTTGAGGCCAAACGTCCCTCATGTCATTGTTAGCTTTCGCAGACGACGATTCACTGCAGATACTAGCAGAAAGAGTACCTTCGTAGAGCCAAACGGAAGCGACATTGTTAAATGACGTGCCTCGTAACTGTCTATATCGCCCTCATGATGCTTTTCTGGTGTATCTCGCAGAGAAGTTGGCGCCCAGTAGCAGCACAGATATTATCCTGGCTGTCGTGACTGGGCCTGCCTGGTATCTTTCGTTGAAGGCGAACTTGCCTCTTTTGAAGTGGCACATATTGTGTAAGTCTGATAATTCATCCGACTACATATCCGGCTGGCCTTTTTACAGCATGACGATTCGATCCGACGATTTAGGCGCCAAATGTCTCATGAACCCATTTTTGCAACACGTTCTGTGAACTACCTTGAAGAGTTAACCTCCGAGACAAAGCAATGGTCTTCCCGCAGGTATACAAGCGAGCTATGTGCCCCGGAAGGTCCTCTCGTGACATCTTCCACGGCCCCGGAGAGCTTAACTGCCTAAACGTCCGCTGCAAGGAGTTGTCCGCAATGAAACTGGAGAACAACTCACGTGTAATTGCTAATCTATCCCATAAGCGTGTCTTTGGTTACCCCTTGCAGACTCGGTACAGCTTGCGGATCGTCAGAACTTGCATTTCTCGGTGGTGAATAACCCCAAACTACCCTTGATCAACGCCAAGAGGAATACCTGGGAAGATTGATCTTCCTGAGGGATGTTGGTGCCGGCGCAGCAGACCTAAGCCAATGTGGCATGAAGGGTGCCGGCAGCGCGGGATTCTGATCACCTCCCCCATGACCATCGCCAACCTCCGTCCACTGGCATGCCGACCGAACAAGACACCGAGGAGTATGGTGTTTGGTGCTCAAAGTCGTCCTTGCCCAAAGAGCGAGGACCTGGCCGCTACATGGACTTTCGATCGATGCAACGCGGTGGTGCAGGCGATGGTCGTGGCTGCCTTTTGCTAATGTTTTTGCCTTGGCGTGGCAGCGGTGCCTGGGTGCGTTCGTGCTTTCCCACCTGAGAAGCCATTTCTGGGACTATTTAAGTTTCCTCGCGCCCGTCCTCTTCTTCTTCCTCACATCCATCTTTGTCAATCCATTATCTCTTTATTTGGGCCGCCGAAATTCTGCTCCGTTGCTGTCACCGAACCAACATCATATCTCAATCACCGCATTTTACCATGAAGTCCGCCGCTGTTGTTGCTGCCGTTGGCCTGGCCATTGGCTCGAATGCTCTGGTTCCCCGACATGATGCTCTGGATCTCCGACAAGGCAGATGGTGAGTCCTCTTAACTCCAGGTTTTCCGAAGAATTTACTGACGATCTGCAGTTGCTTCACTATCACCTGCAACGGAACACCTGGTGGTGTTGTTGGGCAACTCTCGGATGGACAGCTTCGTTGCGGACAAGGCTTTGCTGCCTCAACCTTCTGTATCAGCGAGAAAGGAGGTACGTCTTACACAGCACCACGCTCCAGAATTGGAGCAGTCTGCACATGAGTTTGAACTAATGGTACTCAGGATTGATCGATGCCAACGGATTTGGCTGCATCCTGACTCCACCAACCAAGCAATTCCAGTGCGACCATGGCGTCGAAGGGTTCATGGGTTGGTCCATCAGCGACAAAGGCCTGCTCTTCTTCGAGCAAATCAGCACGTGGGTCACTTGCCCAACTGGAGACCATGGAGGATACAACATCTACAGAGAGAGACCCGGTACTCAAGGCGGCTGCGTGGAGATCACAATAACGGCGGATAGCTGCTTCTCCAGTGGTTCATACTCTGAGCAGCACACCACAATCACCACCACGATCGAAACTGGAACCAACTCCACGTCTGGTGGCTCCGTGTCTGGCAGCTCCAAATCTGGTGGCTCGAAGTCTGGCGGCTCCAATTCAGGTGGCTCCAAGTCCGGTGGCTCCAAGTCCGGTGGTGGCTCCAAGTCCGGTGGCTCAAAGTCCGACTCCAAGTCTGGCTCCAAGTCTGACAGCTCCAAGTCTGACTCTAAGTCTGACAGCTCCAAGACTGGCTCCAAGACTGGCTCTGAGTCTTCCAACTCTACCTGCAAGTCTAGCTCTAAGACTGGCTCCGAGTCCTCCAAGGCTACCTGCAAGTCTGGCTCCAAGACTGGCTCTGAGACTTCCAAGTCTACCTGCAAGTCTGGCTCCAAGGCCGACTCCAAGGCCGACTCCAAGACCGAGTCCAAGACTGAGTCCAAGACTGAGTCCAAAACTGAGTCTAAAATTGACTCCAAGGCTGACTCCGATACTGGCTCCAAGACTGACTCCAAAACTGAGTCCAAGACCAAGTCTAGCACTACCAAGCAACCAACGCACATAGTGGGCTCGACTTCTGATTGTCCAGCCACTTTGGTCGAACCTTGGGAAGTGAGTACATCCTTCAACCCCATACCCCCAAGTCCAAGATGACCGAGCACAACTGCTAACATCAGCCAGTTCCCTCACCTGATTGTGCCCATTGATTCTTCCAAACCCACCACTACCTCTGGCACGCAGTTCTTCGGCAATATCAGCTCTACTGTCAGCTCTACCTTCCGCTTTGACATCAGCGGGGATCTGAAGGGCAAGACCTGTTCTCTTGTCTTCATGTTTCCGGAAAGATACCAACTGGAGACCTCGAACTTCGAAATTTCCGGCTCCGGCGAAGTCACCTTCTCGTTGCTCGAGCATGCAATCACCGAGTCCATGTCTTACAATTCTTCTCCCAATATCAAGAAGAAGCTTGTGACCCACACCCTTGTCGCCGGACACAGTTACACAATCGACACCTTCGACTGTCCCGCGGGCGAATCCATTGGTTTCAAGATGGAGACTTGCGACACAAAGAACCCCACGAAATTCAATTGGTTCCAGGACTACAACCCTTGCCCGTAAGTTTGTTGTCTGCGCCTCATTACGTTGCGTTGCTAACATCTGCCAGCATCGGTCTCTACATTCTCGCCAAGTAGAGCTCTTCACCCTAGATCGCACTTTTGTCTTCAATTGCACGGCTTAGCGTTTTATTGTCAATGGACTTCATGGTGTTGCGGTTTTGCATGGACTGAACGCCAGCGCTGGTTGACTTGCTTCGATTAGAGCGTGTCTGTGTTGATGCTTTCCCCTAATCCATAGTGTTGAATTGATTGCTTGCACGGACATGCGCTGAGATGTTGTGTGTATTATGCTTTCGTTGATGAGACCAAGTGATTTTTATGATCGTCTTTGGGTCTCATAACGACTTCCCATGAAACAACCACAGCACACTCTCTACAGTAAAACAAGAGTGAGCCATATGCAGACCTTGGGCATGTACCTGATTACATTATTGTTGGCTATGACGACGCTGTAGATTATTCACTGAACATACCTGGACAGGTACCTACAACCCACATTCCGGGTAGTCCGGTCGTGGGAATATCCCCCTAACTTCATAACACACCTTCAGCCACTTAAGGTATGAGTTTTAATTTTAGCAGATAGGCAGACATATACAAATTAAGAGCAAGCAGCCCAATCACATAGTTGTTGGTGTCGGTGAAGGCGCAAACGGTACTTAGCAAACCATTCAGGGGCCTATAATTGCGATCTATCATCTTCAATTAAGTGTGGTATAACAATGGTTGTTCTTGTTCTTGTTCTTGTTCTTGTTCTTGTTTGAGAAGGATGACGTTACTCGATTAACAGCAAAGCTTCTAATAACAGGTGGAGGTGTATGACACTAGATGATCTACGAACCCCCGGTGGATGCGTCGTAAATATGCGGTTAAAGAACTGAAAATTTTATTGATCTTAAGTGTAATGTAGAGGGTACCAGGCCTTTCTTCCTACCTCTGCTTCTTGCTGGGCGGCGCTGGAGCGGGCGGCGCGTGCAGGCTCCTAATGATCACTCTTGCTATTGAGCCTTACCCGATTCGGCAGTGGCGGAGGGCTAGGAACACAAACACAAACCCTTCTGCCGACCACTTGGTACTAGACAAAAACACAGACAGCAACCCTCACCCCGATCGCAGCAACCACCGCGATCACCACGACCATCGCGGCTATAACCAGCCCAGCCTTTCTCACTTCCTTCGCCACTGTTTCTTCTTCTTTTTACTACCGTCTCGTCACTCGCGCCACGATGTTGGTCCCGTTCATCCCTCGCCTCACGATTTTCAGCTCCAAAATTTCCAAGATGCTTGATGCCACCCGCGCTGAGGACGAAGAATACCGCGCCACTCTAGCTGCTGCTAAAGCTGAAGCTGCTGCGGCAGAGGTCAGACTTGCTAATTCCACCCCTTTCGGGAGTACCCTTCGTAACGCCAATCCCCAGACGTATGGTCGTAGCATCCCTAATACCGCCGAATATTATTGAAAGCCGTACTAGAAAGCTCTTTAGCACCGGTTACGAAGACGGATTCGTGGGGAAGTGCGTCATCAACGATCCGCACACTGCTTTGCGCTTTGCAGAGGAAGAGTACGTCACGCAGCAACTCCCTCCGGAGCGCCTGGTATACTGGGTCGATGGAAGCAGCTCGACTAGCAACTCTGTAATAGGGGACGAGTTCTACTCGTCATGCGCCCTGGTGTGCAGGGACCTCTCACAAGCGGAACTCGCCTGGGAATGCAGATACAAGATCTTTCCTGGAAAACTGACCTCAGTTGAGGCGGAGTGCGAGGCCGTGCTCATGACGCTCCACAACGTCGTGGAGCTGTGCCAGGGATCGACTAAGGAGGACCGTCTGCCTTCCAGCGTCGCCCTGTACTGTGATTCGCAGAATGCCATCACAACGATATCTAAATATCGCCACTCAAAGACCATGATCATGAGGAGGGATTTACCAGTGCTTCCTTTTTTGAAAGAAATTGCCGAACTTTCGCGAGAGTTGAAGGTTGACTTCAACTTGAACCTGGAGCTGCGATGGATCAAGAAAAAGACCGTGGCTGGTCACAGGCATGCTGATGCCTTGGCTAGGAAGTCAAGGAGGGACGCAGATTCCGGAGTTCACCTTGTTGGCGAACAAGATCCTTGTGGTGCGGCGAGTGTCATGCATTTCGGTGACAGCATCAGATTCTCAAAAAAACCAGCAGCCGGCGACACTATCTGAATATTGGTTGACGGAAACGAAAGACCTCCTCCTTGAGAAGGGTTGTATATGGTAAACTTTGATTTCCAGTTCGAATAAGCGTCAAACAAACTGATAGGTTGGCAGAAATCTTCTCCCTCCAGGCGTTGGTACTAGTTGGCTTTGGCTAGCCAGCGAGGAGTAGTAGGGGAAACCCGAGCTAGAGTGAGGGGCTTCTATACCTCAGCGTAGCTCCACTATACCGTTGTCGACGGATCGATCGAACTTTCTCTAAGCCAGCCATCTGTACTTATCGGCCACCTCTTCTTTTCCGTCATCTTCCATCAGACGATTCGACATTGAAATTGGGAACAAATCGAACTTCCGATTCTTCAAACGATCAAGTCATTCACATGTTTGGTACCTTGCCAACAGATCCTCTCTCCCTTCGGAAGTTTGGGGAAAGATCTTGGATCGTGCCTTGGTTTCAGATTTTTCTCCTTGTTCAGCTGGTCACAACTCTTTTCTTGAGTATTATAACTTCTGAGTCTTTTTTTTTGTCTTTTATATTTTGTCTTCTGTCGTCTTTCTTTTTCTTTCTTCCTTTTTCCCTTCAGAGTTCTCTTGGATTTTCTTGTCTCGACGCTTTCTCGCCATTTGTCTCCAGTCATCATCTTCGACAGCGAAAATGGAAAGCGCATCGAGACCGTTACTCGTAGACAGAACGCCACTGTCAAAATGCAATGTAGAATAACAACCCACCAAGCATACAAGCGCTCTCCGGTTAGGCACCAAGGGAATTACCTCTTCTGTATCTTTTCCGTACACCGACGCGCATCTCGGGATGAAGAGCCTTGAAAAGCCAGGACAATGTTGTCTTCCTCCTCCCTCTACGGCTTTTGCACAACGCTGTGGCAACAAGACGGAAGGCCATGAGCGACACCAATTGGCAACATCGAAAGGCCAGGGCATGGAATCAGGCGAATTGTGCATCTTGTCGTTGTCCTTTTTCCCTTGACGACCACAAGTTTTCTGTTGCTCCGGAGGATTGCACAAAAGCACGCATCCAGCTGTGAGATGCGTCACTTGCTCCAGCTGGGTGTCCAGAGGTGAAACTTCGTGTCCCAAAGGCAGCGACATTCGTAAGAGTTATGGAGCGCAATGATTTAGCCTCACTTTCGAAGCCAGAATCCGGTGACGCTGGGTGGGTGACATGGGCGGGCAGGTTGGGTGGGCAGGCAGCGCAGGCCCGTTCAAAATAGGCAGTCGGCGCAGTCGCGCGCAAGCGGTCGTCTTCATCCCACCCCCAATCCCATGCTTCAAATTCTCCCTCTCAACAACCCACTCAATCACAAAAACGCACAAACTGCTCGCAATGTGAGCTCCTCCCACCCCACTTTAAACCTCTCTAATCCCCGATTGAAGCTATCTTTGTTTATTAGGGATTCTAAGTGAGTGTTTATCAAAAATCACTCGTTGGCAGTGAGGATTGCGGAGCGGGAACCTGTCCCTAACCCACGGCGTGGTCACCTGGTGGCCTTCACTGACGCTTCTACTCCTGGCGAATACTCGAGACGAATGAATTGTTCGGGCGTTGGGATCTGCTATCGGTCATTCTCGCGAGGCCCTTCTCGTCCCTGGTTCTCCATTGGCCGATTCTTGAGTCCTCGTGCATCTTTTGATCCTCTTAGATCGGAATACTGCGAGATCTACGCGATCAAGGACGCTCTCGAGTGGGTGGGATGGGACGGGATGGGACCTTTGCGAAAGCTGGTAGTATTTTCCGACTGCAAGTGGGGACTTAAGAAGATCCGAGACTTCGATTCCACCAACGCAACACACCGGGCCTGAGCTGCCGCGCCGCTGATTCTACGCATTCTATTCCTTAGGCAACGTCTCTTCGAACTCGGCGTGGTTGTCCAGCTGCGCTGGGTTCCCAGAGATACCGTCGATGGGATCGTTCGCGCTGATGACACCGCCTGGTGGACCAGGCTCAGTGGTGATGAGTTGGTGGCGTATGGCTCAGTGAATCAAGGGGATGAACTGCTTGTCACGGTGCCGGACATATTGCACTTCGATCGAATGGCGCTTGTCAGCGCCCACGTGCAGCGGTATGGGTAGTCAGTGGAGATCATCTCGTGGCTCCGGTGAGGGCAGGCTTCGAGCACAGGATTCGTGCCAGATGGCGATGGCATATGCGATTGGCAGGAGACAGGGGCCTGGAAGCCACTGGGTGAGCAGTGGTGGAAGGGCTGCCTGTACCTCAGCAAGGTCCCACTGTGCAGTGGTGCTGAGGCTTAAGTCATCGATCCAACTACTCCAACAACGAACGGAATGATCACCAATTCGATCTATCGATGACGAACGAACGGGACAAGTCGAGCGAAATCAAATCTCTCTCTCCAACAAATCACTTCGGAGTCGCTCGGCGGCCTGCCAATCCAAATCCTGTTTTTAACGGCAAGATCCATGTCGGACTCAGGTAAGGCTCCATTGGTTCTCATTCTCCATGGATGATGTACTAATCCGGGGCAGGATTCTCCGGACCGGGCTGCACATATACTCCACACCAGGTTAAATCCTTCAAATTCGAGATGGATACTCCGGGTCAAGGACGAACATCGAACGGTGCCTTCTCAACCTTAGCTCTTCGACGGACTTCGCAACGATCTCAAACCTCTACATCTCTTCTCTTATTACCCCGAACTTCGAGATCCATCCGAAATTGGGTGTCTCAGAGCTCTATCTCTTCTCCATATAAACCATCCATACTTTCCGGTCGCAGGCAAATCGCCATTGCCTAAAAGCGATAGCAGGAAACGCAAGCAGAATGCAAGAAAAAGACGCAAAAATCGCAAGGAAAAGCCATACGTTAGATGCGAAATCAGAACACCCAAGTCACACAGAGTGCCCCATAAACTCCATGAACTCACCGCTTTCCGGCTCATCACTCCGGCTCTTCAAGAACGACGCAAATTGTCTACTACCAATATTCTTGGACCATGGAAACTTTCAACGGGCCAAGTCTGTGTCAATACTACCAGACGTTCTGATTACTCCTGGCTCTTCTAAACGATCGTCTCAAAATTTTCGCTGCCTTCTTTCCGGATACATTATGACTGGAACAGCGCAACACCGGTGATACAAACTCTCATAACCCATTTTCGAACCCTCAGCAACGTCTGTCACCGTCAAGCGTGATTCACCATCTAGCGGGACAGGGAAGAATACAAGCAGTTTCTGTGGAATACTTCTTGTCTAGATAGAGGTAAAAAGACCTCCAAGTACCAATGGAAGTCACTTTCGCAACTTGTATTCTGCGACCATCAACACTGCCTACCTATGCAGTTTGATCGCCAACAAAAATACAATTGGAACGTCGTTGATGATGAAGGGTTGAAGTTGAAGTCGGAGGGAAGAAAGCTTGACCGGCTTGGCGCGACTGCCAGCTACGGAGCACGTGAGTTGATCCTTCACACCGGTGCCGGCGATCCAATGACGCTGTCAATCGATAACGCGCCGACGAAATGCACGTCAACGTGCTGAATGTTCCACTCGGTCGACCTCACCACTGCTCTCCGGCCTGAGCTTCTGCCGGACGAGACTCTGCTGTTCGTGCAGGATGCCGTTGGCCTGTACGAAGGGTGCGTCCACGTCCGCGCCTGAGCTGCTTGTCCCGGAGGCTGATATCTCCAAAGGAAATACAAGATTCCTGACTTCCAAGATGGCCATGCTTACCTGACCTCTCATCGCGCATGCTACGTTGATAACAAAGAGCCTCGGAAGTACTCCATTGCAGTCAACCTCAAGGATGTGGAGAAACCCGAGTTTTATGTGAGAGCTCGCTGCGTCTTATCACATGGGTTCACATGAGTCTAATCGGCAATCCAGGCGGGGTTCCTCAAATCGTCGCCCAAAATAACCCTCTATCCCAAGCCTTCCAAGAAGCCGATCTTGTCTGGCGGCCCGCCCTACAGTCCTTCCTCGACTCCGCCACCACGCCATGGAAGCCCTTTTCGTCCACTACCGCCGGCGCCTTCTACACCTGTCGCTGCATCAGCAACGTGGATCTGTCCGATATGCTCGTTCTCAAATCCTGTGCCATCCAACTTTGACCCAGCCTTCGCAAACTCAAACACGCCGCTTCCACCATGCCTCGCCTGCGGCCTCAAGCCTCCACTGGTACATTTGATCAAGGCGGCGATAGCGGCGAGCCGGCAGGCACAGCAAGAACCACCTACGCCCACAACCCCAGCTGGTTCCGGTTCACCTTTCGGAGCAGCACAGGCAGCCGGAGCCTCTCCAGGACCTTCCTCTTTCCAGTGTCCAAGGTGTACCTTTGAAAACCACCCTTCCTTACTCACTTGCGAGATGTGCGGGGCTTCGCTTGTCAGCACTCCAGATAAGCGCAGGGACTTGGGCGCATCATTCGGAAGGTCTGAATCACCAGCACCAATCCTCAGCGGTGCGCCATTGGGCAGTAACGTGCCAGAGAGCATCAAATTCTCGTTCCGTGCTGGCGGAGAGAAGATCTTCTTTGAGCGGTTAAAGGGAGCATTGGTCCAACGTAAATGGCTTCTCCAAAGTGCACCGCCTGTGCCGAAACCAAGCTATCAGGATGGCGCGGCCGGTCAAGACGGCAACGGTCTACCAACACGCAACAAAGTTGTCGGCATCGCGGGTCTGGAACAACGGGGTTTTGAGCAGCGCAAAAACAACGAAGTCATGATCGGCAGTGCCTTTGAGGATCTCGAGGCCTTGATGACTTCGGCAAAGGAGATTATAGCACTTGCCGAGTCGTTCTCCACTCAAGCAAATCTCAGTCCAACTGGAACCTCATCGGAGGCCGGAAACTCATCAGAGGCGAATGCACTACTCTCACAGTCGGCATCTGCGCTGGGCCTGGTCACTACGAAGGACATGCTCGGATCTGGCTCCGATAGCCTCTACATTTCGGAGCTGTCACGAAACATTGCAGAGTTCCTCACGGACGATACAAAAGGCATACTCAGGCGCGAAGGCGGCATCATGAGCTTGGTTGACTTGTGGGCCGTCGTCAACAGAGCAAGAGGGGGTGTGGAACTGGTTAGTCCGACCGACTTCGAAAAGGCAGCGCAGATGTGGGACAAGCTCAAACTTCCCGTGCGCCTGCGACGCTTCAAGAGCGGCTTGCTGGTTGTTCAGGGTCGCGATCGCACAGACGAGAAGACAATCGCAAGTTTGCTGGGCTGGATGCAAGAGCTGCACCATGCCCCGCCCCCGGGTGACGCCGCGTGGGACTGGGAGAAATACGGCCGTGGAGTTACTGCGCAGGAAGCAGCGGAGTGGTTTGGATGGAGCGTGGGTGTTGCGACTGAAGAGCTCGAGATGGCGGAGGAAAGAGGAGCGCTGTGTCGTGAGCAGGGGCTGGACGGACTGCGCTTCTGGGAGAACTGGCTCAGTAAGCCACAGGAGGCTTGAGTTCGGCGGGATTGAACGGTAGGGGTAGCAATCCACAGAGACGCATGGAACGGATTGAAGAACGAGTTGCATGGGTGGCGGATAGTCCTTAGGGGAAATAGAGTAGGTAGCTTCATCAACGGGACCAATGCTAGAAATATTAAACGCAGGGGGCCTGGAGGCTACCGTGAATGCGGCGACGAGTAGTGGCGACATTAACGTCAGGTGGGGTTTCCCCACACTACACCAAACCAACTGCCGACATCATCATCCACCCCGCCATTCCACCATCCGACGAAGCCCTTACCACACCCGACGGCCCAAAATGGTGGACTTGGACATTGCCACCACTGCTAATTCCTCTTCAACAACAGCTCCCAGCAACAACACTCCCCATCCGCCATGGACGCCTTCGAATACAACGCCAACCCCAGCCGCGTCGTCTTCGGCTCGGGCACGCTCAAGAAGCTCCCAGCCGAGCTCTCACGCCTGAACGTCAAAGCGCCCCTGATACTCAGCACGCCGGGACAAGCGCAGCAAGCCACAGCAGTGCGCGCAGTGCTAGCCAACGACATTGCAGGCATCTTCACCGAAGCGGCGATGCACACGCCCACAGACGTGACAGACAAAGCCGTAGCATTCGCGCAAGCGCAGCGCGCCGACAGCGTCGTCTCCATCGGCGGGGGCAGCACGATCGGCTTGGGCAAAGCTATTAGTTTCCGCACCGGCGTGCCGCACGTCTGCGTCCCGACTACGTACGCGGGCAGCGAGATGACGCCGATACTGGGCGAGACGGCGGCGGGGCAGAAGACTACGCGGAGCGATCCGCGGATTTTGCCTGCGACCGTGGTCTATGATGTCGAGCTTACGCTGACGCTGCCCGTGAAGCTGAGTATGGAGAGCGGTCTCAATGCTGTCGCGCATGCTGGTGAGCTTCCCTATACCTACACACGCACGCCCACCCAACTAACCCCCCATAGTCGAAGCGCTCTACGCGCAAAACGCCAACCCCATAACCTCTCTCCTCGCAACCGAAGGCATCCGCGCGCTCGCCTCCGCCCTCCCCACCCTGCTCACAAACCCCACCTCCCCCTCCCCCCGCAGCACCGCCCTCTACGGCGCCTACCTCTGCGGCACCGCCCTCGGCAGCGCCAGCATGGCCCTGCACCACAAGCTGTGCCACGCGCTGGGCGGGACGCTGAACCTGCCGCACGCGGCGACGCACGCGGCGGTGCTGCCCCACGCGCTCGCGTACAACTTGCCTGCGCTGCCGGAGGAGACGAGACGACGGCTCGCGGATGCGCTGGTGCCTGGTGCTGGTGCTGGGGAAGATGCCGTGACGGGGCTTAATAAGCTGGTGGGGAAGCTGGGCGTGGGTGGTGGGGGGTTGAGGGCGCTGGGGATGCGCGAGGAGGATGTTGATGCCATGGTGGATAAGGTGCTGGCGAGGCCGTATTGGAATCCGCGGAAGGTGGAGAGGGAGGGCGTTAGGGAGGTTGTGAGGAGGGCGTGGGCGGGTGAGGAGGCGAGGGCTGATTTGTGAGGAAGGGGTGGGGTGGGGTGGATTGTGGATTGTGGTTGTTGAGAGGTGTAATGTTGTTGAGCTTGGCTAGCTTCGAGGGGATGGGCAACTGTCAGGTTGTCAGGCTGTCAGAATCTTGATGGAATGTAATGATGACACTCACTTTATTACTGGACTGCGTTCAACCTGGGGAGGCTCACAGCAATATCGACGAAACCCAATCCCAGAACACTGTCACTCAAAAAATATGCCAATTCATTAAAGTATATTTTCCATTGTTATCATAACTCGTTGCCAAAACAAACCAGAAATCGCCGCAACTACCGCGCTAATTCATACGTAGTACATCTGATCGTCTATGATGTAGATACTCAGCAGGGCTTGAAAGATAATCTTGCAACCCAAGCACGCCAAGCTGCAGCTATTGCACAAGACCGAAAAGCTTACAAAAGCTTAGCCCTGAGGCGCAGCCAAGACGACTTCTTCTTCTCCTTCTCGCGGCGCTGCTTCTCGGCGTACTGGTCGGCCTTGTACTGGAAGATGCTGCCATCGAAGACGCGGCGGATTTCTTCCTTGCGCAGGATGCCGTCCTCAGGCCAGAGCAGGAGGTAAGTGGCAAGCCCTAAAAGCAAAAACCAGCATCAGTATAATGTCCAAAAGTCCAAAGACACGTCTCTGCATCCACGGGTAACACTCACATTCCAAAAACGCAGCACTCCAGCCAAAGAAGTCAAACGCCATGCGCTGGCCCTTCCAAGCACGCAACAAGTCCCACACGTCGAGGCCGCCCTTGTCGCCGCGGTCGTACTTGGCGAACAGGTCCTCGAACTGCTGCGGCTTGAAGCGGCCCTCGTTGTCGAAGCTCATGCTGTCCGAGCCGTGCTTGTCCTTGTGCAGGCGCGAGATGTAGATGCGAAAGAAGGGGTCTGGGAGCCAGCCCGGCAGGGTGGGGTATGAGAGGTTGAAGTTGATCAGGAAGGTTGCGAGCAGCGCCAGCGGTACCGACCAGCCCCATGCCCGCATCCCCCGGTACGTGTCTTGTGGCCAGATGATGCCGTCGTTGTCTTGGTCCCCTGTGTGTGCGTTAGTATGTATGTCTACAACCCAAAGCAAGTTAGTGTAGAAGGAGAAGTAGACGTACAGTACGCAACATGCTGCTGCACAACCGTCTGGTCCTGGTGGTCGCGCGCCCAACCCCCCTCGATAGTGCCGTTCGGCCTCTCTCTGCTGGCAGCAATGGTCGCGCGGGCCGTGCCCGCGTCAATGAGCGGGTCCGTCCCATCGTCGGCGGGGAAGTACGGCTGCCGCTCGCGCGTCACCGGCGCTCCGTCCACGACCGTGCTGTACGGCTTGCCGATGGGCTCCTGGGCAATGGCCCGTCCTACCAGCGCGTATCCCTCGCGCTGCTTGGCGTCGACCTGCACGTCGAAGCCGAAAGACTGCTGCTCATCGACGCCGTCGGGGGCGGCGACCTCGGCGTAGGAGGGCATTGTTGTTGTTGTTGTGGGTGTGTGGAGGGGAGGAAGATATGGACGAATTGGGAGTAGGGTGGTTTGGATGTGAGAGAGAACAGACAAAGAAGGATGAGAAAAAGAGAGAGAAAAGGGTCTTGGAGAGGGTTGAGCGGGTGCGTATTTCTACAGCTGTCGCGGGGTCACACCTACGTATGTCTTTGCGGGCAGCCAATGCCAATGAGGTCATTATTAGTTGGGCCCGTCCGTCATAGAAGGAACGGGCGGCCTGAGCGTCCGTCCGTCCAGGTTCCTTCCACACATGTGAAAGCGGATCCGCAATCCGATCAGCGCCAGAGCACGCAACCCTCTAGCAGCCAACGAACGCAGCCCTCATTTCTAATCCCTTTTTTGCGCCAACCTTTGTTGCTGCGAGCGTCCCTGCCAGTCCACGCCTGAACCCCCCTACTTGTGCTTTGTGCAAATGCGGCGCCCGCGCGCGTGCTCCCGCTCGCTTCCAGGCACCCGGAGCATGACGCGCTAGGGTCGGCGCGGGAGGCACGCTTGCGTCGCTGGGCCTGCGACGGCGCGCCGCTGCGATCGGACGATCGCGTTGGGTGGGTGTTGGGCGGCTTGTGTGCGCCATGTACCACGTCCTTCAATCATATCTCAATAAATGTCTGGGAGTGCGAATGCGAACTTGGTTGGGGATGAATTGAATTTGAATTGCAGCATGCGGACCGAGAAACACCCGTGTCGTCATCGCTGGGTGGAAGCCGCTCTGGATATCTACATGTTGGGGTATTATTAGGGGGAAAAAGGTAATGCAAAATAATCGTAAGTCCAAATCGTGTCTCGTAAGGCTTGGTTTCATGAACCTTGTCGTATCTCGCTGAACGCTGATAGCGCTATTCCGGCCGTTACATCATCTACATCCTCCAAGACCTCAGAAAGGCCAACCCGCGGTATCTCAAAGGGTTTCCTGGCTTCGTCTTAAACGTACGCCCTGCGACTGCTGTGGTGCGAGCGCCTGGGGCTTGGCGGGTAGTCCCGGCTGCGGCTGCGGTGGCTGTGACGGGAGTAGTGCGTGGAGCTGCGCTTGACATGGACGACGTCGGTAAGGTGGTGACGGTGGACCAGAAGAGCGAGGAGCTTTACCAGCAAACGTCAGCTTGTGTCTCGAATCCTTGTCGCCGACCCTGGGACTTACAAAAGTGGTGAAGAAGAAGATGCAGTTCATGATGCCGAAGGCAAAGCAGGCCTTGAGCATCGAGCACGTCTTGTGCGGGTGCATCGACCAGTCGGTGTTGGAGCTGCGTCCGTAGTAGCCCACCATGCCGAGCTTGTAGTACCAGTCGCCCGGAGCGTTGCTGGAACAGTTGGCATCGCTGACGAAGCGCAACAGATAGACACCTCCGATGAAGCAACCGACGAAAGCAAGGTCGACGATCGCGACGAAGAGGGCCGAGTGACGGACGCGCAAGTATCCCACCAGAGTCGCGATGGCCCACGCCGCGGCTAGCACCGACGTTATGAAGAGCAGTAATATGAAGTCGGGCGTGAGCGTGTTCAGCGAGACGTAGCCCTTGACGAACCAGGCCAGCATGCCCAGCGTCGGGATGAGAGTTAGAATCTCAAGTATGCGCCAGCAAATGAACAGGAAGCCGGAGAGAGCCATGGTGGTACGAGGGCGCGGGTTGCAGAGATTGAGCTGGCGGTGGTTCGGTAAGGAGTACGAGCTGAGCGGGGGCTGTTGCGCTGGAAGGCTGAAGCTGGTGTGGGGGGGAGCTCGAGCTGTACGACGTTGCGACGACGAGAGGAGAAGAAGACGATTAGTTGCTAGCTGCAGCAAACATGGACGGAGAAAGAAGAAGAAGCAGAAGAAGCAGTCAGCGAGAGATTACAGTAGTTGCAGCAAGCAGCAAGGCGCTGCGGGCTCGCCGGGCGGTTAAACATGGCGGCGGACGTGTGAAAGAGGCTGGGCGGTGGAGAGGAGGCTGGCGCGTGGGGTTTGCGCGTAGCGGCTTCCGGTTGGCGGTGCACAGGCTGCCTCAGGCTCAGTGCCTTTTCGTCCTTTCGTTCCTCTCCACCGTCATCGACTCACGACACAAAGCCACGCGGCGAGACATGCCAGGCGAACACACACACGCGAGCTGCAAGATGACTGGCCCTGGCGATGCGACCTGCCGAATCCCTGCACGCCGCCCGCATTCCTTATCGCTACCTATCCGTCAAGCATTGCTTTATCAATTGAACATGGTATTGATTTCGGTGCAACGTCGCCTACATGGCCCACACAAGGGACTCTCTTTTCACCTCTCAATTGTCGCCTGTAGACTCTCGCCTCCTTTGACCATCCACGCTTCTCCGGATTCCGGATCAACCAAGCTTCCCCAGACTTGTTTCAGCCCTGTATTGTCTGTTTGCTACACTTGACTGCAGCTGTCCCGATCCGGCTATCCCGCGCCTCACATGTCACATCGATACTCTGCTCTTCAAATCATTCCCGGTCCCGGTCCCCGGTCCTCCTTCGCTCCTCGTCTCTCCGCCTCCTTGCCTTCTTTTCAGCCAAGTTTTTGCCATTCTGTTAAGATACCTACCAGTTCTCTCAAAGCTTCTTCTGAGACTGGACAAGGCTGACGGTCAATCTTCCCGGAACAGTGCTTGCCGTGGCTTACAGAATCTTTTTGCTGCATCACATCCGAAAACTGCCGGAGTCATGAGTTGAAAAGCCTTTCATTGGTCCTCGTCATTGAAACGCCTGGAAATCAAATGTGAACTACTTGCTCGTCGTCTGGGTCTGATATCACAACACGCCACGCCTCCGTCTAATCCCGGCTCCGCAAGTGCTCGCTTTTTCGGCATTTCCAATAACGAACTGTCGTGTAACACGCCATTGTTTTGCGACCTTGCTTGCATTTACGTCTTTGGTGTTAAACCCCTTGTCTCGCACGTTGGCCTTCAGCAATTCAGGGAAGATCGAAAATATTGACTTAAAATCACAATGTCGGGCCGAGGGGCGCGTGGCCGTAACGACATACAGAAAAACATCGAGAAGCAGGAAAAGAAGAAAGAGGCGAAAGATGCCACGGAGAAGACCCCAAAGCCCACAACGGAAACTGGATGGAACCTATCATTCCGCGGACATGCACCATCAAGCTCAATTATCCCCGGTCGTCGTGCGTCTTTGACAGCAACCATCAGTTCACGTAGCTCGGGACAGTCTAAGGCTAGTGACAAGGGACACGCTGGTTCTATGTCTCCGGGGCTTGATGAGTCGGAAGAGAAGAAATACCAGTTCAAGGGGAAAGAAACAAAGCATCCACGAGGTCGCGGTGGTGGTGTGCCAGCTAGGACTAAAACAGGAGACTCAGCGTATTCGGCCCACACGTCATACTCAAATGCTAGCTACGAATCAGGGCCGGCATCGGCAAATAATGCTCCGCCAACGCTATCTGCCGAAGAAAAATCTTGGGCCAGCATGAAGCTTTGGTACGGGAACGGGCAACCAACGCAACGGTGGAAGGGTTTCGAAACCGTAGGCTTGTCTCAACGCCCATCTCATAAATTACTAACAAGCATAGGACGCCGAAATGTTCATGTCTACTGGCGACTGTCTGGTATTTTTCAGTGAAGATAGTTCGGGTAACAGCGAACCGAGTCCGGTACTGCGTGTGCACACGGAAAAGCTGCAAGAAGCAAGATCTTCGTTTCTCACAAATTTGATAATGTATGGCGAGATCGAACAGGACGACTACTCCCCACCACCGAGCGTTGTCGGATCGCCACCAACACATTCCCTGACAAGTTCCAACCTCGGCTCCCTGGACGAAGAATCCGTACCACCGTCAAAAGACTCTGTGAATAACACATTGCCATCTCCGCAGAGGAATATCCCGTCACGGTCGGCACGGTCGTCTGAAAGCCAATACGGGAGCCGTTTGTTTCGAGACTTGAAGTTCGGGGCTTTTCCGACCCGAGCGCAGAGCGATGGTGCGTCATCCGGGGATTTTAATATACAAGAGGTCGACGTAACCCATGAGATTTGGTTTCCAGCTCCGTCCTACATACAGACATTATATGAGCAACGTCGCCATCACTTGGCCATCAGAAACTTTCTCGCGCTGCTCTACGACAAACCAATTGTGGGCTCCGATCTGTTCGAAATGCTCACAGAGCTCCAAATGGTCATGGATATAATGTATGAGTTGAACGACCCCAACAGACGCCCAAGCACAGCGGCAATGATTGTAGAATATGTCCTGGGCAGACGACTGGACGACGTACGCGGCAGCCTTTCCAGCGCTCTTGGTCTGCTGGCATGGAGTGAGAAAAAGGATGTTTCCTGGGATCACGGTTATATGGAAGCGTTCATTCATGCCGTCGGCATGCTAACCAAAAGTTCGTTTGACCGGCACGAGTTCAAGCGTCTTTCTCCGGTAACAAGACACAACCTAGAGAAGTCATTCAGCGGGATGCAGATCAAGATCCTCGAAGCCGAGGGTAAGCTCAGTGCATTCGTGTTTTCTGATTTGTGGAATCTTTCAAATGCCGGAACCGACAATGCGGCTTTTAAGAGCTGCGAATCTTTGAGGGAATACCTTTGCTGTTACTATGCACACATCTATGGAAGCTGGCCTCCGAGAACAGGCAAAGATGGGCAGTGGCTGACAAGAGAGGCTGTGGGACGACTCCAACGAGACTTTGGCGCATTGTACGACGTTCTTGTCAACCGCGACATCGACTGGGACATTTGCGAGGAACGTCATACACGAAAATGGCAGATGACCAGCAAGACCACTATCACAGACGTCTTCTCACCGGACCTTTTCGGTTTGCCCATCACAGATATGTTGATTGGCTTTGACAACCAGCATGGATACCAGCATATTCCTCATCCATACCCGCTTTTACCTCGGCGCGTACCGTCACTCACTCCTGCATCTCCGAAAAAGAAGCATCTTTTTAGCATGTCTAAAAAGGACAAAAACCTATCCTCTCATGACCCCTCGGAACAAATGAAGGTCTCGCTTGCTTTTGGAGATGCCACAAACATCAGCAAGCTGGGCATGGATCTCGAACGTAAGTTTACTGTGACCTCCTGCCCCCCCAGATCTTGTCTACCCTTACCCCACACCCTACCCCACCTCACTAGCAACCAAGCTGCTGACATACTGTCTCACCCGCAGCCAATGATTTACGCGACCAGTTCCTCGAGTACGAAAAGACGATCGCCACGGAACTGCGCGACGTGCCCACAGCGCACGCCCGCCTAGGCCGCTGGATCCTCCTCTACGGCACGCTGCAAGTGCTCTCGACGCTCTCGGTCGACACCTTCGGCGTCAAGCACTTCATCGGGGTGCACTACTTCCTCTGCCCAAGCCTCGACAACTGTCCACCATGGCCGTCGCAAATCCGTCTCGGCATGGGCCCCGTCAAAGAAGCCTCCCAGCTGTCCAGCCACTGTTGGACGGCGCCGTTCGCGTGGGAGTACGCGCACCAGTCGCTGCGGCGCGGCGTCGGCGTCGGCGCCGGCGCGCACGGTTTCACGAGCTACGAGCTCGAGGAGTCGGCGGACCGCGTCAGCGAGCTGGACGGCCGCTCGCTGGACCCAAGGAGCAGAGGCCGCGACCGCAAGGTCTGTCTGCAGCATCAGCAGCAGCAGTTGCATGCTGAGTACGAGCATGAGCGCCGGCGGCGCGAGCGCGCTGCTGCGCTTTCGCCGGACGCGCTGGACCGTGACCGCAAGGACGGTAAGGACGGCAAAAACGGCGATCGCAAAGACACCAAGGAGCGCGACCGCCTGGTCCTGTTTCCGGATTGCAGCAGAGACAGCAGGGGTCGCACGCCGCCGTCGGCGCGGCCGGATCTTCCGCCCCGGAGCCCGTTGAGGAGGAAGGGTGATGGTGCGGATGGGGTACTGGTACTGGAGCCGGAGACGGAGAGGGAGGGCCGGAGGCGGCTGGTGGAGTATTTTGCTGAGGGGGAGGAGGATCATGGTGGTGGTGTGGGGGTTGTGGGGAAGGTGGGTGATGAGGGTGAGGAGTAGGGTGAGGGTAGGGTGAGGGTGGGTGAGGTGAGGTACGTACGGTACGATACCCTGGTGTTCTTGGGGAGGCTTGCTGTAGTGCGTGAGTGGCCCATTGGGAGTTGTTTTTGTTGTTTGTCTAGGTGGAATTGCAAAATTGTTGTGTGTAGGGACGTTTGTGTCTTCTGGTGTTTGGCGCCGGTACGTTGTTCTGTCGTTTTCTCTTCTTTGTCTTTTGCTTGCGTACGTGTGTCGTTACTGTCATTATTACTACTGTTTCTTCTGCCTTGTAACGTCCGTCACCGAGAACCGAGATCCACCGTCTAGCGAGACAAGGGACGACACAAGCAGTCCCTACAGAGTACTCCTTGCCTAGCTCCTATCCCGAGTTCCAGGTATGGGTAAAAGGGTCTTAGAGCACGCAGAGGCTCTACACATCCTAACTGGCACTATTCTTCTCCTCTGTACGCGTATCACCATCTCGATTCACGGTGAATCTCGCTTCACGGTGACGGACGTTACTTTGCCCATTGCTCACGCTTACAGTAATCTCAGTTTGTTACTTCAGTTTATCATATTCCAAGTCTGTTTCAATACACACATATACACAAGCTGAACATTTATGAGCAGTTTTTGAATTGAAGAAGTTGAAGAAGCAACAGCAGCTATGTAACTACGGCTCAATAACTCAAAGCAGGGTATCTCGCAGCAAAGTCGAACTAAGCTCAGTGACTACCTAGGTAGACTCGTCGGAGCTATGACGCCCCAGACCTAGCCAGTGCGGTTGTGGGTCCTTAGCCGGCGGTACCGCGAAGGCATCTCCTCTGGTTGCTGGTCCCCACTCTGCTCGGGTCTAGCGTTGCGAGCGGCCCGCGTCCTGCGTTGGGTGCGTTCAGGCGCTGAAGAGCCCTCCTCTTGCGACCGTGTGGCAGGCTCACGCGCGGCAGCAGTGTCCTCCGGACGAGCGGCTTCGCGCTGTCTCTGTCTGATAGTGTTGGTCGGCGTAAAAGGCGACCTCAGTTCTTCGTATCCGGGTGGTCTGACCCTGTCCCAAAGCATTCCCATTCCGACCCTCTGGCGAAAGGGATTGTGCGGACCGTCGGCCGTCGTACCAGCGCGGCCAGCTCGGACGTCTTGGAGCTGTTGTTCGAGCCGTTGTTCGTCCCTACGCATGCCCCTGAGCTGGTCTTGTATCATCTGCGATATGCTTCTGGTATCATTCGTAGCCTGGTTCTGCTCACGTAAACGCGGCTGCTCCCTGCCCGGCATGGGTCTGGTATCGTTGATAGCTGCTTGGCCATGCTCGTGTAGACCTGTTTCCTCTTCCTGCGCCATGTGTCGTACAGGGTACCTGTGCAACATGTCTCTGGCATGATTGGTAGCTTGGTCATACTCATTTAAACCCATCTCCTCTTCCTGTGTCGTTTGTTGCAAACGCGCACGGTGTCTGTGCAGCGTGGCTCTGGCATCATTGATAGCCTGATCCTGCTCGTTAAAGTTCAGCTCGACGTCGGCCAAAGAATTCAAATATCAGCTTACCAATCTATCAGTATGTGCCGCCGTTCTACCAATCTGGGCATGAAGTTCACCGAGTGGATCGGGTTGAAAGCGGTCCTGTCTGACGTTCTGCAGTTCGGCGATGTCCCTTTCGATCTGCGTCCGGATTGTCTGGAGTTGCTGGGGTTCAAAGCGGGCCAATCTGTGGCTCAGCGGTTCGCCGTACATCATATCAACCTGCGCGTCGGGCATAGTGCCAGCGATGTCATCTTCTTGTAGAAGTGTCGGGAAATTATCAGTCTCTGTCTGGGCTGCCTGGGGTTGCTCGGCTTCGTTGAGACGCGGCAGGGCATATGGTCCAAGGTAGATTCCAACAGTCCGCGCCCGGCGTTGCTGGATCTCTGGCAGAGGTTCTACAGGTCTATCCCTATGCCGGGTATGGATACGGATACGGTTATTGTTCCACTCGTCAAGCAACCGTCTATCAGCTGGTGTGAGTGCCTGGGCTTGACGGCGTACCCTATCTTCGAAGAAGTTTTCGAGTTGCCCGATGTGTTGCCGCATCTCGTCCAAATCGCCTTCAAGGCCATCGTGCCCGAGTCTTCGGAGACGGTGAAGTGCACCTCTGGGGGGTGCGTCATGTCCATCTCTTGGGAGGGGTGGAAGTAGGTTGTCGGGATCGTCTTCACCCCCCGTTGGCGAGGTTATGGACAGCATATCCTGTTCGATCATGTTCAACGCATGCCTCTCCCGTATTATGTGTAGGTCAGGACCGGCACGGAGCCCATTAGTTCTCGGTCGCTCCTCTTCGATGTGGCCCATCCTCCGTACCTGCCGTTCGATCCTGGCAAAAGCTTCTGTCTGACGTCGCTCAACCCCGGCGCCGTGCACGTGCTGTCCCTGCTCGTTTACCACACTGTCGTTCCGGGTTTCGGTGTTGATAGCTAGAATAACGTCCCGCCGGATGTAGTGGACGGTCCGCTCAATGTCTTCGCCGGCATCGAGGTGTCGGTTTGCAATGGTTGCGAATTCAATATCTTGAAGTCCAACCGCCGCGAAGCTGGCAATAAACCTATTGATCGATTCCCTCAGTGTCTGCTGAGGCCTCACAGAATCGTGGATACGCACACCTTCGAGGTCGAGGTCAGAGACAGCTTCGTTAGGTGGGACTGGCCCAAAGGTCCACAGAAAATCTTCAATGACACGGCTTCCCAGTGATATCAAGCGTGGATAGAGAGGCACAGGCCGTTGATTGCCCCGTCTGTCGAAACCCTGACGGTTGTAGCCCGAAATGTTGTAACCATCTTTGTCCAGGCCAGTGTCACGGTGGATGCCCCTGCTGTCGTAGCCTTCGGCATCGTACGTGGGGTCGCTGTAGTAAGTGCAGCCTCTATCGCGATGTGCGTCCCTATCCCAAGCCTCCAGGCAAACGAAGCAGAACTCGTGCGCGCAAATACCGCAGGTCATGTGGTTGCATGCATCCGTCAGCTGGATCAGGACACTGCACTTCGGGCAGCGCTTGACGCGGTTGTTGGACGTGTATTCGATCTTGTCGTCAGTCTTGCCAGCTCCGCATTCGTGTCCAGCCGACGTGTTTGCTTCGGCCTCCTTGCACTCCCGGCATGTCTTGTGACCGCAGCGGTGGCATACGGTTCTGTCGTCCGCGAGGAAGGTAGAGCACTTCTTGTTCGAGCAGTAGACGCGCTCCGGGATGGGTGTGCCGTATTCCGCAACCTTCGCCTTGTAGTGCTTGACGAAGTTGGGGTTGACGACTCCCCAGTCGTCATAGAACTTGACGGCGTCGTCAATATCGATACCTCTGGAGTGGTGACAGCATTTCGGCGGGTAGTCCAGCTCGGTCTTCGCGGCGCGCTCGAACAAGGTGTTGAGGTCGTCTTGACAGATGTGATGGATGGAGCATGACTGAAAGGCTGGGTCTGCCGCGATCGGCATTAGGCATACGACGCATTCGGGCGGCGGCTTCGCGTCCATGGTGGCAATGGATGAGACTGAGGGAAAAAACGCGAATCGCTCGAGTGTGTGGGTTTTTTCGGTTTGACTGTTCCGCGGGAAGGGCGGCGTTTATATATGCGTGGTGCGACGCGTCGTTTGTCTATTGTCCCAAGGGAATGACGTCGTTACCACGACTGAGACACTGATGTGTTAAGGAAGCGAATACCGAGTGCATGTGAAATACGTAGAATGTGAGCTCTCCTAAAGAATGTTTTCACATATCAAGTTTGGTAAGGAGTGGAAGAAGAGACCCATGTATGGCAGTAGACAAATCCACCACTTTCCTAAAGCCGCCTGCCTAATTAGGTGAGGTACCGGGTAGAAAGTTACATCCGCAACTCCATAACCTCGCGATACGCCTACGAATGTCGCGACCCATATTATAGCTTATTAGCTCACGCGAAACGTAGCACGAATAAGTTCTTACTTAGAGAAAACTAATAAAGTAAGTTACTAGCGTCACGCGAAGGAGACTTAGGTGAAATTAACACGTAGAGGAGCGAGCGCAAGTATATCAACTCCGCGAAGACACCTTTCTATTAGACGCCCTGCATAATAGGCGGACCATTATGGCGGAGTGGTGGAATTATCTACTGCCGACAAACAAACAAGAACCCGCGAACAAGGGCGTGAACCAGCAAAGACAATCTCAAAACAAAAGCCTGATATCATTAACTCATTAAGCTAAGCCCCAACGATTACCACTCTTAATTCCCTCACAAAGTGTCCTTAACAAGCAGCTCGCCCGCACTCCAGCCAAGCGCGACCTCGATCTCTCCCTGCGGCACGACCCAGTCCTGGCTCACCGTGTCCCAAAACGCGACGTCGCGCTTCGCCAACGTCAGCACGACCTCCTTCTCCTCGCCCGCATCCAGCTGCACCTTCTCGAACCCGCGCAGCGTCCACCGCGGCGTCCCGGACGGCGCGCCCGCGTTTGACAGCCCCACGTACAGCTGCGGCACGGCGGCGCCGGCGCGCGCTCCCGTGTTGCGCACCTGGAAGCGGACTGTGTGGGCGGGGGCCCAGAGGTCGGCGCGGCCGCCGGGCGGGGCAATCGTGGAAGCGGAAGCGGAGGAGTTGGTCGTGGAGGTGTTGGAGGCGCCGGTGCTCAGGTCCGCGAGCTCGAACGTCGTGTACGACAGGCCGTAGCCGAAGGGGTAGAGCACCTTCTCCTTGGCAGCCTTGTCGTCGGCGTAGTAGTAGCGGTAGTCGATGAGCAGGCCCTCTTCGAAATCGGCTTCCCAGGCCAGCGGGTCCTCGGTCTCCGCCAGCGCCGTCGAGTTGACGATGTGGGCTGTGGACGGCACCACGTCCTCGGATACGGGGACGGTGTAGGGCAGGTGGCCGGAGGGGTTGACGTCGCCGTACAGCACGTCGACGAGCGAGTTGCCGCTTTCTTGGCCCGGCATGTGCGCCGCGAGGATGGCGGTGACGTTTTCGTGGTTCGCAAAGGGCAGGACAACGGGGCCCGTGCCGTGCAAGACTACGATCGTGTTGTTGCAGTTGGCTGCCACCGTCTCGACTACCGCGCTGCCGTTGTAGTCGGGCAGCAGGCTCTCCCGGTCGAAGCCCTCGGTCGCCCACGCCTTGATGAAGACGAGGCACACTTCCGGCTCCGGTGCGATGGTCGTGAAGCCGTTCGTCGTGATGTACTCGTTGTTCAGGATGTACTGCACCAAGGCATTGTCCTGCTTGGCGCGGGCCTTGATGGCGTCGAGCGGGCTGACGAGGTACGAGAAGCGGCCGGTGCCGGAGCCGCCGCCGGCAGCCAGGGTGCCGATGTCATAGGAGCCGGAGACAAAACCGCCGGCAAACGAGTACAGGCCCTCGGAGAAGTCGGCAGCGTCGTTGCCGAAGACGGCGATTTGCTTGGGGGCGTTGAGGGGGAGGGCGCCGTCGACGTTCTTGAGCAGCACGGTGCCGGCAGCGGCGAGGTCGCGGATCAGCTTCGTGTGCTCGTCCGAGCGGACGTCGACGGTGGGGCCGAGCGCGAAGTCGTGCACCCAGGTGTCCTTGGTAAAAGAGTTTTGGGTGGCCGAGGACTCGTCGACGGGCGGGAAGTCTGCGTCTTGGTTGAGGTGGAAGTAGGGCGTCAGGATGCGCAGAACCATGTCGTCGACGCGGGACTCGGCCAGACTGCCGTTGTTGACGGCAATGGTGATGTTGCCGCCAAAGTACGAGGGCGTGGGCGTGCTGAAGGCGATGCCGCCGGGCATGTTCATCTCCAACCCGGCCTCGATGGCGGGGACGCCGCTGTGCGTGCCCGTCCAGTCGGACATGACGTAGCCCTGGAAACCCAGCTCCTCCTTGAGGAGGCCGTTGATTGACTTGGAGTTCTCGCAGCCGTACGAGCCATTGAGCCGGTTGTAGGAGCACATGATGCTGGCCGTGCCAGCGCGGACGGCGTTGTAGAACGGCCACAGGTACAGCTCATGCATGGTCCGGTCGTCAATGTTCGACGAGATGGACTCGATGCGTGCGCCGTTTGGACTCACGCTCGGGTTGCGCTGCGTCTCTTGCTCGTTACCAATGTAGTGCTTGGTGACGGCCTGCACGCCCGCATCCTGAATGCCGGCCACCGTCAATTCGACTCCGACGCCGCTGAGGTACGGATCCGTTGAAAACCCTTCCCAGTTGCGGCCGCCATACGGACTTCTACCGATGGGCCCAACAACGGGCCCGAGAGCGATTTGGGCTCCTTTGCCCTTGAACTCCTCGCCGAGGTAGAGACCGCGCTTGTATATCAGATCACGGTCCCACGATGCAGCAGCAGTCAGTTGCGCAGGGAAAACGCTCGCGTAAATGGCTTGACGTATGGCAAGAGGGCCGTCCTGAAGACACAGTCCAGTAAAGTTGAGCCGCTCGATGGGAGCAATGTTGCCCTTGGCCGGGGTTAGCTACATGCTGATGTTTCTTTTGACATGCCAATGTTATAAAACTTACAGCACATGGGCCGGTTGTGCCCGTGACCATGAATGCTTTTTCTTCTAGGGTCATTTCGGCAAGAAAGTCTCTGGCTTTTGCCAGTGCCGCATCCCATCCGCCAGCACCAGTCATGTTTGCTATACCACACGTCAGTTGATCCACTCATCATTGTCCAGTGAAAAAGATGACCGAGTACACTCGGAAAGACATCAGAGAGGGAGACCACTTACGCGAAGGATAAACAGGCGGACTGGTAGTAAACTGGGAGTGATCCCAAGCAGCTGCACCTCCCATAACGGAGGCCGCCAACCCGAGAAAAGCCAACTTGTTGCCGTGAGGAGCCATAGCGAGTCCCAGTGATGATCAGCTACTGATGGACCTCCCAACAACCGTCCACCACGCCCCTTTTATACACCCACCAGCACCATCCATCTCGGCACCCTCTCGACCGCAAAACCCGCCCTCAAGCCCTTCATCGCCCGAGCCGCCGCCAGTCACGCCCCCACCCGGAGACCAGCAGGGGAACCAGCAGGGCAGCAAGGCCCAAAAACTGCAGAAAACGGGCTTTGCCGAGCGGGATGGTGTGTAAAGAGCGGGACAATGTAGCTGTGGCGTACTGACCTGGTCCTTGGCAGCGGTCAGATGACGATGTAACACTGAAGAAAATTTGGCATTCGCAGCGTGCGCCGGCTAGCCACGAGGCCGCATCCCGGCACCCCCGGAGCCCATCGACTTGGCGATTGTGGAGAAAGGCCAATGGAGCGGGAGGTATTCCTCAACTTAGCTTAATTCCCCGCAAACACTAAGCGGCCGAGGTTCACCCGCCCCACGGGCCCCCGTGTTGCTGGTACTTGAGGCTGTCAAGGCGCCAACTGCCGACACTCGTTCCTTGATCCAAGGATCCATCCATGGCCCAGCCAAGCGGTGGGGAAGCCGAAGTACTGCCTAAACAGGGGAAATACATTCTTCACGGGTGCCGCCAAGCTGCGCGCCATGTAACGGGGCCTGAGCGGCTTCTATTGAGTAAACAGCGCCCTTCTTCGGATTTCTGACTCGACTTACGTCCGGTGTCATCCTTCGGTGACTTTTTCTTTGCCGCGTAGAGCTACCTACTCTACACCTTCGGACCTCGGCTGGTCAGACAGTCACCTGTTCATGTGGTGAGGCTCCAATACCTGTCAGAATGCTCTTCCCCCCACACCCCACACGGCCAAAAGATGCTCCAGACTTACCCACCCCCTAGTTCCCCCGTGGCACATCTCCGGGTCTATTACCTAGCAGACCGCAACTGCGCTGCAGTAGCTTACCGAGCTGTCCTTCGGACTGACACAGTCGCTGCTCCTCTCGTACCGGACAAACGTAAACTTGCCCTGGCCTTCTTGCAGAGACAATGACTCGATGGCAGCCATGACTACCCCAATGGGATGCCTCCCACAGACAGTGTTTCCAGTCTCTTCTAAAATATCAAGAAACTTCTGGTGGCTCTTAGACTCGACAGCATCCATGCAGTAGCCATCGACGTTGGCGATGCTCTCGTGAATTGCTGGGTCTGAGGGCGCCTTTTCGCTAGACTTCAGAGCACGTGCCTGGCCAGGAGCAACTTCGTAGTACGTGTATCGGAAGCGCGAGCCCCAATGGCAGAAATCCGACGATATCACAAAGACGGACGTCGGGTCTGCAAGGTACGGCGCAATGATCTCGCCGAAACGGCGCTCTGTGGAGGCGGAAGTGGCGCCCACGAGGATCGGTACCAGAGGCGGGAAATCCGAAGGATCAGAGAACTGTCTGGAGATCGTGGCGGAAACCATGAGCCGCAATCCGGTCACGAGGCCGGCGGAAACTTACCGAGAAAGGGTCTTGTAGATGTAGGGCAGATGCATCTCGAGACTATGCTCGTCTTCGTCGACCGACTGTGACATTTTGTCGAATTTTCCGGCCTTGTGGAGCTCCGCAACGGTAGCCCTGTCAATCTTCAGGTTGCCCAGCGGAGTCTCGTACTCATCACACTGCGTCAGGGCACAGCCCGAGAGATAGACGTGGTGAGATGGACCGAGGAGGAATACGCGCTTACTGTGTCGTCGTCCCTGTCAGATGAGGACTCAGGATTGTGATGATAGAATAGGTACCTACGCCTTGGATAGGTCCAACGCCTTGTAGGCCCACGCAGCAGCAGGGCCAGAGTAAGCGTATCCCGCATGCCTGCAACGTCACGTGAGCCGACCGGAAGGCTTGCGGTCCGCGTCGAGCTGGAACCTACGGGGCGATGATTACTCTAGCACCCGAAGAGGGTAGCTGAACCGTGTCGCCTTGGGAGCCAGGCCTGATGCCATGGGTGCTGGCGGGTACAGCGTCCAGCCACTGGTCTAGCTGTTTGGATAGCTGGCTCTTGCTGTCGGAGTACCAGGACCCGGCGTGACTTGCTTCCCGGACCGACATGACGAATTTTGGGGTTACTTTGGGGAATGCGGAGACCAAGTGATGTGGGAGGCGAGCCAGGTTGTGGGGAGACGGTGGTGGACAGATGAGCTGAGAGCTGAGTGGGGGCGGCAGGCGGCACGGAGTACGGTGAGGAAAGAGGTCAAGGTCGATGAGCAGGGTGACAGGCTGCAGTCAGGCGGCACAAAGCTGGACGGATGATGATCAGGAGAAGCAGGGTTGATGGGGCTTGTAATTGTTTGTTTTGTTGCAGTTGGCGATGAGAGAGCGCGGGGCGGGGAGGCCGCCCGCCATTGCCGGAGATCGGCGTTTTCGTCACGTCTGCGACGCGCGCGTCAGGGCGTCCTGGCGTTCCGCTCGCGTACCGGGCGGGAACTAGCCTCGCCAATTTGACTCCCCGAATCGTCATCTATTTTCCACCACGCTGCTACTCCATTCACAGCCCTATGACCACCGCCGCCCCTCCCCTCACCACCATGGCCCACAAACGCAAGCGCTCCGACTCCTCCTTCTCGCCGGAGAGCAACTCCAGCTTCTCCCGCTCCTCGGTCAGCCCGACCCCTGCGGGCGCCATGGACCTCGACACGCCCACCCAGGCACACCCGCTGCCCGCCCACGCCTGGGGCTACAGCCAGGCAAACGACAGCGGACGGACGAGGAAGAGGTGGAGGGACAACCGCCCGAACGAGCATGCTATCCACGGTAAGCTGACCCCTTAATCTGCGCATCATCACATGCAGAAACTCACGCGCGCGCGCGCCCAGAATCCACCCTGAAGCGGCTGTACAATGCCCAGCGCGAGCACCCCAACGTCGCGCCCGTCTCGTCTCACGCCGCAAACTCGGCCCTCCACCACCACCCCGCGCAACGCTCCACCCTCCACCAGTTCTGGTCCATATCGCAACCGCCCAACCACCCCGTTTCCGCGCCCCCGCCCGTGGCGCCCGAGGACAGCCGTCCGCGCTGCGACGACTGCGACGCCCTGCTTAGGGGAAACGAGGGCATGGACATCGACATGGACGGCCTGAACGCCGGCGAGGAGTTTGGGTGCCAGCATTGTAGAAGGGCTGTCTGCGGCACCTGTTCCGTCCAGGGCGATGTTAGGAGCTGTTTGAACTGCGCCGGAGTGTGGCATTGAGTGTGTTTGCTATGTCGACTGTGCAATGGGCAAGCGCATCTGTGGATAGGGGTGATTGCATTTCGGTTTCTTGGAGAATATCCAAAAAGTTTGGGTCTGGGCACGTGTTTAATCGCCATGGGCGTTTGAAGCGATTGGGTATAGAATGGCAACGGTGTTTTTGGCTTTCAATGGGTAGGGAACGTTGTCATATTGGCACGAACGCGGTTTCTCTCACGGTTTATTGTATGGGAATTGACATTGGCAAGTCCATGTCTCTGGAAACGTAATTCTTTTCAAAGCTATCAGGGTTTCTGGGTCACAACCTCTCTCTTTCCGCAAGCAATTGGCTGCATTCAATTGTCACACATGTGCCATTCAATGCGCTTGCCTCTCAGGGGTATTTCTTAGGGGTTTGTTTACACCGCCGTGGGCTATTATTTCCGGGTAGATCATTCTCGTTTGATCTTCCTCCAGGGACCACTTCTAATTGCTACAGCACTTAACAACACAGTTTCTCAATTTGGCTATAGGCTTGTTCAAATTGGTAACGAGGTCTCTGCTTTGGTCCTGTATTGATCGTAGGGGTTACTTGCTCCACCATCCCAGACGGGCGTTTGATATTGCAGGACCATACAGACACAGACCACTGGCGCCTGGATAAACCCAAGTATTGTATAACAAACACACTTTTGAAAACAACAGCACCGCCATTCCATAACCACCCTAACCACCCCTATGTGAACTTCCTCCCAAACTCCTCCGTCCTCTTCCCCATCCACGTAAACCACTTCGCCAACCCCTTTGTAGAATCCGCCATGCGATGCCAGCGCCAAGCCCACCAGCCCGCCCAGCTGGCCACACCAACAAGCATCACGACCGAGGAAGCGAGCAGCACGCGGCCCTGGCGCAAGACGCGGTGCTCGATCTCCGAGTAGCGCTCGTTGCCGAAGCTGACGCGCGTATACTGCGTCGCAAAGCCGCTGATGGGGAACCAGACGCTCAGGCGCTCCTCGAGCAGCTTGCGCAGCTTGTACAGCGGCGAGCGCACGTCGCTGCGCATTTCCTGGTAATTGTGAAGCGCGAGGTCGTTGATGGCGTGCGCGTCTGGCTGCCGCAGCCGCGAGTACGCTGCTAGTGCGGCGGCGCGGCGAGGCCAGCGTTGGCTCGACGCGAGGTCCGCGTCTATGATCTCGTAGAGGCAGCGCACGTCTTCCAGCCCCGCGTTCATGCCTTGCCCGTAGAATGGCACCATGGCGTGCGCGGCGTCGCCAACGATGACGCACGAGCCGGAGAAGTGGTACGGGCTGCATTTGATGTTGATGAGTGGGAGGTGTGGGTTTTCGTTGTATTGCTTTGCCAGATCTTCCTCGGAGATGAGATCGGGCACGACGCCGGGGAAGTGCTCCTTGAAGAAAGGAACGAGAGAAGAGGGGTCGGCGTCGAGTTCGGCGAAGCGGTCGGCAGGTAGGAAGAGCGTGCTCGTGAAGGACTTGTTGAGCGAAGGAATGGCGATGAACATGAAGGAGATGCCGGGCCAGATGTGCAAGTGGTTCGGAGAGATTTTGAAGCCGGAGTATTTAGATGTCGCGCTGCCCTCGGCGTTGTCGGGCGAGATGTGGAATTCGCACCAGAGTGTGTCGATGTACTCTTGCATGTAGTCCATGCGTGTGAACTTCATCAGGTGGTACCGGACGGCGGAGTGTGCTCCATCGGCTCCGATCATGAAGTCAAACTTCACTTCGATCTCTTGGCTTGTAGAAGACGATGTCTCTTGTGTTGGGTTTTGGGTGTGATCAGTCCTCGGAACGCTCTTCTTTTCAAACCAGGCAAGGTTCTGCTTGAAGTCTGCGCCCACTAGCTTGTGGTTGAAATTCAATTTCACATTCGGCATTTTCTCCAACTCGTCCAGCAGACGCTTGTTCAGACTGGCACGGTCAACCGCACGGATAGCCTGTTAACGAAAAATCAGTATCTGTAGCAACTCTCCAAGGATATTCAAACCTACCCGGCCTTTCACATCATAAGCCTGAGACTCCTCATGCAGCTCTCCATTTTTCTGGCCGTGAATCATGCGGCCATACATTGGAATTGTCTCGTTCAGAACGGCCTCAAGTAGACCGGGGCAATTGGCATTTCGCAATGAATTGATGCCACGCTCGGAAAGAGCAAGGTTGATCGACTTGGTGAAGTTCAAAGGAACGGTGTTTGGATCCCTCAGGTCTACAGTGTATGCTTAGCAATGCTGTTCGTACCATCATATAATATTGGCATGACAAAGTGTCATCACGGACTCGGGGTGAAATGCATGCAATCAGTGATTAAAACCAAGGAGGGCCTCGTAAGGTGGTATTTTCAAGTCCAGTGGCTATGGAGGATGCTTGACACCAGAAGATATTGGTATTTTCTTTGTGGGAATAAATAAAGATGCGATTGAAACAAGAGTGACTCGATGAAATTAAAATGATTATGATATTGAAAGCGAGGTAAAAGGCAAGACAAGCATTGATAAAGACAAACATAGGTCACAGCACAACGAGAAGAAATAAACACTCACCTCCTCTCAACTCGTAGAGTTCCACGTCATCACCTCTGCCTGCGGCGTACAGAGCAGCAAGGGAGCCAACAGGGCCTGCCCCGACCACGATTGTCTTCTGCGCGGCCATTGAGGAAGTAAGTGATGAGAAATCCTACAACAGCGGGACTTGTCGATGACATGGTGTATGACTCGCTCAAGGCAGTGGCACATTTTTTCTCCAGAAGGTATCACGTGCGTGCCAAACGCGTGCCTTCTAGTCTTGGAGTCTAAAAGGTTAACGGCAGACATCCTTGTTACACATTCCTCGGGGCGTGCAGACGACGTACATGAGCACAGCATGCTGCAACCTTCGATGGCGGCCACAACTAAACCCCCCCGGCCGCGGGATGCGAAGGGGACAGCCACTAAAACGCCGATCGAGCTCCGTTGCCGAAGATATCCCAAGGCCGTTTTTGTGCAACTCCGCTGTTATTCCGCTACATATTGTAGGCTTGCGCGCTTTCACTCCTCTCTTACCTCCGGTAGAGGCCTTTGTACGCGCGGTATAAATTCTCCTCCCACGCGCCCAATCCACCTTGCGCGCATCCTTCTCGGCCTCCTCAACTTTCAACCTTCCTCAGCTTATAATCAGGCGACATGGCGACAGAAGCCGCTCCCACGCGCAAGTGCTTGGGCAAGGACTGCCCCAACGATGCTTCTTCTCTGCAGTGCCCGACCTGCCAGAAGCTGGGCCTCGAGTCCTACTTCTGCTCTCAAGACTGCTTCAAAAAGAACTGGGTACTTTGTAAGCGCGCTCCATCATATTGCAGCAGAGCCACTGACCAAGGTCTTTCGTAGAGTGAGCACAAAGCTCTCCACAAGGCTGCGGGTGGAAGCTCAGGTTCAAGTAACCCTCTCCGCCACTTCTTTCCCCCAAAAGTCATCTCACAACCGGATCCAGAAACTGGCCACTACAACCCGTTCCCTACCTTTGACTTCACCGGCAAGCTGCGTCCAGTATACCCATTGACCCCTCGGAGGGAGCTGCCCAAGAGCATCAAGCGCCCCGACTACGCCAAGGATGGCATTCCGAGAAGCGAGCAGGTCTTTGTCAACAGACACAAGATTGCTATCTTGAACAAGGAGGAGCAGGAGGGCATGAGGAAGGTGTGCAGGCTGGCTCGTGAGGTGCTGGATATTGCTGCCGCGGCTGCTGTGCCTGGCGTCACCACGGATTATATCGATGAGGTCGTCCACAACGCTTGCATAGAGAGAGATGTGAGTGGATCCTGACTTGGGCGCATCACGCGACAAGAGGCCCGGCAGACAAAAGGGAACGTTACTGACAACCTCCAGTCCTACCCCTCTCCGCTGAACTACTGCCATTTCCCCAAGTCCGTTTGCACCTCGCTGAACGAAATCATCTGCCACGGTATCCCCGACCAGCGTGTCCTCGAAGATGGCGACATTCTCAACATCGATGTCACTCTTTACCACAATGGATTCCACGGCGATATCAACGAGACCTATTACATTGGTGAGAAGGCGCTTCAAGACGCGGACTCTATCCGGGTGGTTGAGACCGCGCGCGATACGCTGGATGAGTCGATCAAGATTGTCAAGCCCGGCATGCTGTTCCGCGACCCTGGAAACGTCATTGAGAAGCTCGCGAAGCAAAGGAAGTGTAGCGTCATTAAGACCTACTGCGGCCACGGCATTAACCAGCTCTTCCATTGCTCGCCCAATGTTCCCCACTACGCCAAGAACAAGGCTGTCGGTACCGCGAAGCCCGGAATGTGCTTCACTATCGAGCCCATGATTGCGCTGGGCACGCACAGGGACAAGACCTGGCCTGACGACTGGACCAGCGCCACGCAGGATGGCTTGAGGACTGCGCAGTTTGGTAAGAAGAGCTCCCCAATTGCATATGCAGACCGTGTACTGACAAAGAGCAGAGCACACTCTCTTGGTTACGGAGGACGGCGTTGAGGTTCTTACCGCGAGGTTGCCCAACTCGCCGGGTGGACCCGTTCCCATACCCGGCTACACCGATGGTGCGAAGGCGGGAGCATGAGCGGGGGGGGGGGAAAAATGTGATGTTGTTACGACGGGTACAGCATAAAGGCGCATTGGGATACCCTTTCAGTTCGTGTAGCTAGATAGTTCTGGTTGCCATTGTAGGCAGGCTGAAAGCGCATCGATTTGTTGGTTGGCGGTGACAATGACTCTCAGCGTCTGTGCGGTGAAGCTTGAGGCTTGCCTTGAATTGGCGGCGAGGAACGGAACCGGGCTTGCGAATGCCAGCAGCGCCAAACCTGCTGTGCTCTTTCGTCATCCGCGAAAACACTACGTTGCCCATCATTCTTCTATCTCCAAATATTTCTGGTCGCTTCTCAAGACGCACGACCCGCAATCCCCACGGCATTCTATCCAGAGCCCGCGCTCCGCCGCTGATAGTCCGCGATTCGCACTTAAGCAGATAACGTCCCCACGTCCCGTCAACCGCCAACTACCAACCGCAAATCTCGACAACACCTCCTCGTCGTCCACTCTCGCGCGTCCTCCCAACCCTCGCCGTTAGACGCCGAATCTCATCAATCCCTCTCACGTTGCTCTTCGTCGCTCAGGCACACAAGGACCCCCCCAATACAACAATCAAGATGTCGGGCGAGGCGTGGCTTTACCTCCTCGCTGTTCTCATAAATGCGGTCAACCTCTTCCTCCAGGTCTTCTTCACCATCATGTACTCTGATCTCGAATGGTATGATCGCACTATCTCCCTCCAGGCCCGCCGTCTGCCGCCGTCGCGCCATCCGCTGCATTAGGATAACTGTGTCGGGGGACGGTGGAGCCTGACCGCTGCAATTCGAGCTATTCTGACGTGAAATTCAGTGACTACATCAACCCCATTGACCTCTGCAACCGTCTGAACACCTACATCATCCCCGAGGCCGCCGTTCACGCTTTCCTGACTTTCCTGTTCCTCATCAACGGATACTGGATCGCGCTCATTCTGAACCTGCCGCTGCTTGCTTGGAATGCGAAGAAGTGAGTTACAGATGCTCTGTTGTTTAGGCAGAATATTGTGGTTCGAGATGAAAGTTGGCGAGCTTTCTGGGCCACTTGTCCCTCTAGGCTTCCCAAGGACGGATACGTCCTCCACGCACAGATCATGCTGACAGTGCTGCGAATCTAGGATTCTCGAGAACCAGCACCTCCTTGACGCGACTGAGATTTTCAGGAAGCTCAACGTCCACAAGAAGGTACCTATGCGCCCGCTTCGATTATCTTGTGGAGATGCAGATGGTTAACGCAAAAGCAGGAATCGTTCAGCAAGCTTGGTTTCCACTTGGTGATGTTCTTCTTCTACCTTTACTCCATGATGTACGTTTCCAAATTTCGAGCTAAGCAATGAGCGAGGTCTAACAGCAACACAGCGTCGCGCTCATTCGGGACGAGTCCCACTAAACTGTTCGCTGCGGACGAAAGTATGCACCAACGGAAGGCGGCACTTTCCTGGAGAAATAAAAGCACATATGCGACGAGCGCGCGTGTGAAAAGTGCGCGCATCCGTCTGTTGCACCGATGAATACCTATGCGCCAATGACGAATGATGAGGAGGGAATGAAATTCAAGGGTGGGAAGGTGGTAATCGGAGAAGGAGGAGGCGGGTACAAGCAAGAGCATGCCCTTCACGGCGTCTTTTACTGTCCCTCGAGGCCTCAGAGAAGCTCACGTGAGCCACGGACTATGAACGGAGAGACGAGCACTTCGCTAGTAATGAACTTTATAGCGGAATGGGACGTCGTAACCCTGCACATGTCGGATCCTAGCATCTTCACATGCTTATGCTTGTGAGGTAAGATACAGTCAGTTGCTTCTAGGAGCGTGAAGAGACAGGCATTCTAATTTTCACTCAACTACTTGTCAATTGCATACGACAAGCACAAGTAGCTATTGTACGCACCGGAAGCATCTATGCTAATCCAAGCAAGGGCATCCCTTTGCGAAAGTCTGCAACCAAGCATCTCAAGGCGGTGTACCCTGTCACCCTATCGAGCATGACTCGGAAGTAGATGGATTAGTCACGAACCATGAGTCGAGCTCCAAGTTTAAGGTCGTCGATCGTAAAGCTCACATCAATCCTCACTGGTGCCTGCATCTCCGACAACAAACCCCCTCGCCCCAGCCCACTATGGCCACCTCCAGCAAGGGTCGCGTGCCAACCGGCTACGCCGACGAAATCGTCATCAGCGAAGCGTCATTCCGATCCGCGCACCGCGCGCGCGAAGCGGCGACAGAGCCTCCAAGCAAGAAGCGCAAGAGAGAAGAGAAGGGCAACGCGGGTATTGTCTACGGCAAAGGCGCGTACAAGGGGCCATGGGCGAAGTACGAGGTGGAGCGGCCCGATGCCGAGGAGGATGAGGAGGGCTCCGACGTCGAGATAGTATACGAGGAAGACGAGATCGAGGAGCAACCGGCGGCGCCAGCGACCAAGGCGGGGACGAACTACACGCCAGAGGACGCAGCAACAGAGCGGACCGTCTTCCACGGGACGCAGGAGTACGACTACCAGGGCCGGACGTACATGCACGTGCCGCAGGACCTGGGCATCGAGCTGCGGGGCGAGATCAGCGAGCTCAAGAACTACATACCGAAGAAGCTGGTGCACACGTGGAAGTCGCACACCAAGGCTATCAACGCGCTGCGCTTCTTCCCGGACTCGGGGCACCTGCTACTGTCGGCGTCGGCGGACAACATGGTCAAGATCTACGACGTGTACCACGAGCGGGAGCTGCTGCGGACGTACGACGGGCACAACAAGTCGGTCAACGACATCTGCTTCAACAACGACGGGCGCCAGTTCCTGTCGGCATCGTACGACCGGCAGATGAAGCTGTGGGACACGGAGACGGGCCAGTGCGTGTCGCGCTTCTCGACGGGCAAGACGCCCCACGTCATCCGCTTCAACCCGGACCCGGCCCTCAACCACGAGTTCCTGGCCGGCATGGCCGACAAGAAAATCGTCCAGTTCGATACCCGCTCCGGCCAGCTGGTCCAGGAGTACGACCACCACCTCGGTCCCGTCAACACCATCACCTTCTGCGACGAGAATCGCCGCTTCATCACCACGTCCGACGACAAGTCGCTGCGCGCATGGGAATAC